AACGTTAAGTATTTACAATAGATAGCCACATGGCCGGAATGTTATCGCATCATAAATAGAGTGAACACTTTTAAACCGTTCACATGAGAAAGTCTTAATGGATATGCCACAAATAACAGAGTTCCACCCGGAGAGCTTTGCCCTGTGATTGGCCAAGACTCTCAACACTTAATTATATTTTGGGCAGCTGTGAGATAGTGCTTTTTCAGAACTTTGGTTATAATTGCTCCGAGTTTACTTTCGATTAACAAAAGTGATAATGACTGAAGTTTACAGTAAAAGGAAGATTGTTAAAACTGGACTGTAGTTCCTGGAGTCTTGTTGAAGAATTCTCCGGAATGCGTGTTATACAAAAAATTGTTTGTTACAAAGAAACAAAGAAAGGTCCATAGAACCAAGCGCTTAATTCTCACCTCGGATTTTGACATCAACTGGGTTTCCATTCTTTATTTCTGACCCGTAACGGATCGCCAATATAAGTGAATACTTCTTTCTCACGAACTCTTGATTAAATTTTGCTTGGATTTCGTTGATGACGCATAGATTTTAGTTTGAGATGTATTAAAAATATGTAGTATGATACCAGAAAATGCTTCTGGAAAAATCATCTTCAAATTATAAACAGAATGTTGTGAATTTTGATCTCAAAGATAAGACTCGCGCTTAGACGAACCAGCTTTTCAGTGAACAATCATTTGCAGACGTTTTCTCCCCTGGTATAGTCGTGATTTCAGTTAATATTACTACTAGATTAGTTTGGTTTTCAGCACGAAACCACCGTCCCAAAGACCTTCGTGCATGGAAGAGAATAGTTTGGAACCAATAACCTATATTTTCAACATGAAAATAGTTACATACAGATAGTTACAACTACCATTATTCCGTAATCCAGTCAGGAATCCGGTAACGGTACGGAACCTATTATTATGTTCCACCGACTAAGTTTAAAGAAAAAACTTGGCTGCAACGCTTATTGCAAATTAGCCCTGAGATTGTAATTTAACAGAATTTTTTGCTATGTAAACTTAATTCATATTCAAATCGCGTATAATTTTGGCTGCATGGAAGAATAAAAATTGAACAAATTATAACATTGCCGTCCCTTTTAGAACAAAGAACTATACAAGAAACACCTAAATTAGTCTTCCATTTCGCACCAAAATAATTTTGCTCTTTTTTAAATTTGAAAAGCTTTTAACTCAGGACTGATTATCGATTTGCGTTAAATCGTTTCTAGATGCGTGGTGTCACTGCCTCTTGTGAAAGAAGAGGCGTATCGGTGTTTAAATGAGAGAAAATTAGTGGTAAATTGCTTTTGTGAAAGTCAAAAAGAATCGCGCCTTTAGTCGCGTACACAAATGAGAATTATATTGCTCGTTTTTGGGATGACTTGCATAAAAGTGTTCTCATGCATTGCATTGCTTTTGAGGTGAACTTTACGATTTGATGCGGTATAATGTTAAGAGTTGTCAGTTTTTTAACGACGCTGTGTTGTATAAGTGGTTAGTCGCACAAATGTTTCATGAATTTCATTATGTATATGCCCTATAATATATAAAGTAGTGTAGTTTTTAGTTGATGTGAAGATAATGACATGAAATTCATTTGTCTTTCACCTCGCTACTGCTTGAGGACAGTTTCTATAAAGTGTGTCTAACTTCCGCAAGCACCAAAGACTAAAATCTGTCTTCCGTTTCAAACTATCGTAAGATACCTTACTTTGTCCTTAGCGTGTTCTTTTGTTCCAAAGTCGTCGAGCTCTACCCGCGAGGTGCTTAGGAGACAAATAAATATATCTGCGCTTTGCAAGATATAGCTACACGTCAGTGACAATGAAATTATAGGAGAGACCATGCAGGGATATAGAAATAACGCATGTGGGTCACGTATATTATTATATAATATGAGTACTAATATTATATACATGCATGCACATCATAGTTTAGTAGGTTTAATAAAATATTTGATTTATAAAGCTCTGTAAAATATATATCCACGTATAATCTTACTCCCAAGTAATACCTCTTAAATCCCTGATTTATAAGTTCCTTTGACTTTAATCATATTAAAATGATCTATATATATAATTTGCATTTCATTATCAAAATGAGATATATTTTTGTACAGAAAACCTTTTGCTTTTATGTCGATGTCCGTGTAACCCGGATTATAATTCAATTTGTTGCAATGTGTTCTATATGTTGCTGAAATATACACCATAATGAAATACCTCAACGTATTCGAACTGCCACGTTAAAAGTATAATTTCATAACGTTGGTATACATTATATATAATGTTAGGAAAAATTGAAGCCGGCAGCCGGTAAGATACAGTTTGAAGAAATATATGGATTATAGGTTTAATAATATGAATTTCCTCTTCTCACTTAATTACTTTATGGAGAAGCGAGAATCGTGGAGGCGTTTACGTGAGTCGTGTTTTTCTTTTGGCTTTGCAAAATTATCAGTATATAACGCTATATACTGTTAGCTAAGGCTAGAATATTTGGAGCGCAGAACCTCTCAACGTATAACTGTAGATTTAAGCAAAATGTGCGTGAAAGCGAATGTTGTTACAAAAAGTAAAGTCAGTGAATTTTATTGCGCTTTTAAACTATATATTCTATTAAATTCTATTAATATTGACAGAGGATTAACTGTATAAATATGATTGAAGCCACATATACATATATAGCGAGCAACAAACCTTAACGATGCTCCCACGACCCTCGATACCTTTCCACGACCCACGACGCTTTTCCACGTTCCACGATGTAGCTTCAAACTCCACTGACAAAACATCTCGCTAATGTGTTATTTAATTAATTCCTAAGCTGAGGCTTCGATATATCATGGCAATAATTACGCGTTTTGTCCAAGCGATAAGGTTTCTAACTTAATTGTGACTTGTGACTTCCTGGGCCAATCAGCGTCTTCTTGCTGTCCGATTCAATTTGATGGCTCGCTTGATTAAAGTTAATTTAGACCGGAGCTATGATGAGCACTTCTATGCCGTCAAGTTGTTATCAAGATTATTATATTTAACAAACAGACACCGAAGTTTACGTTCGCAGTATGCTTTGTGGTTGGTGATAGCAGTTAGGACGATCCGTCTTGTACACTACAACAACTCTAACACATCTTCCTCTAGAAAACTTGTTATAGCTGTTCTGCTTAACTATAATAGGAGAGGAATTTAACAACTTTTAAGCGGTCAGAGTTGTATAATTTTAGCTCTCAAATGATGCAGTCATCGGCGCGCAGTAAGTAATATTACTTTGTTTTCATCATTGTATATTTTCACTGCAAACCACATCCTCTGAACATATTTTAACTGAGCTATCGATCGTGTACTAAGAACGTGCACCAATTTATCCTACTTTAAAGATCTTGTGTTCGCGAAATAAGTAATGTACATTTTGTTCATAAGGCTATAATTACGTTCTATTTCGCACAGCTTTACTGAAACGCGTTAAGGAACACATTTTACCGTATCTATATAGAATGGGAATATATTCCCATCGAAAGCAAATTTTCAACTGTATGATGATAGTCAGGGCGCTATCAGTACTTGTTCCTTCTTCAGTCATTTTAGAGTTTAGAAAGTTTCACTCTGACAGTCAAAAAATTCCAAGGAAATTCCAAGGAATAATTTCTGTATAGAGCCTCAAAAGTGCATGTCTGAGTTCTCGGAACAATTATCGACTCTTAGTGTAAGACTGTTGTATATGACTGATCTTTCCGCACGTCTTATTAGTTTTGAGGCTATTTAATATAAATGCGAATGTTGACTTAGCGCGCTAGTTGTCCAATAAATCATGCCCTTTCATTAATGCTTTTGTATGCGTGGCGAATTTGTTTAGAAAATAGCGGTTATTTGGCGTACAATATATTGCGCTGTACTGACGGAAATGTTGTTATCCATAGTTCCCAATTTTTATTGAGACCTTACATATTACCGCTCTTCTCAAATCTCTATATAAATATATATATGTGTGTGTTATATAGTTCAAACAGCCGAGGATGTTCCACAGTTCATATCTATCACAACTACATATAGGATTTTCTCTTTCTTTTGTAAAATTAAGTTAAGTTTCGCCTATTCCACTGGTATTTTCATAAGCCATAGTGCCTTTTATATATAATGCGAATTATATCCGTTGCGGTCAATACGAAATTAGTAATTTCGTTGAAATGTTTTGAAAGATGCGGCTGGAACGCGGATTGTTGCATGCGGGGTAGTTGTACGCCAGCGCTATGTGGACGCGGTATTATGGTGCGGACCGGGTGATGTAAGAATAACATGCAGTAGCTGTATCATGTAACTCAGTAACTCAGTCTTCTGTTCTAACTTATATTGTGATTTATGTAAACAGATTTCATTCAACAGGAGTTTTCTTATCCCAAAATGATATAACCCCAGCTTTCAAGCTATCACCCTATTTTGTTGTTGTTAGCCTTTTTTATATTGATTGGAATGCCAAGATTAAATTTTCCAGTTAATATAAAAAATTGGATGGCATTATAGTACAATGCAGATATATACACTAGACTGGATCATCTATCATCATCTCATACATTACAAATGAACTACGTATTCCTTACATGACGTTTTCAGTGAGCAATGCCTGAAGAAAACGAGCCGTAAGTTTCATCACGGAGCGACTGCGTTCCGTGTGCGTAAGGACACTGATTATGCCTGGAGAATTTTTAACTAAGCGATTTTGCATGGAAAGAAATAATTTTTGATATTGATAAACCTGAAAGCTGAGCGAGCAGATGTATTAATTATTTAGTGAAGATTTTCTAAAGCATGTATTTTAAATACTGCTAACGTAGCTGTTATAATAGTCAGACTGAAAAAGACGTGTATATTTTAAAATCATCACTCAGATAAAATTTATTCATGTCTTTGTTGTAGATCAATTGGATTTTAATTTCTAGGCTGTTATCAGTTAAGTTATGCAATGGAAGTAAACTTTCCTTTTGTTTAATTTTAGATATGGCTTGTGAGAGTAAGGCAAAGAGTTGTGCTGCTTGTGGACGAACCATCTTGGAAAGGTTTCTTCTGCATGCTGTTGATAAATATTGGCACATGGAATGTCTTCAATGTTCATGTTGTAATGTAAGGCTCGGTGAGGTCGGAACTTCGTGTTTTTCAAAAGGAGGGATGATTCTGTGCAGAAATGATTATTTAAGGTATGTACACACAATGTATTATTTGACCAGACTCAGTAAACTGGTATACTGAATAAACTATTTCATGCATAGAGCATGCAACATCACAAAGCTATAATTCGTGTACGAAAGTCATTCTGCATGAGTATTATGATTTGCGCGATTTACTACAATACAAGAAAAGTAACTATATATATAGCATTGCTTATATGTATGGCCGTAAATAGCCCTATTATATGCAGTTCTAAAACTGAATTTTTTCTTCGTCAGACGATAGATTTCTTCTATATAGATATTTCTTTTAATATTTCTAAATGGAAATTTTAATATCGAAGACAAAGGGTACACGTTCTTATTTATTTTTCTGTTCCATGCATTTGCGATTTAATTTTCTCCTTAATTAAAGCTTATAATTTAAAACACTTAAGTGTTTGTATTACCGACCGCTTTTAGGAAGAAAATTAAAATTCTTACATTCCCATCTTTCAATTTGGGAGATTGCACTTTCGGATTATTCAAATTAGTCCTTAAAATCGCACCGTTTAAACACATTTGTATATATTTATGAACCAACAGAAATGCATGCATTGAGCAACTGAAGTCTTATATAAATTTTAATGCAAATGTTTGGGTTTCTTCAATTTGCAATTGTTTAAAAAGCTCAAAACTTTATCTCAATTGCATGGGTATTGTCAGTTGGTTCCACTACATTTCAGAACAAAGTTAACTATACGTTAAAACCTGCACGCTTGGAACTTTAATAATACATATGCTTGCTTTAGCAGACAGGTTTCATTTGGCGAACAATGAGTTAATATTTTAGACTAATGAAAATACTCGTGTAACATTTCGTGACACGATGTAATTGGTCCGCTCTGGCAGATAATTTGTTTTTTTCTTGTTTTGGCAGAAGCTTAATGGTTTACTTTTCTATACGCAAAACCCATTAAGCCCAGAGCGTAATTAAATCCAAGAAATTTAATAGGCTTTTAGCAGTTTGTTGACATTTCATGTGTTTCTATTAGTGGCATGTGCTATTTTTCAACCACAGGGAGCCCGAACGTTAATAGATGCCTTTTCTTATCCACTGATCTTAAAAATTTTAACTCAGATGGGCATCTGCATGCGTGGCTAGCAGACAATTCTAGAAAATTCAAAATAAAACCATCTAAAATTTATTTCCTTCTAAAATCTGTTGAATATACCAAACTGTGGATGCCTGGTGCGCGTCGAAAATCAACTAATATGCATATTATACGTGCAATTCATGGGTATGGGTTATACTATGTCTGACAATATGCTGCAATTGCCGCTTTTTATAAAAACTCTTTTTCTGTGCGAGTGAAGTTAGATTGTCCTTCTTTAACAGTCAGCGAAAATAGAGAAGATATGCATTAAGATAGGACGTCGAAGAACGATCTAATTTTTTTCGAACACCTTTGCGCTTGGGCTTTTCGCGGCAGGAAAGTTAATGAAGATCAAACCAATATTTTTGACACAAGCAAACCTGAGTAAATAAGACTTTTTATTGGCAGCATCAAATAATTTAAATTTCTGTTGAAATTTCCCTCCTTGAAATGAAATGTTGAAATGATACTCGTACTTTTAAGAAATATCTTTAATTTTATCTCACGTCGTTTACGTCTACTATGATTTACCTAAAGTAATGTAGTTACGCCCAAAACACCCTTTTCTTTTTTATAACCGTGCAAGGTTTTGCCGCGGGATAAGTAAAATGAAAAATATTAATAAGACATATTTAAATGAGAAAACTCAAAACCCATTATCGCAGGTAATGAAAATGAATTTGTGTTATTAAAGTGGCAATTTTTCATTCTTATTTAAAATTTCAATTAAATTTAATAGCTTGTTGTGTTCAGCAACAGTCGGAGCAGTGAAACGTTCATTATAAAAGAGTTGTCCGCTGGAGCTGAAAATTTGATCGCGTTTTCTTTGAGATACACATAAAGTGTAATTGTCCTGGCGAAACTGCTTTTTCCCTGTAGTATAGATAAATAGGATTCCTAACAAAATCAGTAAAATATACGGCCAAGTTTGTTAGATCATATATATAATGGCTATAAATCCGGCGGTGTTTATGCAGTTTGTACAGGCTCCCCCTAACCTTGCAATATAAGATTTCAAGCAGAATATTCGTAGATACTTTTGGGATTAATATTTTCTCCCTTTGAGATGCGATCTGCGCATGTACGATTCGCCGTTATCCGTATATCCAGCCCCGCCGTAATAGCAACAAAATATATTGTCGAGAAACGCTTCAATTAAGCAAGTCGATAACATCCCTTGATAACTTATTCAATTAACACGGGGAAAATGTCATTTAGCAGATACAGAGGCTCATTTCGAATTCAAAAACAAGCATTAAGTTTGCGTGGTATTAAGTTTACTTAGCATTACTTTCTTTAAGAGAATTTGGAAACTTTTGTACAAAAGTTTTGTACAAAATTTAAAGGTGCAGGACACAGAGCTTTTGTCATTTTAAAAGAAGGCTTTTTAATGAAAAGTAAAATGAAGTGACAAAATAGAACAGAAAAGTATTAAAACGGCTGTGGCTTTTTTGTTGAATAATATTTACCACAACAAATACAAAGCAATTGAAGAGATAATGTACGTTCACTTCAGTAATTTGCCCTTATATATTGAATTTTTAAATTTAATTGTTTTGCGGCATTTGTTTGACATTTTTTTTGCCAACTTAAATATATTAAATAGTTGATGGGAACTGATAGCTTTTAACTTTGACTCAAGGTTTGAATTTGTTTTCCTGCCTTAAATCATTCAGAATTATACTGAAAAAATGTTTTGTACTAATTTTCGACATGCGTTTAAATAGTTGTGTATAAGTCGTCCGTTTTCTGTGTAGATTATATGGTTCAAGCGGTGCTTGTGCAGGTTGTTCAGAACCGATACCCGCGGGAGAGATGGTGATGAAGATCAGAGACAAAGCATATCACATACGATGTTTCACGTGCTGTGCGTGTCATCAGAGATTGGTCACAGGAGACCGTATACACTTTGTAAACGATAGAATATTTTGTGAAAGCGACTATCCCCTGGCTTTACGAAGCATGGCCAGCACTCCAACACAACAACAGCAACCGGTAAGTGGATTTCTCAGCAACAAAAACTTTCATGGCACTAAACTGCAAACTTGTCAGTGACTAACTATAGGTGTTAGGTGTTGTTCATTAACGGTATAACAAGTTACAACGTCAGGCATGTTTGTTTTCATATGAGTATAGTAAATAAATTCGCGTTCTAGTATTCTATATTTACAAACACCTACTATGTATGTCTGTTTACATTTGAAATTTTGCCGTGTTTATTTCGAGAGTCGCAAAAAAATCGCTGGAATGACAATTTGCTGGCCGTCTTCACTAAGGTTGGGGTAAACACTAACTAGGCATTCTTTCTGTTGCAGATATTTTGCTAGGTCTTGTCAGACTATCCAAAAAGAAGAAGTAAGAATACTGTCAAGACAGACATCTTGCTTGCAGAAAACACCCCTTTGGACTTTTTTCATGTTAGCATGAATTCGTTACCATGTAACGTTTAAACATCACTGAATACTATCGTGCAAGAAATTGTTGTAGAAATGAGATGAAAAATGATGTGAATTAATTGTGCATGCATGTAAATATGTTTTTGCTTGGGTATGAGTGGTAATGGATTATTTCAAACATGCATTTGAATTTTGTCACAACCTATTATCAGGATACGTTGTTCTGCCTTTTCCTATAGCTTAATTAATTGTTGACAAACCAGTCTTGTGTATATCAGTGACTCAACAGATAACTTTGTTAAAAGTCGTGACAGATAACAGACAACCATGCATGTTGATAAATGACAAAATTGTTATAACTTCGTGACAAATTTCTTTCTGAGATTGCTTTGACGTGTGTTTACAAATTAATTTCTTCCATGTCCTGGTGGGTAATGGAACAAAAAAAACATATACCATTGCGAATTTTGTGACAATCTGTTAAGAAACAAGTGTTTCTAAGTCTAAATATATGGTATTAAATATTGCATGGTTGTTATATGACATGTTTCAGTTATCTACAAAATTATACGATAAAAAGATTATAGAATTTTTTTGGCGTTATCACTCCACGATTCAGTTTGTGTAGTGTTTCTAGTTTTTGAAATAAAATTGTAGAACATAATGAATGTTTGTTGCTATATGATTAACCTTAACTTTTTTAAATAATTATGTACATATATGATACAATTAACTGAACTTAATAGTTCTGCTGCACTTCACTACTTCGTATACAGTGCCATTCAACTTGCCAGCAGTTCAGAACTCCGCCAGGCTAAGGCAAAAGAGGTCGGGCGACAGTGGTCTGCGCTGACTTGGATCATATGCTTGCTCATATGTTGTGTATGACTAAACACGAAGTCTTGCACGAGGCGCGGATACATCAATAATTTTCTAATCAATAAAGTAATGCACGCACGTGTTTAACCAGTTAAATTATATACATATCTTATCAGCCGTTCGGTCAAGTCAGGAAAATGTGTGCTTGCTATTGCATGGATCTTTAAAAAATTCGGGAAATGAATTTGTCTTTCTCGATACAACGAGGCTTCTACGGCGGCTCGCGACGCATCTACGGGACTGAGTCGTGTCCAGCCGTTGCTACCAGCCACGGGGTTTCCGTTTCCCAATTTGATTGCATTTTCTGTTGCGATTGCACCAAGTACGCTTATAGTTATGGACATTTTATCCCCGTCGAGAGCCAAATCTTGCCGTAATGCATTGAAGAATCCGTGAAGAGCATGCTTGTTTGAACAGTATAGAGCGAAGTAAGGGTATGTCATTAGCCCTAAACCAGATGAAATGACCAACAACCGACCACCTGATGCTTTCAGACTGGGTAGGAATAGCGTGGTAAGATGAATGTAACTAAGGACGTTCACATTAAATGCCTTTGCAATGTCGCTGTAATTTCTGTCCGCTTGCCATTGCTTTATCTCGTATACAACGTGGTTTAAGACCAGCACATCAATTTTCTGAAATCGATTTAATGATTCCTAAAAGTACGATTGTTTAATATTAAATGTTAGCCACGGTTCATTTTGAACTACCGATCATGCAGTTTCTACTGTCTATATTGACTACTGTATTCTTAAATCCTGCATTTTGGTGTTGTAGACTGTAGAATCCTAACTAACAATCAGAATAAATGGTTCAATCGATTGCGAACCATACATAGTAAATCCTTTACAACGCCGTTGTGAATTATAGTTTCAGTTGTAAAATATAGTCCAGCAATGATAAAGATCAGCGACCAGATAATGCAAGTCTATTTATATGTAAAGCCGCGCACGTATACATAAATATATTTGGGTTACAAAATAAATATATTTGGGTTATGCAAAGTCTAGAACAACGATAGGACAATGAAAAGTAACAATGGGAATATTCTGGACAACCTTCGCCGGTGGCGAGAAATTGACTCGCTTAACATAGCATTTAGTTTTAGCTGAGTTGAAAATATCTACTTTAATCGAACCCAGGTTTTAAATTGTAAACTCCCTTAAGGTCTGTTCACAGTTCACACAATCCAATTTTGTTGGATCCAATTCACTTCTGACGTATGCAATATAGTCTGTTATTGATATAAGGCAGTACTGTATTGGCTTCAGTGCATTTGCTGCCCATAAACATAAGACAACAGAATAAAAAACATCCAGACCTTTAGGCCTGCCGGCTGCCGGGTTTGCATTTAATCGCAATTGTCGCGAAAACGTCAAGATGGCTGGTTTAGTAGATGATTCAATATCTGTGCAGTAAACAATGACCGATTTGAATACAGAAATAACAGCAAATATGAATCCGGACTATTTCTCAACGGTGAAAATGTCAAAATGATTTGTTCACGACAATTACAACATAATTTACAATGGCATAACCCGGCTTTAACACGTGTTAGTTTGAACCCCGCTTTTATAGTGCGTTCGGCCTAGGTCCGAACCTAGGTTAAAACTGATTTAAACAAACCGAGGGCCTCGACCTGGGTTTTTTGCGTTAAATAGTTAATTTGTGTACTGCGTAGTGTAAACGGCCGGGCACAAGGTGCATCACTGATAAATATTAGTGTGGCTTGTGGAAAAAACAAATTGTTGAAATTAAGTATTCAATTTCGACAGTATTTCGCAGCCGTCTCATCTGAATGAGTCTTGTCGAATGCTTTTAAACTGCAACAATTAACATGCTCAATGGGAAAGCTCCAGATAGCAAATGCGTCTGCTTGACAAATTTAGTTAAGTTGTGGTTGTTGCACTTGCATATACATATCATAATAAGTTTGTTTTTTTCCTCCTTCAAAATCAATTTTTATCGCAAAGATATTTTCAAAGACATGGCCGACTGACTTCGTTAATAAATTATGATCTACATTACAATATCAGAATTAGCTTTTCTTCTTTTCGGTTCTCTACTATATTAACTCAACTACAATGTTGCCTTTTATTAGTAAATATTTGATGGGTTTTAGCCTTTGAGCAAGTACAGATGACTTTTCCATCTCACGTGAGTTTACACGAGAATTATCGAACAGCATTCAGAGTCCATGCACATCACGAGCTATTTAATTGTTGCAACGTTCAAATTTGCACGAAATGAAACGATACAGTCTACATTTACAAAAGCTCGACTTTCTACCTTTCATTTATTAAAACACAGTTTAAAACACCCAAAAAGACCACGGCGTTGTGGAAATTGTCACCAGAGTGATGCTTGCACTCGTTAAAGTCATTTACTATGCTTCAACGTATGGCTAATTTGAGACGAACAGTCATTAATTCTCTAGGTATATTACTGTGCCAGTCGATTATTATCCCAGTGGCCAGTGTTTCTTATTTCCTGGCATATTACTACATTGCTTGTCAGCTAAAATTCTGCCATGAACTTTGCACTAACTGTAATTTATCTTTTAATAATAAATTTCCGTCACATTTATATTGCATGCAGCTTTCAATACTGGCGATACACTTGATATATCCCAGCATAATCAAATACATTTGTTAAAAAAGTATATCAATATAATGTCATGTTTACAATCATACTTACAAATAGAAGATTTTTGGGGCCATCGCCACCTCCCTCTAAATTAGCGATCATGAAGTTAGCGGAAGATGCACCGAGACGAGAACAATTTTCCACAACATTTTTAAGAGCCCATTCTCGTCTCGCCACTACCAATACATTTGCACCTTGTTCACAATATCTGTAAGCTATCTGTTCTCCTATCCCTGTCGATCCACCACAGATGACGATATTTTTTCCATGAAACGTTTCTGTAGTATTTGGTTTTTTCGTGAACCAATACCAGGCTATCACGACTACGCCAAACCCTATAGCTTTCTTGCCACGTTTAAACATTGTTATTGTTGATAACCGCTCCTACAAGAACAAAATGTAAAAATAGTTCTAACAGTCTGCTAAGATAAGCCTCTTTATACTCTCTGTGACGTCAGCAATATCTCAATTATTTGCGTAGGAGGAATCAGACGCGTGTCCAGCAGAAGTCGAGGTCATATTTGAGTAAAATTTTCAAGGTCACTTAACTCAACTTTCAACGCAACTCTCTGGTGCATATATTTCTAGTCCTGATCTCTCTCGTTCACGATATTTGAACTTGAGTTACTTAGTTGACATTAATTGAATTAGAGGGGGGTGCATATTTATATTGGCTCTATGGCCGACTGATTTCTTTTGAAAGCAATTGTTTTAGCGTGATGAATGTAATATATAATTAACATACAGACATGTTAAGCGTCTACGAACGGCCCAGGACCTGCTGGGTCTGGTGTTGTATGAAAAGGAAATTAACTTTCAGAATTAGCCAATCAGAATCGTGCATTTTTGAGCTAACTAAGCCCAACTAAATATAGCTAGTCGGTGATGAACTGTAATCTTCGTATTCGTCGTCTTTATAGTGGATGTATCCCATCTTTCTGGATGCATCCCATCTTTCTGGATGCATCCCATCTTTTTGGATGAATCCCATCTTTTTGTAAACAAGTCAGTCTTATTTTAACTTGTCCTAATGTCCATGAACCTCTGGTGCATAAAATGTGTTGACTACAGTCTACTGGCAGACGATACAGAGGATGCTCAACTCTTCTGAACCAGGCTCCAATTAAGAAGAATGAAAAAATGAAAGAATAAAATGGGCAACGGCTTCAAATGGCTATATAGTGAAATTTCACACCAGAACGGGTGGTCGTTTTATCTTTGGACCAGCCTTCATGTATATTTTGCTTAGCATCTAATACACAAATAACTAACTCGACTCATCATCGATTCCATTTCAGGTATGATTTCAGTGATCACATACTTGGGTAACTCATTTGTCTCCATGCAATCGGAACTCCCTGTCCTCCAAAAGTATAGTATGTATGTTTATGTTTGTTTTGTCTGGGGAAGAAGCCGGTCAGCCGGAAATACAGTGTAAGGATATGGCCAACCACTTGGCCAACCTCGGGTCAAGTGAACGTTTGGCGGAAAAGGAAAAGCTTCGCCATATCATGTAGAGATCAGTGGCACATGTGGCTTGGTGACCTGGCCTTGGTTATTCTTGTTTCAAAAACATGGCAAATTTGATGCGGATTTTTGCTCAATCGTTCTTTTCTAGGCAGTCTTCAAAATATTTGTTTTACAAATGTATGAAAAACTATTCTTGTAACACAGGAGGAAGGTTTTCTTTTATGCTCAGAACGAAATGGGGAACGTTTCTCAAGGAAAACCACAGTTTTACCACGTCGTATCTAATCGTCACGTCCCACATGTCAAGATTTCTTCATGTGGGAACCTACAGGTCAAGAAGTGTGGAAACAAGTAGAGAAGATGATCATGAGTTTGTTACAGAAGAAATTTCTATGACAGATAAAAAGTTTGAAGATTTTTGTAAGTTGCTGTCGTTGCGTGGGTAAATAACTAAACATGGTCATACTGTATGTATACTGGTAGGTAGGTAATGGTAACTGGTGAGCAGGTCATAATATTTACCATCACATGTCAGCATTGTCTACCAGTATGTGAGGGTAAATCAATTATGATTTTTGGCATTATGTATTATGCATACTGGTAAACAATGTTCACATGTGATGGTAAATATTATGACCTGCAGGCTGCTTACCAGTTGCCATCTTTGTGCAACTGCTGAATACCACTATTTTTAATACCCCTATCCCTTAAAGCAGGGATGCTGGAGCAGGTGGTGACAGGGACAGCTACCCCCCTTACCTTTTACCAACGGGGCAAAGGGGGCAATGTGCCCTTTCCATTGCACAGAAGTTTTTTTTTGGCAAAAATTACGGGCTTTTCAAGTAGCAAATAATTATTAACATATACGCATTACTACAAATATTACGTATGAGTACCTTAAGAGAGACCATGGTCGCTGCATAAAGATGTGGATACGTTCCAATATAACCAGGGAGCAGCGTGGCAGCGTCTTCAAATAACTTCAATGTTGAGAAGTGTTTTTGTTTATTTTAGGCAGCTGTTGTACCACATTTGATCCTAAGTTATACACATATTAGAAAGAGAATTTCATATCAAAGTACACATTTATAAAAGAGGAACTAATTTCTTTATTTTATTCATTAACTTTATACAATTCCATTTCACAAATTTTGCATTTTTTATGTAATTATGCCAACACTATTTAAACACTATTTAGGCAGTCGGAGGATTTAAACTGAACTGAAAATCTAAAAATGAAACCCTCACACTAAACTGCATTTTCCCCAGAGGTTTTGCCAGACAAATTTGAAAATTATTTCTCATCATAAACGTGAAACTAATTGACATTAACTCTAGTGTAAATCTAGTGTGAATTCCTAATGAATGGCTTTGAACAGTAACCTTGTTGTTGTAGATTACTAGATTGTACAAATATTTACCATTAAATAAGACTTTACTACTTTAGTATTCAGAACCCAAATGAAATTTCCTGACTGTTAAAGTATTCTTTTACAGCTGATATAATGAAAACAATCAAAGAGAAGACTGGAGTATTACTGAAAGCAGTTCATGGAAAGGATGGTAAAGAAGGATGGAGAATTCTAGTTGGAGGTATTGAAGAACTAATATCTGTTAAATAGCTGTTTTGCCTAATCTTTGAAGTGTATTTAATTCAGTGTGTGTTTCACATATAGGCACTCGACATGAAGTTCAGCGAGCTGTTCTTCATCTCAAATCCTCAACTGAACATGATTCAATCAATCAAAGGTTTGTTATCATGAATGAAAGAGGAGAACGTTTCCTGTTTTGTTCATTTCTAAGGTGTTTTGTTCATTTCACAATATCTAGGTTACTTCTTTTACAAGATGACACAGTGCATGAGAAGAATAACTCAAGAAAAGGTGATAAATTTGTTCTGTGAATTCCTCAAGCTTTAACGTTGTGAGGCTGGGCCATGACCAAATAAATATACTTTTACATCAGTTTCTCACATGCAAGTGCATTCACGTTCGCGAAGAAAGAATTCGATAACTTTTTCTGTTTTATTCTTCCGTCTATTCACAAACTGAAACATGTAAATGATAAAATGAAGCTGTGTGATATCCTCATTCAAGACATCCAAATACTAGTAAGCTATACTATCGTGAGCAGGTGGAATTATGGAAACCGTTGATTTGATATTTTGTGTGGCAAGTTAATTAAAGATAGTCGTAGACGTGAATAAAGTCTGAAATCTCTCATTTATGTGAGCGAGTAATTATAAAGATTATTTTATCTAGAAGACTATATTCTGAGATTTATCGTCCCGACTTGTCGCTTGTTAGTGTTGCAAATAGTGTACTAAATATACACTAGTACTCATAAACAAACGTGTACCGTTCAATATGTACAAACAGACAATACATGCCGTTATATTATCTGTGCACAGATCCCAAACCACGACTGAGCAGAAACAAAATAGCGAAGCAGTTATTTTAGATTTTTTTTCGATAGCAAGCTAAAGTCATTAAGATCTTTTTGATTTGCACAAGATTGAAGCTCGGCCGCGTAGCTCTTGGTCTACTGTAGTGTACGATCTTACTGTTTAAAAAATTGATGACTCCACAACTTGCAATGCAATTATTTAACTTTTAAGAGATATAAATTGGTGCAGAGTATTCAAAATGTAAGATAAAAGTTTCGAAGCTGCCAAATTTATATCTTTCAAAAGTAGAATTGCATTGCAAGTTGCAAGATAAATTTCACGGTGTAATAGGGTACTCCTATGAACATAAAGTGGTTACTGTACTTGTATTTGTTATAGAAAAACCAATCTGGGCATATTACAGGAGAAATTTTAAAGGACAAAAACCTCCTATGGTATGGTTTTTTACTCGCGTGAAATTAAAATTCGTTTGATCCTTTCAACTTCTTGTAGCTCTATAATATTTCTTTTTATCAATTTATTTTTATTGACATATAGAGAACAAGAAAGAAGTGCATTGTACGTATAAGTCACTTTATAAATTAAGTTTGGTCTGAAGATTTAATTTGCCGATAACTTATTATAATGACTTTTTCTCATTTGTTTTAGAGAGGGACGGGGGAGTCGCAAATTGTTTCGGGTAATCCATGTCCAGTATGTCGACTGCAGTTGGCTGGTCAATATCAACTGAACTACAAGGTTAAATGATTTTGAATTATACCTAACTCTACTGTCTCAGGCTGTTTCATCTGCACTTTGTAGAATTAGTGAAAGGCGAAATGCCTGCCAAAAATTTCCGTCAACCATCGTATAATTTTCTCGTGGATATTTTTTTTTTATATATAGGATATTGATTTACTCTCTCAGTTCATATCTCCCCATACCGGTGAAATATTTGAAGCATCCAAAACAGGTATTACACGAAATACTTCATGTTGTCACGTGTGTTGAAAAAGTTCATTTTAGTACAGCGAGGTAGCTACAGTACATATAGCGCAAAGTTAACTGAAGTCCTGAATCAAAGTTGTATTAAAACGGTTAAAATTCGAGTCATACTAACTTACCTGCAGTATGGAAGATTTCTGCAGACAATTTTACTGGACAGCAAAACCGATCAACTGTCAATTGATCAGTACGTAAATCTGTTATCCCAGGTGTTTGCAGATACCAGCAAAATAATCTTAAAACAGCAATACAGACTGCCAAGGATTACGGTTAGTTAATTTTTTCAAGATGATAAAAAAATGTATAATTCGCCACAGTTTGAGATGAATTTAAGTGAATATAGCCATTTTTATAATAGGTTTGCTTCCATACAGTATCCCTGGTCCAAGAAGTATTGAAAAGCCTGTGAAAAGTGCTGAAATACCAGTCAATGTTAGGCTGAAGTGATACACGAAATTACCTTCCTTTCTAATGCTGCTGTGCAGTTGGAATTTCAGAATTGTCGCATTGCTGAATTGTGTATACCTGGTCACTTTCAGTCTACGTCGCATTTATCTTATTCAATGTACACTTAAAGTCAGTTTTATTTACAATTTCATACAACCTAGCTGTATACAAGGTTATTATCTAGATTATAACGAATGAGACGTGCGTCCTAGGCCTGATAATGTTCAGATTAAATTCTTGATCGTGCATTAAATGATTATGTGCGCCTGTTATGATGAGGTATGTTGTTTTTTAATAATGACGAAGAAGAGAATAAGACCAAAACCACGTTACTCATCTTATGCTTCCGCAATTTACGCAATTGCATCCTTCTCCAATTCTCTTTATTTCTTCCTCAAGCAAGTCAGCTACATCACGCCTTTCCATATCCAGGAGTTTCTTTACCAGATCATTTAAATAATGACGACCTTTATGATCCCAGTCGTGTAGCATTTTTTCGGCAGAATCTTTTTCTAACTTGAACATCTGTAAAACATTGCACGAGTGAGATTTCTCTGCAGAGTAATGGCCGTCGTTTATTTCTTCGGCGAAGGCATGAAAGGCTAGAATTTTTGTATATGATGAAGAGAGGTTTTGTATAGGTTTGAATTAGTGATTATAAATATATCTTTTCCCTGCTTGCATGGGGTTAGGGGATAACGCAAAATCTCTGACAGGTACTAAAATCTTGTGAAGATTTTGAATGTGTATAAGAGATCGAAGAGGTGCGGTGAATATTGACCAAATTTGTCGACTTAAGAAGTGCACCGAAGCCTATATTTATAATATTTTGTCGTAGTAGAGAGGACATTTTATTTCCCGATGCTTTACGTGTTCTTAGTCCAGCTTTGATGTGAGTATCCCTCCCTGCTTTGTGGTTGTCAATTCAAAGGAAATTTCCTTCAATTGTGAAACTCTTCCAAGCACTCAACATTCTAGAACATCCCTCGTGCATTTTCAAAAATCCAGCGGGATAGAAGGTTTAACTTGTGTACTAATGTACGAGAGGTGATGTGCGACTTTCGGAAACAATAGAAAATCAGTTGAGATGGATTATTTTCTATTGTTGCTAATGCGTTCAGTACATGAGAAGCACAACGTTTGAAACAAGCCTTACTTGAACATCGTCAACAGTGTAACCAAGTTTTCCAGCTAAGCCTCGCCAATCATGGCCACGTGCGTTCTCAAACTGAAGTCGTTTGCAAACAGTTTTAAAAATATCGTCATTGATGTCACGAATTTTAATATGCTTTTTTTGACACACTTCTTCGTCAACATTCGGACGTTTTCCGTCTGCAAGTAAAGACAACTTTCTGAGGAAGATATATAGTTTATAGCATAAGTACATGTTATCAGTATCAGTATGGACTTTGGAAATAAACTTTAGAACTTTACGAGCGGGATGACTTTCGTATATGGTCAGGGGCTTACCTTTGCCTAGGTCTTACCTGACGTCTGTGGTGTTTTAATACCGCATGTTTCAAGCTCTCTTTCCTGTGCGTTTTTTACAATGGTTGATTGATGATGGTAATTATTGCTCCCCTCGTCATCATTTACAGAACTTAAGCATGGTTTACCTAATACACAATATTATACCAAGATTAACTGATAATAACAGGAGTTACAAAACTACCCCGAAATCCCATGGACTGTAAGATGTATAGTATATAATAATATACACGCAATAAATATAATATGATGTTCATACTTGAAATGTAAACTTTTCAAGTTAGTCTCTTTTCAAGTTAGTCTTTAATAATGTTTGGTTTTAAAGCTAAAATTTTACTGCTTTTGAAGCATTTTTAGAAAAGGTTGACACATCACTATCCGCGGTGTCATGGATAGCGCTATCTTCATACATGCAAGCGGTCCTTGATGTCTGTGTTTCGCTATTACATGTTTTTGTTTGCCTCTCTTTCATGTGCGTTTTTTACGATGGTTTTTTTAGAGTTATTTAGTAAGTATCTACCTAATATGAACGAGTTTTGTGATTGGCTTTTTGTAACAATAGTGAACAGTGTTTATGATTCGTTCTTTTAAAAATCAATTTCTATAGTTCATGCATTGTGTTTTATTGTGTCTATTGTTATCATCATCAACCAATAGCAAAGCTTGTTCATATAGGTACGTACCAACCCGAGTTATTGATCTCTTAACCCATCATCCACCGAATCTAAAATACATGCTCACATGCATGGTTTATCTAATTTATAGAATATTACATATCCATGCCAAAATAAAATTACAGAAGTTACAAAACTACAACAAAATCACACAGATATACATGCAGGCAATAAAATCTAATTACGTAACGTTTTAGTCAATAATATTCAAAATTCTCTATGTACCTGATGTTTGTGTTTCGCTATTACATGTTTGAGACTTTCTCTCCTGTACATTTTTTACGGCAGTTAATTGAGAGTTATCGATCTCTTCACCATTCCCCGAATCTAAAATACAAGTTGAGCATTGTTTACCTAATTTATATAGTAGCTAGCTATTATACATATGCCAAATTAAAATACAGAAGATACTGAACTACAACAAAATCCCACTGCATGCATGTATAAAAGATACATACAGGTTAATGTCCGTACTTATAAGATATAGCACTAGCTACGTGTAGTCAAAATCCTATATACATACATACATAGACTTTATTTCGTCACGCTAGCGGCCTCAACAGTCATTAGGCTGACTGATTTCAATGAGGGGCGTGATATTTTAAAAAAAAATGAAGCTACAAAATTACATGGACGTAGGACAGGGAAATTAAGGACATGAAACAGAAACTGATACAGTACAAACAAAATACAGGAGTATAGGTATGAAACACAGGCAAGTCAGTTTCAACTCATTCTTTGCAATATAGATTTAAAAGAAATCACAGATTCCGCAATTTTAGCCTGAGGTGGAAGATTATTCCAAAGCAGGGCACCATTATAACTAAAGCACCTCAACATATGTTTAGATTCGGTAGGATGCGTTACAAGCTTGTTTTGTTGCATCCATTTTGATAAATTTTCAAGATCAATGTTTACTTTGTTAATAAGGTCAATGCAGTCATTAGAAGATGCACAGATTACCGTATCATCAGCATAGAGTGAGGGGATTGTATGAATCAGTGAATCAGGCATATCATTTATATATAATATAAACAATAAAGGACCAAGTATGGACCCCTGAGGGACTCCACATATTATCGTTTTTGGATTTGATAGTTTTCCATTAATCAGACATTGTTGAACTCTGTTATTCAGATATGATTCAAACCATTTCAATTGAGTTCCTGTTATTCCAAAAAAATTATGCATTTTATTGATCAGAATTTCATGATTTACGGAGTCAAAAGCTATATACCTGGTGTCAGTGACTCGCTATTAAATGTTCCTCTTTCCAATGGCAGTGCCTTTTTTACGGGGGTTAAATCGATGTCTTTGCCATCACAGACAGAATCCAAAGCAGAACTTGTACATGGTTTACCTAAATATAATAAATGCGCGATATTGTACCAAGGCAAAATAATATTTTTTATCGTATACAATTTACATTTGCATGATTGATAGGCAAACGTTCGTCTTTATAGTCAAATAATTATATACCTGATGTTTGTAATTTCCTAGAAAATATTTCAAACTCTCTCTCCTGTGCCTTTTTTATCATGGCTGATTGATAAATATTTTCTTCATTCTCATTCACAGGATCCAACACTGAATTAGTTTCGCATTGTTCACCTGAATACAAATATGCAATTCAAATGCAGTATATATACGGCACATACCGTATATAACGACATGCGTAGGGTCTTATATTCACTTGCTCCCCCAGGAGTGCGCTGAGAGTGTTCAAGTTAATCTGGAAAATACCTCAGGACTACGCTTTTCTTCTGCGACTGCATGCATCGCCTAGTTTGTGGGGGTTTTGGTAAGAGTTATCAGTCGACTAGCGTTGGTCTACCTGCATGCATGTATATCAACGAGTGTCTTTCGTGTATTACACTTCATTCTATAGCCCCGTTATCTTTAATTTATTTTCACGGTACGGCTAAAACCCAGTTTTATTCCAGGTATACCAATACAAAAGCCGAGACTGGGTAAAATTGTTACAATTTAGTCGTAATCGTTGTTGAACTCAAAGATGAACGACTGATCGTATCACTGTCTTATAAAAGTTTTAAACCTTTTCGTTCACGTAAACAGGTTCCCCTGCGCAGTGTGTGCCATTGAATATTCTGGTTTCTGTTAAAATATTGCGCGTGAACAAAGCCGGTATGCCAACCAAACAATCACTTGTGAGTGAGACCCAGCTCAGCCGCCTTAGTTATAAGCAACTGGCTTTCGTTAATGGCAAAGACGGCGAAGCGATGCAAAGGCAAGGGGAGATGAAGTGTTCTTCTGGAATCTGGAACAGAAGTGTTCTTCTGGAACACTATAGACTAGAGAATGGAGGACGTGATTTCCGTATCTTTATTTTTACATGCATTCCCCGACTTACTGGAAAAGCTACCAACCTGTTGGCTCCTTTTTTACAGGACCTTCTGTCACGTTATCTCCGCCTATATGAAAATATCCATAATTTTGAATCACAACGCAACAGACATTCCGACCACGAGGAGAATTAGGCAGTCTAGCACTAATGCGTCAGACAATGACGCTAAATTTTCCGTCTCCATCCCAAATCCTGTTTGCGCTCAATTTATGGGCACCCCACGGTTAAAATTGTTACCCGTACCCAACTTTATTAGGGCTCAGGCTTCCAATACGAAGGCCGAGCACGAGTGAATTTGGTACGGGTTGTTTGGTTCAGCCATGCCGATGCATTGAGTGTAGTGTAAACGGGGCTTTTATTAATAAGTATAGGCAGAAATTGCTTGTCGTGCATATACTAATCCGGAATAGATACGATTTATAAGCAGTGTCAAAATGGATGATATTGTTTTCAAAAAAACTGAACAAATATCACTACCCAAAATAGCTTAAAATATTATTGCGGAAGTTATTTCCTTAAATCGTACGAAGCTATTTCATTATTCAAATTTCGAAAATCAACGCTGGCACAGATAAGGAATAAGATACCATGCAATGTTATCATTGCTACGATATTTCTAATACTGGCTAATTTTATTATTGTTTGAGTAACTATATAAGAGTGTATATATAAAATTTGCATTATAGATCAGTTGAACATATCGATTTTAAAAATCCTCTCCTTGTAACGCACTAATCATACTGCAGTTTATCACAATCACATGCAAGTAGTGATGTCATTTCATGAGTACACTCCAAGAACCATTTCATCTATCACCGTATTGGTAATATCAGTCCGATTCACCTTGGAAATATTTGCTTCCACAACAAATCATTCCTTTGAAATAATTAGTACCAAAACAGCAGAAATACTTACTGTCCATATTCGGCAATTAATACGATAAAAAATTACTATTTCCAAAATGTACTTGTGCTATAAAAAAGTCCCCAGAATTTAGTTGTGGGTTAAATATTCGGCTAACCGGCTACACTCTTCACCGCAGACGCTTCAAGGGCTATACATATTACATAATTGTGCATGCTGATGCATATTCTTGGAATCAGACCGGGGGGGATAAAGCCCCGCACAGACGAGCAAGTTTTCCTTGACAAGTTTTTTGACACGTTCACTTGCTCGTGTGTACGACGAACAAGTTTTCCTTGACAAGTTTTATTTGTTCGTGTGTACGTAAAAAAATTTTTCTTGGCAAGTTTTACGAGTCCGCATTACTGAAGTACGTAAATATATTGATGAATATATTGATGCGCAGTAGCCTACTGCGCATTTCCTTGTCAAGTTTTCCTTGACGGCCGTACACACGAACATTTTTCCTTGTTGAAAAGCTGGCATGACTAGCTTTTGAACAAGGCTCCTTGTCAAGGAAAAATTGTCAATTTTCGTGCGTACACACGGGCAAATAAAACTTGTCAAGGAAAACTTGTCAAGGAAAACTTGCTCGTCTGTGCGGGGCTTAAAAGGCAGGGGGATTGTGAGCAACACCTTTCCAGAATTGATCGGCGCTCGGGCAATCCCCAGTATCCTTAATAATCTAAAGCCAGGCGCACACGACGCGATTTCTGTCGTACGATTTTAGTCGGCCGATTTTAATCGACAAATATCAAACTGTTTTAAAATATGCCAGCCGACAAAAGTCGCTAAAAAACTGTTGACATCGCACACGCAAGGATTTTAATAAGGGCTGTTTTCCACCGTCGCGTTTTTCGTATGTAGCTACGTATACGCACATAAAAGCTCAAAACCTTCTAAGTTGTATTTTATGCCAGAGAAAACACACGCAATCATCTACAGAATCCAACCTTATGCATCTATTGACTATTCAATCCTTGATAAGTATGATTTAAATGATTTTAAACTTTTACGTGCGTATACATATCTATGAAAAACGCGACAGTGGAAAGCAGCCCTGGTTGAGACGTTTTTTGTCTATTTTATGCAGTTGTATCTATGATGGCAGTTATACTACATTTGATCATTTTGATCCGAAGTAATTGAAAGTATTGATATTTAATAATATTTACCCTACAGATATATATATGTAAGCAGTAAAGGATTTTCTGTGTTATTTTGAATTATCAATTCTCAAAAATGACAAATCGAGTCTCTATAGACCCTAATGACTAATTAAAGTTCAATAAGGTGTCTCCACATTTCCATTTCCTACATAAACAGTTTTTGTCTGTGTGTAAGAATCAAATCCTTCTTGCCCATTTTCCCGACCAATGCCTGAATGCTTGAAGCCACCAGTGGGAAACTGGGGCCGAAATATACTGTAAGTATTTATCCAACATTGACCAGCCTTCAGTTTCGCTGCCACTCTATGAGCTCGAGTTATATCACTAGTAAAAAATAACAGTATATATTTGTAATGGAAATTAACTTGTTTATCACCTAATTACTTTAGGATGAAGTAATTGCGAATACTAGTGATTCATTCAGATTAACGCCCCTGTATTTCCAACTGTGAGCTTACCTTGTGAACAAACCACTTGCCAAACCATAATTTGTGTCATTTGCTCTTTTAATAACTTCTTCCTCTTTGCTAAAACTTAGTATTGAAATAACTGGTCCAAATATCTCCTCTTGAACAACTTTCATATCATCTCGACAGTTTGTCAACACACATGGGGACATGTAGTAACCTGACATCTGCAGACGTTCTCCACCACATAGTATTTCTGCACCCTATATAAGAAACATGTGAGTGATCTTACAATACCATACTGGATCAGCAGACAGTATATGACTATGTGCAGACCTGGCCCCTAAGGGCAATATATGATTGAGTGGTAAAGAAAACCCAGTTATGGATATGATGTCAGGTATCATTTGAAGAAAAGATCTCAGAAGAAGATACATACAATTAAGGCAAGGCTGATATGATATAGTGTTGTATATGGATGCAATTTCAGTATGCAATTTATAGAAGTGATACCATATACCTCATACCTCATCTTTTGCTGATTGAACATAACCTAACACTTTATTTAAATGATCTTCAGATATCAGAGCACCCATCTGTACACTAGAGTCTGCTGGATGTCCAACTTTTATCTTCTTTGTTCTTTCAACAATCCTCTTTGTAAATTCATCTTTAATGCTCTCATGAAGGAATACTCTTGTTCCATTTGTGCAAGACTAGTATAAATGAAAAGTACAAATGTTAAATCTGAAACATGCTAGCTCATATACATGCTGTGTTTGTACATGTGCCAAATATGGAATTTGATTTTCATTATATTCATGCAATGAACATGACAAAAACGGCATTGATGGTATCTGAGGTTTTGTACCTGTCCAACTAATTCAAAATTAGCATTTAATGCAGCATTTATAGCATTATCCATGTCACAGTCAGGAAATATAATCAGTGGTGATTTTCCTCCTAATTCTAGTGTCACATCTTTAATTCCTGGTGCACAGCTTGCCATTATCTGGAATATTTGAGCAAAATATATCATTCTTAATCCATTTTAAATGTGACTATTTATTGGTATCTTTTCTGACAATTATTGGTAATTGTCCTTCCCATGTAATGACAAAGCAAAAAACCAAAATACATGTGTGCATATTTTAGCCTATGTGATAAATGAATTCAAAAACTTACTTTTGCTCCAGTTTGAATTCCACCAGTAAATGATACCTTTGCTACATCACCATGCTGACATAATAACCCACCTGTTTTAGCTTCACCTTGTACCACATTCAATATACCAGGTGGAGCACCTGCATCATGTATTATCTCTGCCAACAGGGTAGTGGTTATGGGAGCAAGGGGAGATGGTTTGAATACCATAGTGTTACCTGATGCCAGTGCAGGGGCTACTTTCCAGGTTGCACCACAAAATGGAAAATTCCACGAGCCAATAGCTGCAAAGATTATGAGACATTTCGGTATTTCAACAACAGCAGATTATGTCTTGATAACGTCTATGACTGCATGGCTAAAAGGCCCATTTTGCAACATATTTTTATCTTATTATGACTCAGTATTAACATGAAGATTACTGTTACAGTTTGACAAAAAACTTTGACTATATAGCCTAATAAAATTTCCCAACCTGCAACAACCCCATAAGGTTCCTTTGTGACATAGGCAAAATTGTCATTTTCCAGTTTAACATAACGACCAGTTGATGTTGTTGCTAGAGAGGCATAATACTCCAGGGTCTCAATAGCACCATTGACATCAAATTGCAACTCACTTATACACCTTCCTGTATAAACAATATTTCACAATGTTGTGTTTATTAAATGTGTTTAGACAGTGAATATTACTTTCAGTAAAATATAAGTATTAACTACTCTTGTATTCTTGTCCATTCATATGTATAGTTGGTTTATCTACCCTAGATAGCTACCTCATACCCACCTGTATCAACACTGTCCCACTTTGCAATTTCATCTTTTCTTTGCCGGATGATATCAGCAGCCCTATTTAACACTGCAGCTCGTTCAATACCAGACCATGCTGACCATTTCTCAAATGCATTGCCAGCTGAAGATACTGCTTTCAAGACATCCTCATTACAGGAACATTGTACCTCTCCAAGTAATTTACCAGTTGCCGGCTCTCGCAAGTCGAAACTGTCTGAAGCTGATGGATAACACCTCTCACCATTAATAAAATTTAGAGGAGCCAGTTTTTGGTTTTGACAGCTTGTATACGAAAAGAATCGAGCACTTGATGCAAACTTAGTAATTGCAACAATAGCACTCCGTTTGCAATTCCCTAGTGCTATATTTAGTGCCATTTCTCCGAAAATGTTCTAGTCAGATATATTCTCTACTCTACCAGTCTATCTTTATTATAATCTCTGCTCTCAGAATTTCTGTGTACACAGGCATAGGCGCACGAGACGGGGGGGATTATTTTTCTAATTTTCAACCTTATCATCTTTTAGCTTCCGTTTTTCTAACTGCTCTATTTCATACATGGATTTACTGTGTTCTTTAATATCAATACATATTATAAATTTAGGTCAAGTCAAATTTTAGTTATTTCTCCCGGTCTCGGGATTAGAACGCATTTAATTTTCTCCGTTTGCGTGTTTCAGTTATTAAATTGGAGATAAAGTTAGACACTGAATGATAATTTTCTGGATTGGTATATCATATATCTGACTGGATTGGTATATCATATATCTGGGCCATCTGACTATATCTAATCAAACGAGATTGTAACTGTGACGAATTGAGGTTAAAAATGTTTACATTAATAAATAGGTCACTGTGGGAGCTGGGAAAAATGGGTTTTTGGTGACGAATTCCTGCAATCCTAGTTTTTGATCAATTCTCGCCGTCTTTTTTAAAATTGTCAGTTTTGTAGTGATGAACAGGATAGTACTTCTTTCAGTTTAAGGTTGACACTTGACAGGTCTGGGTTCTGTCTTATCACTCTTATGAGGTTCCAGAAAAACTCGCACCCAGAGAGAACTAGATATTTAACTCATCATAAACTCATGGTCATATATATATATACAACAGATCGAGTTATCACTGATCACTGATGGGAATTTGAAGTTCAACATTCCTAGCCAGAGTGTAGGTGAAACAAGAAGCCGGGCTGAAGCCGGCGCTTCCAAATTCCAACGGTATTTTAAGCTGCTTCCATGTTCGCATTGTTCTGCTCGGTAGCAAATTCTTTGTGCACTTTTCCCGAAGTAGTCTTCTCCAGGCTATCCTTCAACCTTCTTGAACAAAGAGGGTGGATGCATTACATCTCCCAAAACACACCAAAGCACAAGAGAGGAGGTTTTGTAAAAAGACAATAGCAATATAATATAAATCGGGAATAATTCGGTATCGAGTGAAAGGCGGGAAACGCCGAAATGTTGGATGCTGGGCGTGAGAATGCCACCCTTGAAATTTTCTCAGACTAAAATACAATTGTTGATCCTAACAAATAGTCACCCAATTGTTACTGCAAGATCAAAGTGTAAACCGCCCACTTCCTCTTACTGTGGATGAAACACGGTTTCTGGCATGTATACACGTCATGTACGACACCACCAGTCAACCCATGACCCATCCGCTGTATTACATTAATAAAACTGCCTAACACTTTATAGAGGGTCCACAATAGGCTACCCCAATCCCGATATCCCGATGTTTTTTTTTTAAAATTCTCGATATCCCGACGCTTTTATAGTGAAATCCCGATCCCGCCTTGCAATTTAGTAACCTATGTCCGTTTTATAGCGAAAATTCATACAATATTTATTACATGTGAATAAAGTATTTTGTTGAATCTTTTCAGACTCAAAACCTCTTCAAATTCGTCAAACGGCATATTTTAAATCCCGTATCCCGTCATTAAAATATTTCATATATCGGAATCCCGAGGCACGAATTACGAAAATCCCGTATCCCGCAAGAAATTTTATTCCCGAATCTCGCATCCTATTTTTTAAATATCCCGCTTCCCAATCGAAAAATGACCTATTTCCCGCATCCCGAAAAACCTATTGTGGACCCTCTTTATAAAGGGATTAGGTCATCTAATAAAATCATCTACTGTACGCTTTAAAAAATACTAACAATTTTTACGACACCGATTTTTGTATGACGTATTTCCAGATATTGAACCTCCTGTTTTGCGTGGCCGGTAGTCTGCGTGGGTTTACGGTATTATGGTAGGTGTTTGGAACGACGCTAGCTTTTGGTTAATGTTATTAGATCTAGAAGTTCAAATCGAAGATGGGCTGACCAAAATTCATATTTCAGGTTTGTATAACCATGGATAGTTAAAAGAATTTATTTATTTAGTGATTTTATTATCATGGTATTAACACATGCTTCAAAATATCGATATATATTGCGTAACTTGCGTGCAACCTCAGATCAGTGCGTGCAACTCGCAGGCAATCTGAGGCTAATCAATAGCACTTTGATATGCAAATGCGAGGATGTTTGATTTTGATGCCTAATTGACACTTAAAATACTTGCTTTTCCTTTGTATCATCTGGTATCGACTTCCGTGAGAAATCTATGATGTCTTGTGCTATTTATGACAGCATTTTAATCGGGAATCATTGACATTCAACAGCAGTTACAACTTACAGTAGGGGTGTGTGTTTATATTCGCTTTGTGCGGTGAGCTGGTTGGCCGTTAATTGAATGTAAAACAAACATAAAATAACCCATCATTATATTGTTCTCAGATTTTCTACTACCGTTATCGGGTTATTTTTATTAAAGCTTATTTATAAAGCTTGAAATAAGTACTTGGTGTAGTGGATCAATTCGCGATGTCGGCTAGAAGGAGTCCGTATGAAAGAATGGTTGATAAGCTTATAAAAGATGGCATAAAAATGATTGCTGTTGATTTTGATATGACTCTAGTATCTGTGCATACAAATGGGAATTGGATGTTCACAGCCAGGCCATTGGCGAGCAGAGTTCGACCTGGTTTTCCTGAATTTTTGGGTGAGGTTTTAAAGAGAGGTCTTTGGGTAGCTGTAGTGACATTTTCACCTCAAGTTGAATTAGTAAGAGATGTACTTGGAAATATTTTGCCTCAGAGAGATGTTGAAAGAATCTGTATACGAGGGAATACCTTGGATTGGAAACCATACCCCAGCTGTAGGAAAGAAGGTAGGTTCCACCTAGCCTATCTAAAGAATGGAGATTCACCAAAATTTTGAGATAGTCTTACTGTTAGATGTAACCACACAAGGGCACACATGTCATGGCTGCAGGTTTTACATTTTTTTAATTGTAATAGACACTGGCATAGCCAGCATCGATAATTGAGGGGGTCCATATTCATATATTCATGTAAACAGGCTGTAAAGACAATTGATTTGAAAAGAAATTAATCCTGCGTATCACGAATATATGAATATGGACCCCCCCAATTATTGTTCTGGCTACGCCGCTGGTAATAGAATGCCACCTCCGAATTTTGGCATGCTCCATACTCTGAAATTTTAGACTACTTCCTATGTAATGTATCTAATGTATCTAATTCTATCTAATATTCCATTCATTTAGGTAAGCAATCTCACATTGAGTCAGCAATAAAACATTTCTACAAAGCAAGCAAAATGAAGATAAAGCCATGTGAAGTATTGCTTTTTGATGATGATGATGAGAATATTAGAGTTGCAAACAAGTATGCTATGAGAACTGTAAAAGTTGTTGACAACAGTACATTGCCCAGTTTGCTTTCATGAACTAGTGGTTATGCTGAAAAAGAGTTATGTAGCACCTTTTTGAAAAAAGATCAATTGTCATCTGAATATTTATACAGTAGCTACATAGTCTGTGTAATAATACAGATACAGATAATATCTTGATACACCATCACCATCCCACAGTACAACCTACTAAGTAGATGCTATTTTATTAATACAAGTTTGTTGAATCAAAGAAGGCAAGGTATGTTTTTAAACAGATACTTCGATTAAGTGTTACAAAAAAGGTTGTTGCACACGTTATCTATACATTACACCTGGCTAGAACTAGCCTGGGTCACTAGATGTACTGTATCTAATGCCAAAACATTTTTAACTAATTTTGTAGAGATAATTTATATAATCTTGCATTGTATTATAGATCTTCTCTTTATACCAGAGGACATATCCAAAAAATGTGTTTTGTGTATTATGATCAGTTGCTTATAAATACATTGGGCTTGTTATTCTAGTCCTGATTATTGCTAACTCTAGGTTAATTCGGAATCAGCGAGGATTTCTGAAACAACCTATTTAGCTTGGTGGATAAACTGTTATACAACTTGATTTGAAGAGTTAATAGCACTGTGCAACTTTACTTGATCATTGCACCTATTCAACTTGATACCTATTCAACTCCCGAGGCGTCTAAAGTTGTCGAATATGAACATTTCTTAGATCTGCTAAGGTTTTCTTAGCATTTCAAACACTCTTTACTAATTAACATTCTTTAAAACTATAATTGCATTGCAAGTTGCAGAAAAAATTGCATAGTGTAACACAGTAACAGCACCTTTACATTAATCCAGGGTTAAGCCAATTATGGTAAGACAATTGGATTAATAGGTGAGGGTAAATCAATTATGATTTTTGGCACTTCACTCCATGCAGGAATATTCTAGAGGTTTAAAGGGTCCTAATTTCGAGTGGAATTATACACACTTTTTCTTTTCAATTTTTTTCTTGTGTCTAAATTTTTTCCCTGTCAATTTTTTTTTCGTGTCAATTTTTTTCTTGTCAATTTTTTCCTTCCTGTCAAAAATTTTTCTATTTGAATTATTTTCTTGGGTCCAATTTTTAAAATTTCCAAAATTTCAATATTGGGTTGAAAACACGTCGAAATTGTACAAAACTAAGTAGAATTGCATTCTTTCATCAATAGGATATATTTAAACGCATAAAACATACTTTCATGAATTTCAAAATTTCAGGCAAATGAGCATCGGGGGACCATTTTGGTCAAAATTGACGACTTTTTCAATGTTCCAAAAACCAACCAAATATATTCTAAAATGAAAGATATTAGTCTTAGGAAGCCATTTTTAGCATTTTAAGACAGTTTTTGAACAAAGAGCATATTTGGTTGGCTTTTTGAACAATTGAAAAAGTCGTCAATTTTGACCAAAATGGTAAGGCTTACCCCCTACCATTTTGGTCAACTTTGACGATTTTTTCAATTGTGCAAAAACTGTTTAAAATGCTAAAAATGGCTTCCTAAGACTAATATCTTTCATTTAAGAGCATATTTGGTTGCTTTTTGGAACATTGAAAATGTCATCAATTTTGACAAAAAGGTGAGGCTTACCCGCTTACCATTTTGGTCAATTTTGATGACTTTTTCAACTGTTCAAAAACTCTCTTAAAATGCTAAAAATGGCTTCCTAAGACTAATATCTTTCATTTTAGAGCATATTTGGTGGGTTTTTTGAATAGTTGAAAAAGTCCAAAAAGGCTTACCCCTTAAAATTTTGGTCAATTTTGACGTCTTTCTCAACTGTTCAAAAACTGTCTTAAAATGCTAAAAATGGCTTCCTAAGGCTAATATCTTTAATTTTAGAGCATATTTGGTCGGTTTTTGGAACATTGAAAAAGTGGTCAATTCTGACGACTTTTTCAATTGTTCAAAAACTGTTTTAAAATCTTAAAAATGGCTTCCTAAGACTAATATCTTTCATTTTAGAGCATATTTGGTTGCTTTTTGGAACATTCAAAAGTGGTCAATTTTGACCAAAATGGTAAGGCTTACCCCTAACCACTTTGGTCAATTTTGACGACTTTTTTAAACTGTTCAAAAACACTCTTAAAATGCTAAAAATATCTTCCTAAGACTAATATCTTTCATTTTAGAGCATATATGGTTGGTTTTCGGAAGATTGAAAAAGTGATCAATTTTGACCAAAATGGTAAGGCTTACCCCTTACCATTTTGGTCAATTTTGACGACTTTTTCAATTATTCAAAAACTGTTTAAAAATGCTAAAAATGGCTTCCTAAAACTAATGTCTTTCATGTTAGAGCATATTTGGTTGGTTTTTGGAACATTGAAGAAGTCGTCAATTTTGACCAAAATGGTAAGGCTTACCATTTTGGTCAATTTTGATGACTTTTTCAATTGTCCAAAAACTCTCTTACAATGCTAAAAATGGCTTCCTAAGACTAATATCTTTCATTTTAGAGCATATTTGGTTGGTTTTTAGAATATTGAAAAAGTCGTCAATTTTGACCAAAATGGTAAGGCTTACTTACCCCCTAACCATTTTGGTCAATTTTGACAACTTTTTCAATTGTTCAAAAACTCTCTTACAATGCTAAAAATGGCTTCCTAAGACTAATATCTTTCATTTTAGAGCATATTTGGTTGGTTTTTTGAACCTTGAAAATGTCGTCAATTTTGACCAAAATGGTAATGCTTACCCATTACCATTTTGGTCAAATTTGATCACTTTTTCCACGGTTCAAAAACTCTCTTAAAATGCTAAAAATGGCTTCCTAAGACTAATATCTTTTATTTTAGGGCATATTTAGTTGCTTTTTGGAACATTGAGAAAGTCTTCAATTTTGACCAAAATGGTAAGGCTTACCCAATACCATTTTGGTCAATTTTGACGATTTTTTCAATTGTTCAAAAACTGTTTAAAATGCTAAAAATGGCTTCCTAAGACTAATATCTTTCATTTAAGAGCATATTTGGTTGCTTTTTGGAACAATGAAAATGTCATCAATTTTGACCAAAAAGGTGAGGCTTACCCGCTTACCATTTTGGTCAATTTTGATGACTTTTTCAACTGTTCAAAATCTCTCTTAAAATGCTAAAAATTGCTTTCTAACACTAATATCTTTCATTTTAGAGCATATTTTGTTGCTTTTTGGAACACTGAAAACGTGTTCAATTTTGACCAAAATGGTAAGGCTTACCATTTTGGTCAATTTTGATGACTTTTTCAATTGTCCAAAAACTCTCTTAAAATGCTAAAAATGGCTTCCTAAGACTAATATCTTTCATTTTAAAGCATATTTGGTTGGTTTTTGAAACATTGAAAAAGTCGTCAATTTTGACCAAAATGGTAAGGCTTACTTACGCCCTAACCATTTTGGTCAATTTTGACGACTTTTTCAATTGTTCAAAAACTGTCTTAAAATGCTAAAAATGGCTTCCTAAGACTAACATCTTTCATTTTAGAGCATTTTGAGACATTTTTTGATGAGTTAAAAATGTGGTCAAAATTGACCAAAATGGTAAAGCTTACCCTTTACCATTTTGGTCAATTTTGAAGATTTTTTTAAATTTTCAAAAACTGTCTTAAAATGCTAAAAATGGCTTCCTAGGACTAATATCTTTTATTCTAGAGCATTTTGAGACACTTTTTGATGAGTTGAAAAAGTGGTCAAAATTGACCAAAATGGTAAAGCTTACCCCTTACCATTTTGAAAAACTGTCTTAAAATGCTAAAAATGGCTTCCTAAGACTAATATGTTTCATTTTGGATCATTTTTGGACAGTTTTTTAAAAGTTGATCAAATTGATCAAAATGGTAAGGCTTACCTCTTACCATTTTGATCAAATTTGACGTCTTTTTAAACTGTTTAAAAACTGTCTTAAATTGCTAAAAATAGCTTCCTAAGACTAATATTTTTCATTTTAGATCACTTTTGAGACATTTTTTAAAAGTTGAAAAAGTCGTCAAAATTGACCAAAATGGTAAGGGATAAGCTTTACCATTTTGGTCAATTTTAAAGACTTTTTTAACTTTTTAAAAAGTGTCTCAAAATGCTCTAAAATGAAAGATATTAGTCATAGGAAGCTATTTTTAGCATTTTAAGACAGTTTTTGAAAAGTTGAAAAAAGTGGTCAAAATTGACCAAAAATGTAAGGCTGACCCCTTACCATTTTGGTCAATTTTGACGACTTTTTAAACTTTTTAAAAACTGTCTTAAAATGCTAAAAATGCCTTCCTAAGACTAATATCTTTTATTCTAGAGCATTTTGAGACACTTTTTGATGAGTTGAAAAAGTGGTCAAAATTGACCAAAATGGTAAAGCTTACCCCTTACCATTTTGGTAAATTTTGACGATTTTTTTAACTGTTCAAAAACTGTCTTAAAATAATAAAAATGGCTTCACAGGACTAATATGTTTCATTTTGGATCATTTTTGGACAGTTTTTTAAAAGTTGAAATAGTGGTGAAAATTGACCAAAATGGTAAGGCTCTTACCATTTTGGTCAATTTTGACGACTTTTTGAACTTTTTAAAAACTTTCTTAAAATGCTAAAAATGGCTTCCTAAGACTAATATCTTTCATTTTAGAGCATTTTGAGACAGTTTTTGAAACGTTCAAAAAGTCGTCAAATTTGACCAAACTGGTAATGCTTACCTCTTACCATTTTGGTCAATTTTTACGACTTTTGAAACTTTTTAAAAACTGTCTTAAAATGCTAAAAATGGCTTCCTAAGATTAGTATTTTTCATTTTAGAGCATTTTGAGACACTTTTTGAAAAGTTGAAGAAGTCGTCAAAATTGACCAAAATGGTAAGGCTTATCTCTTACCATTTTGGTCGAGTTTGACTACTTTTTGAACTTTTCAAAAACTGTTTTAAAATGCTAAAAATGGCTTCCTAAGACTAATATCTTTCATTTTAGAGCACATTTGGTTGGTTTCTGGAAGAATCAAAAAGTTGTCAAAATTGACCAAAATGGTAAGGCTTACTTACTTCTTACCATTTTGGTCAATTTTGACGACTTTTTAAACTTTTCAAAAACTGTCTTAAAATGCTAAAAATGGCTTCCTAAGACTAATATCTTTCATTTTAGAGCATTTTGAGACAGTTTTTGAAAAGTTCAAAAAGTCGTCAAATTTGACCAAACTGGTAATGCTTACCTCTTACCATTTTGGTCAATTTTTACGACTTTTGAAACTTTTTAAAAACTGTCTTAAAATGCTAAAAATGGCTTCCTAAGATTAGTATCTTTCATTTTAGAGCATTTTGAGACACTTTTTGAAAAGTTGAAGAAGTCGTCAAAATTGACCAAAATGGTAAGGCTTATCTCTTACCATTTTGGTCGAGTTTGACTACTTTTTGAACTTTTCAAAAACTGTTTTAGAATGCTAAAAATGGCTTCCTAAGACTAATATCTTTCATTTTAGAGCACATTTGGTTGGTTTCTGGAACAATCAAAAAGTTGTCAAAATTGACCAAAATGGTAAGGCTTACTTACTTCTTACCATTTTGGTCAATTTTGACGACTTTTTCAAATGTTCAAAAACTGTCTTAAAATGCTAAAAATGGCTTCCTATGACTAATATCTTTCATTTTAGAGCATTTTGAGACACTTTTTGAAAAGTTCAAAAAGTCGTCAAAATTGACCAAACTGGTAAGGGATAATTAAGCTTTACCATTTTGGTCAATTTTAAAGACTTTTTTAACTTTTCAAAAATTGTCTCAAAATGCTCTAAAATGAAAGGTATTAGTCTTAGGAAGCCATTTTTATCATTTTTAGACAGTTTATGAAATGTTGAAAAAGTGGTCAAAATTGACCAAAATTGACGACTTTTTCAATGTTCCAAAAACTAACCAAATATGCTCTAAAATGAAACATATTAGTCTTAGGAAGCAATTTTTAGTATTCCAAGAGAGTTTTTGAACAATTGAAAAAGTTATCAAAATTGACCAAAATGGTAAGGCGTAACTTTACCATTTTGGTCAATTTTGACGACTTTTTTAACTGTTCAAAAACTGTCTTAAAATGCTAAAAATAGCTTTATACGACTAATATCTTTCATTTTAGAGCATATTTGGTTGCTTTTTGGAACATTGAAAATGTCATCAATTTTTACCAAAATGGTGAGGCTTACCCCCTTACCATTTTGGTCAATTTTGATGACTTTTTCAACTGTTCAAGAACTCTCTTAAAATGCTAAAAATGGCTTCCTAAGACTAATATCTTTCATTTTAGAGCATATTTGGTTAGTTTTTGGAACATGGAAAAAGTTGTCAATTTTGATCAAAATGGTAAGGCTTACCCCTTACCATTTTGGTCAATTTTTGACGACTTTTTCAATTGTTCAAAAACTGTCTTAAAATGCTAAAAATGGCTTCGTAAGACTAATATCTTTCATTTTAGAGCATATTTGGTTGCTTTTTGGAACATTCAAAAATGTCATCAATTTTGACCAAAATGGTAAGGGCTTGCCCCTTACCATTTTGGTCAATTTTGACGACTTTTTCAATGGTTCAAAAACTGTCTTAAGATTCTAAAAATGGCTTCGTAAGACTAATATCTTTCATTTTATAGCATATTCGGTTGGTTTTTGGAACATTGAAAAAGTCGTCAATTTTTACCAAAATGGTCCCCCGTTGCCCATTTGCCTGAAATTTTGCCGAAAGTCATGAAAGTATGATTTTATGCGTTCAAATATATCCTATTGATGAAAGAAGGCAATTCTATTTAGTTTTGTACAATTTCGATGTGTTTTCAACCGAATATTGGAATTTTAAAAAAATTTAATAAAATCGAGAATTTTTTCTTCGGTCCCCCGTTTCATGTTTGCCTGAAATTTTGAAATTCATAAAAGTATGATTTTATGCGATCAAATGTAGCGTTTACGTGAAAGAATGCAATTCTACTTACTTCGGCAGCATTTCGACGTATTTTTATTCGAATATTGAAATTTCCAAAAATTGACGAAAATTATGATTTTTTCTTTAGTCTTCCCTTGCCGATATGCCTGAAATTTTGAAATTCATAAAAGTATGATTTTATTTCTTCATATGTAATCTTTTCATGAAAGAATGCAATTTTACTTTCTTCGGCAGCATTTCGACGTATTTTTATTCGAATATTGAAATTTCCAAAAATTGACGAAAATTATGATTTTTTCTTTAGTCTTCCCTTGCCGATTTGCCTGAAATTTTGAAATTCATAAAAGTATGATTTTATTTCTTCATATGTAATCTTTTCATGAAAGAATGCAATTTTACTTTCTTCGGCAGCATTTCGACGTATTTTCAACCGAATATTGAAATTTCAAAAAATTGACGAAAATCAGGATTTCTTTTTTGGTCCCTCGTTGGCGATTTGCCTGAAATTTAAATTCATTAAAGTATGATTTTATGTGCTCATATGTAATCTTTTCATGAACGAATGTAATTTTACTTTTTGAAGCATTTTGAGGTATTTTCAACCGAGTTTTGAAATTTCAAAAATTGACGAAAATTAGGATTTTTCCTTTGGTCCTCCGTTGCCGATTTGTCTGAAATTTAAATTCATTAAAGTATGATTTTATGTGCTCATATGTAATCTTTTCATGAACGAATGTAATTTTACTTTTTGAAGCATTTTGAGGTATTTTCAACCGAGTTTTGAAATTTCAAAAATTGACGAAAATTAGGATTTTTCCTTTGGTCCCCCGTTGCCGATTTGCCTGAAATTTTCAAATTCATGAAAATATGATTTTATGCGTTCAAATGTATTCTTTTGATGAAAGAATGCAATTCTACTTAGTTTTGCACAATTTCGACATTTTTCCTTTCGAAAAAATTTCGTGACAGAAAAAAAATTGACAGAAATAAATTGGAGACAAGAAAAAAAATTTGGCACAAGAAAAAAATTGACAGGAAAAAAAATTTGGAAACAAGAAAAAATATTGACAGAAGAAAAAAAAATTGTACAGAAATTATTTGAAATAAATAAATTGTACAGAATCATTGTGACGATTGCCGTATTCGACATATCATATATTTAATTAAATTACAAGTTTAGAATAATGTAGTGATATATGTACAAGCCATGATATATGTAAAAGCTACTAGTGATATATGTAAAAGGCATGCAGTAGTGATATAGTGATATATATAAGAGAGCCACTAGTGATATATGTAAAAGGCATGCAGTAGTGATATAGTGATATATATAAGAGAGCCACTAGTGATATATGTAAAAGGCATGCAGTAGTGATATATATAAGAGCCACTAGTGATATGTGTAAAAGGCATGCAGTAGTGATATAGTGATATATATAAGAGCCACTAGTGATATGTGTAAAAGGCATGCAGTAGTGATATAGTGATATATATAAGAGCCACTAGTGATATATGTAAAAGGCATGCAGTGGTGATATAGTGATATATATAAGAGCCACTAGTGATATGTGTAAAAGGCATGCAGTAGTGATATAGTGATATATATAAGAGCCACTAGTGATATGTGTAAAAGGCATGCAGTAGTGATATAGTGATATATATATAAGAGCCACTAGTGATATATGTAAAAGGCATGCAGTGGTGATATAGTGATATATATATAAGAGCCACTAGTGATATATGTAAAAGGCATGCAGTAGTGATATAGTGATATGTATAAGAGCCACCAGTGATATGTGTAAAAGGCATGCAGTAGTGATATATAGTGAATTATGTAAAAGACATGCTGTAGTGATATAGTGATATATGTAAAAGGCATGCAATAGTGATATAGTGATATATGTAAGAGCCACTAGTGCTATATATGTATTATTAAAAAGGCATGAAGTAGTGATATAAGTGTAAAAGGCAATAGTGATATAGTGATATATGTAAAAGGCATGCAGTAGTGATATAGTGATATAAGTAAGAGCCACTAGTGATATATATGTATTATTAAAAAGGCATGAAGTAGTGATATATATGCCAAAGGCAATATATAGTGATATATGGTACAAAGCATGCAATAGTAATACATGTAAAATCAAGCCAGTAGTGATATATGTAATTATGTAAATTAAGCCAGTAGTGATATATGTAAAATTAAGCCAGTAGTGATATATGTAAAAACTAGTAGCCTAGCTAGTGTAGGTAAAAGTTAGACCCAGGTAGTAGTGATATATGTAAAGGCAGTAGTCGGTGCCATCTTCAACTCCCAAAGGTTAAATTTCAATAGCTGTACATGCATCCTAGCTATAAGTAGTAGAAGTGCCATCAACAAGCATCCGAGTAGCACATTCGCCTGCATGGTGAAAATCTCCCAGATACCTGGAGATTATCTTGGAAACAGAAGCTAAACGCAGCGATACGAAATTCAACAAACGATGCGGTTTTGGAAACATACTTTGTCATGCACCGCTACAGGAGTGCATGCATGCCTTTTAACCAAGGGCTGTCCCCTCGCATCGTTCCGGTGTCCCTGGCAGTATATATATATATATATATATATATATATATATATATATATATATATATATATATATATATATATATATATATATATATATTATATATATATATTAATATATATTATTAATATATATATAATTACACATAGAATATATATACACATAGACTACACAATAAATAATTCTAGTGATAATAATACCTGAGCTAAAGGCGAAAGTATTATTCAATCAAATGCTGCGTTATACAATTTTACAATTTGAAGCTTTATAGCTACATCAGTCATAGTCTGGAAGCTCGGCCAATGTCTACAATGTCCATGAGCTGAAATTTCAGCGAGATTTTAGTACTGTAAATTTCAACTGAATTTCATGAACTGTGTAAAACACTATTTAAGTTCAAATGAATGGATTAAAACGCGCGAGATTTGGACAAATTTCACACCAGAAGGCACTCGCATTATCATTGAGAAATGCCGATGTGCAGAACAGACTTGAATTCCATTTTAACTATAGCACCCATGATAAACATTAACACAGACAGAACAAAACATTTAGGCGAGTTTCCAGACCAAGCATGGCTTAGCATGTCTCCGGTTGAAAAGGAAACAGGTACAGTTAATATTTAAGTATACCCTAAATTGGGTAATGCCATCGCATCGTCTTTGTTTTCGACCCCAGTTTGCGGTTGAACAGTGGATCTATGACGACGAGGTCTTTTAATCACGATAACCAAAGCGCCAATAAGAATCAGGCTGAGGCAACCGACCCCAACCAGAGAACCAAAAAGTGCACTGCTGGCACCAGATTTACCTGAAGAATAGTTAATTTATATATTGAGCCCCATTTTTGGTAGGGTACCCAAAAATAATATACGGATGTAATTGTAACTGCCCAATCAATCTCTACCAGTACAAATTTATCTCTTTCTACTATGTTCAATTTCAGTTTGGTACGGATAAAATTGGCATTGATGGAATTTAGACTACCTGAATATAGATGGTCAAAATTTCATCCGTAGCAGACCTAGAATTTGTGCGGTGTAAATAGGGGGCTCAGTTGATACATATTTTCTACTCTTTGGTGTGACATGATCCTACCTCCAGAGTTCTTGTCAGTTGATTCCTTTCCATACATCAATGGACCAAATGACAGCGCATATTTTTTTGATGCATCATCTGATGGTTCGTCGACAGCAGCGCGACGAACTCGTCGCGGACATGAAGTACTTCGGGAGCAGGTGGAGTTAGAATCATATCTGTAACAGACAACAAGATCGCAGTGGAGGTAGACGAACCGATGTTGTGAGAGAAAGCGAAAAGCCTGGATACTGAAACGTTGTACAGAACTCATCCCGTATGTATAATGCCGGATCGTCTCATCTTTATCACAACTAAAATGAAAGGATGTTGAATGAGAATTTTAACCTGGTAACAAAGTTACAAATAAATTATTGGCCCAATATATACTAAAGACTTAGGACGGATTATCCGCCTAGTCGAAGTATATGTAGACGAATATGTTAAACGAAACTGAATCGCGCGTTTAGAAAGTGCGCGGAAAATGGTAACGAATGTGGATGGCATGTGCATTCAACCGCTAAAAGAAACTTACCCGTCATCAATGAAGACATACTGTGGAGTATCATAAGGTCTGTTCGTAGGTGTAGCTCTACACGTCTCTGCGCGCACGACAAGATCATAGTTGCTCGTGTTTAAATAATATTGAATATAAAGATTATCTGACAGTGATTTGACAACTGGATAGTCTTGTGAAGTGTATGAATCACGATAATTCCTGCTTCTGAAAACATCCATTGACAGAGAGAAATTGCCTTTTCCACCTTAAAAAAGTTTTTTAATGTAATATAGTTGTAATTAGATTTTTTCATCACACTAAACACGGCTAAAATGGGTACCTACTACCGTAACAATTTCACCCGTGCTTGGCCTTTGTATCGCTTAACACGGATAATATTAGGTTCGGGTATATTCGTCGTTTTGAAACATCCAGGGTGTTGATTTCGGCAAAACGCATATGCAAGAGCTTTTGGGTGGGACAGCCTAATGAAGACATGGATGCAGTATCATGCGGTAGTATAATAACTTCGTATAGTATAGATGTTTTACTGACATATACTTACTCAGAACAACGAGCGTTCTTTCTTTTGCTGGATCAAAACTGAAAGATCCAACAGTACGTTTTCGAGGAAATGAACATGTCATGTTGGCTCTGAAGAGGTAATTTCTTGTGATAACACCAGAGCCACTATAACTCTGTTCTACCTCAGACAGAGAGTTGCTAAAATAGAGGGTTTGATCGTCTTTTGTGACCACTGTTCCACAACCAGTAAGCTGAGTTTTTACAATGACATGTGTTGAGTTATAGCTTGCTTTACAATAGTAACTCCGGTATTGAAGATAAAGACGACCAACATTGACATTCTTTGGAAGATCTGATCGGTGAAATACAGCTGTCATATAGTCTTTGTCACAAAACACCTGGAAATGAGATGCTAAAACAAAAAATACCAATGAGGGAGTTGTCTACATTGCGGCACAGCCCCTACCATTTTTTCACCGGGAACGTCATCTATCATTTCCGCTATCACAGAATCTATCACAATCAACATTCAGGGAAGTTCCCATTACCCCTGTTTCCATTACCTCCGCAGTTTTTTTAAAGACTGCTCACACGGGTAAAGGGAAGAAAGCCTCTATCGTTATTTCAGTATTTATCGGTCAATCGTCATCACTTACAAATTACTGTTATCATGACTACCATGCATAACCAATATAACCATCACTATACCATCGCACTACCATGAACGGTATTCCATTCCATGCTCGTGAATATAAAACTCACCGTTGCACGTTTGGCCAGACATCTTTTTGGCAAGAGATTCTAGTTGGGAAAAGTTGTCCAAGATGATAACATGTTGATCCACTGGATCTGATGCCATTTCTCTCAGTTCTTGCATAGATAATCTGTGTCCAATCCCCACACTGAATATTACAACCCCATAGTTCTTCAGTTTCAAAGCTGGTCCGCTCACCTGCCCGTTACTATACCCGTCTGTCAAGATTACTAATACCTTTTTAAACCCTGAAAAATTAGAAGAACTTAAGGCCCTTCTCAAGGGTGTGTTGGGTTCCCAAAATCACTGCCTGCTTTATCTGGAGTTACGATGTAAATTTCGTTGTATCCACTATAACACAACCAATTTCGATAGTTATGGTTATAGTTAATAAGGTAATCTAGCCAGATACATTTTACATCTTCCAATTCTTACCTGGTCCTCTGGCTCCATATCCTGTCGTAAACATAGAATTATATGCCATGTTCAAAGCCATGCTGGTGGCAGTTCCTCCGCCTGTATATCGAATTCTATCCACGGCATTATCGAACTGGCTTTTATCAGAAAAATATGTCGAAAAGCGAATATGAATGTTTGCAGAGTTCGCATACGACATCACGGAAACCCGGGTCTCTTCTTGGCTAATTTTATAAAAGTCTGTCAGATCTTTGACAAATCGTTTTATTCGTTCAAAGTTATAGTATCCAACACTGCCAGAGTTATCCAGTATAAAAGCAAGATCCAACTTCTTTTGGCATTTGGTAAAATCCCCTGAAAAACAGAATCCAAGTCTAAGAATGAACTGATGAATGGTTTAAAACAGATTGTGCAAGTAACAGTTATTATATCTACATTTCAACACCCAAATTGACAAAGTGTCAATTATTGTAAAATTGAAAAAACAAAATTTAAACCCCTCTATCAATACAAGGAATACTTTCAACAGTTAAACTTTAGTTTTTACCTTTAAAGGAACCATATGCACTCGATTTAGCTGAAATGAAAAAAAAGTTGCAAATATGAAAATTATTTTTGAAGACAGGAATGAATTACATGTTTAACTGACTACACATGTTACGATATTTAAATCAATCTGATCTTGTGCATGCTTTGCTGGACCAATATTTTTCTTAATATTGATTGCAACCTAAAACATGCATACATTACCTTCAATTATGCTTGAAGTCGGAGTTGGGTCTATAGAGCTTGATGGTCCTGTACACGATAAAAGACGTTTGTATATCATATTTCGTTTCCAGTTATTTGATCATGAATGGGTGTAAGATTAAAATTTGATTTAATTTGAATACTACAAATCATTTGGAAAACATGCCACTCTGTATAAGTTTATTTTTTGCATCTAGGTTTCTCTTTTCTTGATATTATACGAGACATTTTCACGAATATACTGTTTGTTTCAAACAGAAAGGTATATCTAGGAGATTGGAAAATACGGTATGGATACAGAACAGCAAAATATAAAAAACAAGCCGGAAATATATTATAGTGAGCAACATGAGTTACATGAGATTTGATTCAATATATATGATCTATTTACATATGTAAATTACAAGGTCGTAAGGATAATGACGGATAGGAAGGTATAAGATAGTACATAACAAAACGCTGCAGACGAAGGGACATAAACAGGAACGATGAAAAACGCGCTACAGAAGATTAGGTGGGATTGAGCTGCCCTGGATGTTAAATGAGGGTTTTAGTTTGGAAATGAGGAAGCTTTCATGCAGCGTTCTCACTTCTAAGGAAATTCCCTTATGAAAAGTTTGACTTTATCGTGGGGAGGGAGGATAGATCGCGTGAATGGCTGAACCTGCATTCTTATGCATTTAATATGTTTTTCCATTAAAAAATAAAACTATTTACATCGAAATATTTCAGCTCGGTTGTTTAATGAATAGATAATTTTGTTTTCCATTTTGAAATTATCCTGCACCCTTTAAGCTAAAAAAACGTCTTTCGAAAAACCGTTCCTTTCCATCTTTATCCGGCATAAATTATATATTCTCACCTCCATTGACTTTACATCGAACACCAGCGTCTTCACTGTGGCTACAGTCGTGAATCCCCCATCCTGGATGTCTGCATAAAAATAGCGATGACTCAGAACCTCTACAATTAACTTGATCAAGCCAAATCTGTCCAGTTCCATCGCGAACATTTCCACCCTGATAAGCAGCTTCTGCATCTTGAAAACCAAGCTGTCTGCAGACAACACGAGCATCGTTCATGTCCCAACTATCATCACAAACTGTTCCCCATCTGCCGTTATAATAAACCTCCACTCGTCCATCATTGATTGAACCTACAATTCGAATGTCTGTAAAATTGAAAAACAAAATTTAAACCCCTGTTTCAATACAATGAATACTTTCCACGTGCAGTTAAGCTTTAGTTTTTACCTTTAAAGGAACCATATGCACTCGATTTAGCTGAAATGAAAAAAAGTTGCAAATATGAAAATTGTTTTTGAAGACAGGAATGAATTACATGTCTAACTAACTACACATGTTACGAGTATGTTATATTAAAATTAATCTGATCTTGTGCATGCTTTGCTGGACCAAGATTTTCCTAATACTGATTGCAGCCTAAAACATGCATACATTACCTTCAATGCTTGAAGTCGGAGTTGGATTTATAGAGCTTGATGGTCCTGTACACGATAAAATACATGCGTATATCATATTTCGTTTCCAGTTATTTGATCATAAATGGGTGAAAGTTTAAAATTTGATTTAATTTGAATACTACAAATCATTTGGAAAATATGTCACCTTGTAGCTATGAGTTTATTTTTTGCATCTAGGTTTCTCTTTTCTTGATATTATACGAAATCGGCATTTTCACGAATATAATGTTTGTTTCAAACAGAAACATATATATAGGAGATTGGAGAATACGGTGTGGATACAAAACAGCAAAATATAAAAAACAAGCCGGAAATATATTATAGTGAGCAAAAAAGCCACTAACGGCAGAGAGACAATTAAGGGGAGATTCTGTTATATTTCCGCGCGTTTTTTGGCGGAAAAACAATAAAATCATGAAATCTTTTCGGCGTACCACTCATTTAAAGTTCATTTATGTTAGCTTTATATTCCTTAGATTGTGTAGTGGACAACGTTTTGAACATAATTTGATGTTTTTTAATGTGCTTTAAAGAGCGACGTAAATCCGTTTCCCTCTGCGATATTCTTTCACACAAATTTTTAGAAAAATTTTCGTGCATGCCGCATGCTGCACTAATAAATAGCTACATACCACAGTTCCACGACCATTCATCGCTACCATCAGAGCATTCTCTCCAACCATTACAAAGATAATATCGATGAATACATTGGTAACCATTATTACATCTGAACTCCCAATACCGACATATAGTTTGTGATGCTTAAAACATAAGAATATAGATGCAAATGTAATTACGCGTCTCTTTAAAACCAGTTCCCCATTAGATTCCAAGTACATGATTATTCTGAAAGTTTCATTCCTCTCCACGGCTTATTTGCGTGGAAATAAAACAAAATAATGCACTATTCACTGGTGGCTGAATTAAAAAATACTGCGAGTATAAATATAAGGGAAAAGGGATGTTTTAGTACTTGAAAGAGGAAGTCAGAAGTATAATGAAGCAAAGAAAAGTGACGGAGAAATTATTAAAAATATGAAAAATAGTTAGTAAAAACATCTTACTATACAGACCTGTTGACGAGGGTTGAATTAGCGTGCTGTTTTCTCTCACTATATAATTTAAATAAAAAAACCCGAGATGTTAATGTTTTAGTACTTGAAAGAGGAAGTCAGAAGTATAATGAAGCAAAGAATAGAAATTAATAAAAAATGAAAAATAGTTAATAAAAACATCTTACTATACAGACCTGTTGACGAGGGTTGAATTAGTGTACTGGTTTGGGTCACTATATAATTTAAATGAAAACAACCTTAATTAAAAAGAATTCTTATGATAAATATGAGAGCCCAACATGTTACATTTAAGAATGCCATCAAAACAATTTAGAGTATAAAATATTATATTTGTAGCGTTTCGTCTTTGACTTAAGACACCTTCAGACTAATTATACAAAATTACATGAGATTTGATTCAATATATATGATGGGACATATATATGTAAGGACAATGACGGATAGGAAGGTATAAGATAGTACATAACAAAACAGTGCAGACGAAGGGACATAAACAGGAACGATGAAAAACGCGTTACAGAAGATTAGGTGGGATTGAGCTGTCCTGGATGTTAAGTGAGGGTTTTAGTTTGGAAATGAGGAGGCTTTCATGCAGCATTCTCAGTTCTAAGGAAATTCCCTTATGAAAAGTTTGACTCTATCGAGGGGAGGGAGGAATAGTTAATATATTATTTTCAAATGTTCTTTGTCTCAGGTTATTCAAAACAACCTTCCCCACAGTTAAACCAATGCATATTTAAATTGTGAGAGCACTGCTTTTATGAATCATTAATTCATTATTGTCAGAACATGAAGAAAGAATTCAGTTAAATCATCAAAGTCGGCAGAGTGCCCTGCAGAGATTATGTGGGACTCCTTGGGAAATTATGCTGGACATAACTGGACTATATAACGATTTTCCAGTTATAGGGGAAATTCCAAAGTGTTCCGATACTTCCGATAGTTTATTAAAACGCTTGGCACAGATAAAGTTAAATATAAATACATACCACAGTTCCACGACCATTCATCACTTCCATCAGAGCATTCTCTCCGACCATTACAAAGATAATATCGATCAATACATTGGTAACCATTATTACATCTGAACTGCCAATACCGACAAACAGTTTGTGATGCTGAATAATATAATTAGACAATTACACAGTTATTAGTTAGGTCTTTTAAAAGAAAAAGCAAATGAAAGAATGGTGACCAAAGAGCAGCGGCTCTTTTAGCTCTTTCGATGTTTGACAGCTTGTATTTCTACTTATCACTTGACACTTGCTCGTAAAAATATAATTCAAAAATTCCCACCCACTATATATAGAGAGCCGGACTACACACACCTGTTGACGAGGGTTGAATTAGTGTACTGGTTTCGCTCACTATATAATTTAAATGAAAACAACAGTGTCAATCTTAATTAAAACGAATTCTTATGATAAATATGAGAGCCCAACATATAACATTTAAGAATGCCATCAAAACAATTTAGAGTATAAAATGATATTATTATATCGTCTTTGACTTAAGACATCTTCAGACTAATGGTATAAAATTACATGAGATTTGATTTAATATATATGATCGATTTACATATGTAAATTACAAGGTCGTAAGGATAATGACGGATAGGAAGGTATAAGTTAGTACATAACAAAACAGTGCAGACGAAGGGACATAAACAAGAACGATGAAAAACGCGTTACAGAAGATTAGGTGGGATTGAGCTGCCCTGGATGTTAAGTGAGGGTTTTAGTTTGGAAATGAGGAGGCTTTCATGCAGCATTCTCAGTTCTAAGGAAATTCCCTTATGAAAAGTTTGACTCTATCGAGGGGAGGGAGGAATAGTTAATATATTATTTTCAAATGTTCTTCAGTTGTCTCAGGTTATTTAAAACAAACCCCCCCCACAGTTAAACCAATGCATATTTAAATTGTGAGAGTACTGCTTTCATGAATCATTAATTCATTATTGTCAGAACATGAAGAAAGAATTCAGTTAAATCATCAAAGTCGGCAGAGTGCCCTGCAGAGGTTATGTGGGACTCAGTGGGAGAGTATGCATGCTGGACATAACTGGACTAGATAACGATTTTCCAGTTATAGGGAAAATTCCCAAGTGTTCCGATACTTCCGATAGTTTATTAAAACGCTTGGCACAGATAAAGTTGAATATAAATACTCACCACAGTTCCACGACCATTCATCACTTCCATCAGAGCATTCTCTCCGACCATTACAAAGATAATATCGATCAACACATTGGTAACCATTATCACATCTGAACTGCCAATGCCGACAGATAGATATTGATGATGCTGAATATGAAAATAATCGAGAAACATTGGTTTGTAGGTGGCTGGGAGGTTTTACCTATTTTCTGAACCAGCCGTTTTTCGTGGCCATTTGCGGCGAGCAGAATGTTACTTATCAATAAACGTTTTGATATAGATTTAGACAAATATGTTAGCGATAACAAATTTATTGAAGAACGACGTTTCGAAGTCATCTTGACCTCATTTTCAAGTTCAAATGATTCTTGAAAATGAGGTCAAGTTGACTTCGAAACGTCGTTCTTCAATAAATTTGTTATCGCTAACATATTTGTCTAAATCAGAATGTTACTGTTAGTATTATTACTCGAATAAGAAAGATGTTTTATTGTTTGAAAAATAAATGGCGATTAAAACTGTTTGAGTGAGAAATTACTGTATTACAAACTTTGCTAGATGGAACTACGACTATTAATAATAGAAGTGTGAATGAACAATTAAGTTCTTTAAAGGAATCATGGGAAATGTAATGAGAACCGGCCGAATACGATTGGTCGGCAAATCTCGACAACGCTGATTGGTCAGCAAATGTGGGCAATGCGAATTGACAGTTAAAATTAATCAGTAAATGAAAAAATATCTTTCGGTTTCAGCAAAATGTGGCCAACCGAAGATTCTGGAAAAAGCTAAAAATTTATTTAAATTTAATTTAAGTTGCCTATATACAACTGTTCATCTTATAGATATAGCCTATATATTGATATAGAAATTTGAATTTTGTACCCTATTTTTAATTGTCTACTTTGTCGATTTAATAAGATATTTCCAAAAATGCGGTTTCAAAAAAATTCATCTTCAATTTTCAAAATAATAAGTTTACGAAAGCAGCCGAAAAAAATTCAAACCTTCGCAAAATAGTTTTAGTCAGTCATGCATAAAAAGATCAATATAAAAAGATCGTCGGATCGGCCCGTGTTTATAAGTAAGCTTGTCTGAAAAGCTTGGCCTGCCTAAAGTTTGTTGTTCTTGTTCTTGATCTTGCAGAGTTTTTTTAGCTATACTAAAATAAAATTAGTATACATCAAGCCAAATCGAGCAAATACTTATAATTACGTACCAATGGGAGTTCCTTGAATGAACGAGGAGTTTTGTGGATACCATTGATGCCATGCCCCTATACGAGACACGGAGAACATTATCAACAAAAACAGAATAGTAAGTCGCATTTTGCACAACTAAATCATGCTACAACTAGATTCACTTTTGAATTTCTTTTTTCCAACGGCAACTGGTTCAGACCTCTGTGTTCAGATTTCGTGATATGACGAGATCTTACGGATAGCATACATATATAGCCGAGTGTTTTTTAAATATTAATAACGCCTTGTAATTAAATTTTTTACTGTAGAGAAAAATTTCATTTAAAATTTAAGTAGTCATTTGTCAAACATGATATTAATTTTTGTACTTAACGTTTTGTTTCGTGGTAACGGTTGATCCCTCGTCACGACACTTTCGTTTGACTTTATGGAGAATGTTTCTTTGCAAATTCTTATTATTTGATAGATTTCGGGTATAATTATTTCGACCTAGCTGTTCCGATAGCAATCACGCATCATGTGAAAGCTACACTCGCTTGAACTCTTTCACTGTGTGATTAGCACCAATCACCATCCATGCATCAACACTTGAGTTTAACAAACAACAGTGGCAGTGCAGAAAGTGAAGGGCGTTAAACTGATAGCACACTAGAGAGTTACTAAAATATAGTTTCAGGATACACGAACAATATTCTGTGCACAAAATGGAATACTTATAAGTCTTCTTTTCTACCGCAATTTTGCGATTCAGAAAATAGATTTTTTCCCATAATTTTTCTGTCAGCTGCATGGCCCCATGCAATGCAGTGTATGTTCATAATATACCCGTTATTAATATTACTTTGCCTCTAGGCAGGACATATATCCCCGAAAACATTTTTTTGGCGCCGAAAACAATTATAACTGTGATTAAATCTTTTTCGGAATTTCAATTAAACTTTCAAGTTTCTATTAATTTAGAAAAAATCTGATTTATCTTTATTTATTTTCTTCGATTCAGCCAATCACAATGCAAGAAAAACTGCGTGGGTTGGTTTCAAAACAATGTCACACGCACGCAATTTCCCTTTTGTAAATCTATCAGTTGGGTTAATTGTGTTTTCCGGCTTGAAGTCCAAACATTAGCTATCGCCGCAGTATCGGAGTATAAATTCGTGTAAACATTGGATATCATGCACTAATAAATTTTCTATAAGCGGTGTCTAAACATCGGATGTTCGTCTCTATTGTGACGTTATGTTTAATGCAACTGTAGCGTATGCTCTGCCATGTAATTGCCATGCTCTGCCATGTAATGGACACTTCCCGAATTTGCTTCAGAGTACACATAAAACAATAGCTTGGAAACGAGGCGATGGCAATGCAATGTATTGTTAGCGGGAGGGTTTTCATTGCCCGAGAACTAATTCGGGAAGGTTCTATTGCATTTGTGCTTATTACAATAATAATAACTTATTATTGCGCTGTAAGTTTGAGTGTATTTGCATAATAAATACATATCATCAATCGTCCACATAATATCTGAGACAAAAATTTTGCGATAATTTTTTCAAAATCCATACTTTTGAAATATACTATACCCTTACTGTTTCCATACTATACCATTTAAGAAATAGAAAACATTTTCCGTATTTCTATACAGTTATAGAAACATGCGTGGGAGTTTGGGAGAACGAGAAATAATCAGTGAAATAATAATATAGCGTTATTTTGAGTTATATATATATCATTACTCGTGATGGGCATGAATCGTTGTGTTTTTATAACAAATATTGTAATTAAATTTTCTCAGCGACACCAAACGTATGGACATATATAATTAATTTTTATAATAAGAATGTTGAACTAAAGTCTTCGGTTAAATTACTGTTGTTAACTGGGTCCTGTTCGACACAAGAAGGTTAGGTTAAATTTGAGGCAGATTTTTTGCTCACTGTGCATATATCCAGTGGCGTAGCTGCTATAATTGCATGTTGTTAAATATAATTGTTGATGGGGGGGGGGGGGGGATATTAATATCAGTTCATTTTAATGAATATATGATATTTATGAATATAGCCTCCCTCAATTATCGTTGCTACATTGCTACGCCACTGCATGTATCTATACGTGTATTATCGATATTGCTATTTATATAAATACTTCTTATAGAAATTGAGATATACATGTGTCTGTCAACAAGAGGTCACACTGCATGTCCAAGTTACAAAACCTGAATAAACATCTAAGAACGTGCAATGTTCAGTGTTGGGACATGCATTTGCACAATTCCTGATAGCGCTGATAGGGATTAAACATTAACGGTGTCTGAATACCTTTTTGTCCTATAATAAAATACATTTTACACATATAGATTATAGTATACCGCAAATATAGTTAACTTACCTGCTGCGATGATCAATTGCTTTAGTTCTTACATCAACGGTTTAGTTCTACATTTTTAAGTATAAAGTAAATTTAACTCAGTGCAACGACAAGTGTGATCATGCACGCCGCACGCGTGTCTCAAAAAAACGAAAACTGTTGAAATCACCCATAACAATGCAATTGTTAGAGTTTGAATGCCTAAGCACTCAGTTGGGACTCGCAGGTGTATAAATGTTTGCCATGCATACGCATTTTGTATATGATGCGGTAAAATTTGCTTGTACACAAAAATAATATTTATTAACAATATTTACAATTTACAAAATATGGATAGCAATATTTAAATGTGCATCTCAAGGACCATAACTTTCGACATTTCCCCTTTCTCTAGCAGCACAAAGTATTCAGCATTTTATAAGCTGCATTAAATCCCTACGGGCTGAAATTCGTGAGCACAGCATTCAAATTTTAACAGAGAGTGTTTTTAATAGTTTTCGGGTTTTTTTGAGACACTGTATAGGACAAATACAATAAATTTCAAAAACACAAAAATACAAAACAAAATTAACAAACTCTGAAGTCCCAAGAGTGAACACTATTATTGTTGTGAATAACACAACTGTTTATAAGGTACATAAAAAACCTGAACATAGGGTGGCGCTAACACGATGGAATCAGGTTTTATACGATGTTTATCGTTATAGTACACTAAGTACAGAGTGCCGTACAAAACTATTCTTACAAGTGACATGAATATGTCCAGTTGAATGGCTGATGTGATTTTATGTTTCTATATGTGTTTAGTCAACAATGACTTTTGCATACAGAAATAAAGACATCTTCTAACAAAAATTTTATTTTAATTTTTTTTGTGTTGTTCCCGCCACAAATGGGAACAACTGCTGAGCTGAGCGTCACGTACTCGTTACCATTTGAAGCATCATATTGAATTACTCTAATTTGAACAAAGAAAACTACTTCTCGTTCATGTGGATAACTTATCCTTTATAGTCATTGATATTATGTTCTCTATATAATATATAACGGACGGAGAACGAATTCTCATTATATTTAGAAATATTAATGCCCAGAAAAATAATAGGCGAAAAAGAAATATTAAAACTTTATTGTGTTTCATTACATTTAAACACTTCTTTACAAGTGGCAGCGTCAGACTATCAATACATACATGCGAATGATGCAATATTCGATTCATCGCTTTACAATTACTATCCTATATATGCACTCAGTTGGTCACATGCATCTATTATTATTACACCTTGAATTGATGAAGGTCCGCTCATTATAAAATTATAACCGAACATGATCTTGAGCTATTACTGAAAGAATAGACCAGCAATCAGTTTGAACTTAGAACTACTTTGAATGAAATGGATCTCAAGTTTTATTCTTACCAGCTAGGGGTGAAGATGCGAAATATTTTACATAGTATGATAAACGTTTAAATAAACATTAGAATACAGTAGATTCTTCCAGTGAATCATTTATAAAAATGCGTTTTTCACCGTTATTTCAGTGCCTAACTCAAAAGTTCTCAAAACAAAAAAAACTTTCTTGGTTTTTTTATTATCAACAGTATATAAATCATCAATTTCCAGCACTTTAGAAAATCATATTTTTTGCTTAATATCAGTTCAGGAATAAAGAGAATTAAACGGTCCCAATCCAACAAGAAAAACAGATTAAGTAAATCCTAAATTCTTCATTGACATTACTTCCTTTTTCTTAACTCCAGTCTGCAGTTCATCAGTGGAACGGCGTTTACGTGATCGTTTAATCATATAGAACAATGCACCAATCAAAATCAGACACAGGCAACCAAATCCAGCGAAACACAACACCAACGTTATGTTGATCTCGGGTTGACCTTAGCAAGGAATACGTATTTAATTATAAGAAGGGTAACTAGAGATTATTCTTTTATCCTCAAATTTCCCCCAAATGTACACGTCATCACACACGCAACGAAACTTGGCCGCCTGATTGGCCGCCTGTGAAATTTTTACAATTTCTGCCGCTTTAATAGTAATTTGTTGGCTTATAATGTATATAAATGAATAAATGTATGTTTAAATGAATTTTTATCTCCGCCAAAAAAAATTATGCCAAAAAAATTTATGCCAAAAAAAATTAGTGAATCAGTTATGTTGAAGAAACAAACTCAAAATCACGCAGATGACCTAAGCAACCCAAATCTGGTTTCTTGCTTAACTGGACAAATTTAAATCATTTTTGACGCGGTTCAAAATCTGAACTTTTGAGGTTATATCGTATTTCTACTAATCATTTCGTGTGTTAAGATTAATTCACAGGTCAGGGCTTGTTATACCTTTTGGCGTCTTGTCAGTTGATTCTCTTTCATGCATCAATGGACCAAATGATAGCGCATATTTTCTCGATGCATCATCTGATGGTTTGTCGACAGCAGCGCGACGATAACGCTGCAGACATGAAGTACTACGGGCGCAGGTGGAGTTAGAATCTTGTCCGTAGCAGACAACAAGATCGCAGTGAAGGTAGACGAACCGATGTTGTGACAGAAATCGGAAAGCCTGAATACTGAAACGCTGTACAGGACTCATTCTCGTTGAATAATGGCGGATCGTTTCATCTTTATCACAGCTGAATGTATTACAGAAAATATAAGCTTTCACCGCAGAAACGCGGCCATGCAGTATCCAATAAATTCGAATGAAGTTAGCTTGTTATTAAAAACCGTTTCGGGTACAATAACTAATAGTAATATGTGGAAAGTCATTTCACAATGAAGAATATATATGTTCAGACATTGTGAAAATCTCATACGATTTAATGTACGCAAATTCATTTAGTTTATTTCTACGGCTCTAAAACGAGGTGGGTAAAATTTTGATGTGGTTTCAGATCATTTTGGTTTAAGAAAAACCGAATCGCAAAAAGATTTTCTACTTACCCGTCATCAATGAAGACATACTGTGGGGTATCATAAGGTCTGTTCGTAGGTGTAGCTCTACACGTCTCTGCGCGCACGACAAGATCTAAGTTGCTCGTGTTTACAGAATATTGAATATAGAGATTATCTGACAAAGACTTGGCAACTGGATAGTCTTGTGAAGTGTATGATTCACGGTAATCACCTCCTTTAAAAACACCCAATGTCAGAGTGAAATTTCCTTTCGCACCTAAAAATATTTGAGTCGTATATCAATAGTAGCGTTTCTATTCCAATCAAGTTGTCTGGTTCAGGCTATAAATCTTAAAACGGTTTAAAATAACGAAGCCTGGATCGTGATTGGTTAACGTGATTGAGTGGTGGTAGTGGCAGTACTCCTCATAAATGTTTCAGGAGTTTTCAAGACAATTGTTCTAGCCACAATTTTTACTAGTGAAATTATACATTGTTGGGACGATCAATAGACATTATATGTAACGAAGTAGGGGTTCTTAAATGTGATACTTACTTAGAACAACAAATGTGCTTTCTTTTGCTGGGGCAAAACTGAAAGATCCAACAGTACGTTTTCGAGGATATGAACACGTCATCGCTGCAGTGAAAAGATAATTTCTTGAAACAGAACCAGAGCCGCCATGACTCGATTCCATCTCGCTAAGTGTGTTGCTAAAATAGAGGGTTTGATCGTCTTTTGTGAACACTGTTCCACAACCAGTAAGCTGAGTTTTTACAATGACATGAGTTGAGTTCCAGTTAGCTTTGCAGGAGCGGCTTAGAAGGTAAAGACGATCAACATTGACGTGTTTGGGAAAATCTTTACGGTCAAATACAGCTGTCATGTAGTCGTTGTCACAAAACACCTGGAAATGGTATGCTAAAATAACATATATTAGTATTATCACTTTGCCAACATAATCACAAGTATTCGAACTTGCCATCAAAAACAAACGTTATAGTGGCTCTCTACTGCCATAACTACTGTCATCGTGAACAAAACACGAAATGTACAAAACTCACCATCACAAGTCTGAGAGGACATATTTTTAGAAAGGCTTGCCAGTTGCGTAAAATTGTTCAAAGTGATAACATGTTGATCCACTGGATCTGATGCCATTTCTCTCAGTTCCTGCATGGATAAACTCTGTCCAATCCCCACGCTGAATATCACAACGCCAGAGTTCTTCAGTTGCCGTGAAGGTCCGCTAACTTGTCCTGTGTTACTACGGCCGTCCGTTAGGATTATCATAACTTTTTTGAACTCTAGAATTGACGACAATGAAGCGGTGACTGAACACAGGTGAGGGTGCTAAAGTTCCGAAAACTCCATCTATACCGCGTTAGTAAACAAATTAAATGAGAAGAATAAAGACTTACAAAATTAAGTCATGCAGTGGTGCTTAAATTATTAAGGAACGAAATACTTTCTTGTTCATAAGATGTTTCATAATTTTACCTGATCCTCTGGCTCCATATTGTGCTGTGAACATAGAATTATATGCCAAATTCAACGCCACGCTGGTGGCAGTTCCTCCAGCTGTAAATGGAATTCTATCCACGGAATTATCGAACTCGCTTTTAGTAGAAAAATATGTCGAAAAGCGAATACGAATGTTTGCAAAGCTTGAAAACGACATCACAGAAATCCGGGTCTCTTCTCGACCAAGCTTGTAAAAGTCTGCAAAGTCTTTTACAAATTGTTTCATTCGTTCAAAATTATTGTAACCAACACTGCCAGAGCTGTCCAGTATAAAACCAAGATCCAACTTGTTTTGACATCTGGTAAAATTCCCTGAAAATATTAAATTATAGAATTGCCGTTAGATTAAGGTAATATTTCCGGCAGTAAATATTCATATTACTGAATATTCATACCCCCATCAAATGAAAACATTGAAATTCTTGTCCGCCGAAGCAAGAAACGGTGCAGTTCACTGCAGTTAATACGAACACAAACCTTTTACGGGACAGTTGACTTCGTCGCTCCCATCAAAACAATGATTTCTTCCATCACAAATATTTGATGAATCGATACATCTGCCGTTTCTACATTGGTACTCGTTGTAACCACACTGATATGGTGTCGTGGAAGATGCCAATATAACTCTTTCTATAAAAGTATATGCAAGCTAGGTGTGGTTATTCTGGTAAACGGACTCAGGTCAATGGAAAGGGCATATGAGAAAACTAACTGATACACGGCACAGTGTTCAGTACTTGAAGAATTTAAATTTATTCGCCACACGTTGTGACACACCTGTCTCATGATGCTCTGATCTAGTGCAATGATAATCATGTTCCCAGATTGACATGTGAACAATCCCAACAATTTTACTGGAACACTTTATACTGACAGCGTAACTGTCACAGTTCATGAAAATCTCAGAATATTAATATGGTTAAACCTAACAATCGCGTTTGTTGGGGGCACGATAAAATCAGAAAAAGTTTTTAAACAGTTTTCATACATACCTGTCGACGAGGGTTGAATTGCTAAAGTGCTTTTAATCACTGTAAAAATAATTTCACATCTTTATAATTTATCGTAAGAGACACCACAGGAGGGCGTGTCCCGCCAGGCATGTGTCCTCAAATCTTACAGGACTTTTAAATAGCGTACTAGAGAAATTGCTATACCTATATATATATATATATATATATATATATGGAGAGGTTTTAATAAAATATGTATAGGCTTTTTGGCATAGCTTTCCAACCAGACAGACGGAGTGGTATAGCCACTAAATAAATGTCTTAAATTTACAATTCAAAATTCGATGAGCGCTCATGTCTGTATTTCTGTTTATCTCTACAACATTTAAAAGGTGCGTCTAAATGTTTCTTTACCTTCAGTGGAGGTCATCAAGTTGTATCCTAAAGTAGAAGTGGTGGAGATGTATCCTGAAAGAACAGTAAAATATCATGTACTTTGAAATTGTTTAGTAAATGAAAAGAATTGCCAGTTATATTAAGAAAGAAAGTTCAATGAAAAACTCATAAAATGAGTATGAGTATGGTTCTATTTTTATATGAAATAACTCGTTTAGATAAATTTTTATGTTCATATAGTCAGCAATGGAACTAATATATAATTATATAATTTGCATGAACCAGTTCTTTTAGTTTGCAGTTAAGCTGATTCCCATTGAATGAAAATGTTTCCTGACGATGGAATGTGTGAATATCAGCATTTATTATTGTTTGATTTGTATAACCGCAATAATTTCAAAAGTTAAATTAAAGTAAGGTTCATCGCTTCATGCATTGAACTTTCTTTCTTTATATAGATGGCTTCTTTTGTCAATCATTCAATGTTGTTTTAGGTTGTAACAATAAAGAGGATAATATAATTAATTAAGTTCAATTGACAGATAACCACCTCTTTTTCCTTTACAACGAACACCAGCGTCATCATCATGATCACAGTTTTCACGACCCCATCCTCGATGTTTGCATAAAAATAGAGATGACTCATCACCTTTACATTTTACATCATCCAGCCAAATCTTTCCAGTTCCTTCGCCAAAGTGAGCACCCTTATACGCTGCTTCTGCATCTTGAAAACCAAGCTGTCTGCAGACAACACGAGCATCGTTCATGTCCCAAAAATCATCACAAACTGTTCCCCATTGTCCCTTATAATAAACCTCCACTCGTCCTTCATTGTCTGACTTACCACCAACAATTCGAATGTCTAAAATTGGAAACAATCCTTCAAAGGGAGCCTAAAAAACAATTTGTAACACGGAACTGACTTTCAGTTCTTCGTGGGAGCTGAAAAAGGAATCCTGGAATACAAATGGAAATAAATCGGACTTTATATACTGCATATCATGTATAGACCAGCAATAAGGAAAGTCACAAGCTTCCTTCCCTGTTTACTGACTCCTGTAACCTGCAAAATACTATAGAGGCTACGTTACGTAGGCTATGTTAGGCGTTTACGGCCAAGCTGCTAAGGCATTTTGTGTTTTAAACGTTCTACATGATAAAACTCGTCATATAGAGCAGTCATTTAGAAACGTAAAGGCCATTGCTGACGTATTTAACTATATGATCAGCAAATAATTGGCTTGAAGTGTGTGTTTCATGTTTGCTGTATAAAATTAAATGTCAGAACGGCTGCCTGCAATTCTACCTATATAGCACTGAAACTGTAAAACCTTGGCTTACTATTAATAGTATTTAATAATTAGACGCCGAAGGCGTGGTGGCTACAAGCCTATATTCATTGAGCGGAAGAATAGGCTTGTAATCACCGAGTATTGTGAAAAACATAAGGAATTTACAGTTAAACTCATTAAATTACTATATGTTAACCTTCATATCACTTAATTTAAAGCTGTATTCGATCTCGTTTGATTTTTCAATTCAGTGTTTGCAGCTTTGTTGTTTTACATGTGTGGAATGTATATGTTTATTCCAGCTTGCCTCAGAGAAAAAATCATTGCTACACCACGCACCTCTTGAAAGATTTCGAAAATTTTTTTGATTTCTGCGAAAAGTTCAGTTGGGACATTAGCTTGTACATGCCTTGATCTTCCACCATCAGCTATACCCCGGTGACCCCAGTAAACCCCCGGTGACCCCAGTAAAAACCCGGTGACCCCAGTAAAACCCCGGTGACCCCCCACAGTAAAACCGAGTATTGAATCTTTAACTTTATTCAAAGTGAGCCTGATCATATAGTCTTCGTCTTAGATTCGAATTCTATGCAACTGTAGTTACCAATTGAAGTAAAAAAGTTTGACGAACATTTGTTTCAAAAGTTTGACCAACACATGTTTTCTCTGTAGCCTTGCCTCAAAATATCGATTTATTATCGTCTTTTAGTTATGCCAGGCAATGAATTCAACTAAACTTCATCATTCTTCACCAGAACCCGCCATAGTTTACAATCAATTAACATCAAAAGTAAAGACATACCACTGGATTTTGCTTGAGTAGAAGGCAAATACAACATCAGTGTGCAGAATGGGATAATAAGCCGCATTTTACACGATTTATTACTCATGCGACAAGATTTCTTTCAAGTTATGAATTTCTTTTTCCAACGTCCTGCACTGGCTAAGAACAAGAAGGGTCTGCCTGTCTTACTGCAAAACATCCCTCCATTTATATAAACTGAATTTTTCGCTTAAATTTTATCTAATTGAAAAATCCAATTAAGCATATCCAAACTGATCTTTCTTTAGCAAGCATGATAGTCTGCACGTTAAGTGTTTAACTCGTATCACAGATAGAGAGGCAGAAAGGAAACTGTTGCATGTAAAATAACAGACTTGAAGTTCTCCGATCCGCATGTCAGTTAAAGAGTCAACTATTTTCAAGCTGTGAAACCGAAAGCATTAGAATAATAAAGCCCTAAAGGAAATTCATATATGTCATGTCCTGTTCATGGCGTGTTCTTTTAATTATTATTACTTATTTTCATATACGTCTTATTTTCGTAATTCCGCAACCAAAACAACTGCCTAAAATAGACAAAAAACGTCTAGAGGTTTCGACCTAAGGGCCTTCGTTAGCACAGTTAGAATAACTATAAATTAATGGTTTGGTTAAGATTAGATGAACGATCGACAAAGACCTAATTAGTGTTGAAAATTTCCCATACTTTTGCGATAGTTGCAAATTCCGCCATTTCTAGATTTTAAGTGTTTTACAACCGACTACTGCGGTCAAACTATAGCTCGCCAGATAATAGGCTCTTTATGTCCAAACATATTTATACGTTTTTACATTAAATCATCAAGCTCAGCTAGGGTGGTAGAGATTGAAATGCATTCCTGTTCAAGATTACGCCATTAGATAAATTATCACGGAAATAGGTAACTGCTTTGATTTAATCTCTGAGCGAATTATATTAATTATATGAGTCGATAGCATTATATTCTAAGCTTCTCATGCATTGTTATCTAGAAGTTTGTTTTGCCTTTACTTACGTTAAGATGAGGTAACGGATGAATTACGTAACTTGGATAAAACCAATTACGCCTATTGATAACAAATATATAAAGCATAAATCTTTAATTATAACATTCTATTATACTTTAGATTAAATCTTTGTTGACTGACAAAACCGGCCGAATTTTCAATTTTAAAATCTTCAACAAAATAGCATGATAGCGGACAATGAGAAAACACAAGAATAAAGAACGGATGATAATGAGAACTATTATTGTCTTATGACAACAGTTTGCAAGGTCAAAGAAAGGCACTCCTTATATCCTTATTGAATAAACAACATCGATAATCCTAAAGTTTTCTTCACAATATAGTCATGCAGTCTCAAATGTTACGCCTCCGTGCTGTATAAATTTGATCGTTAATTCTTTATCACTTCAGGGTTTATAGGTTTATCAGTCTTCCAATCAGAAAAGTGATACTCAAAAATATAATCATGCCTACCGCCCACACAAACAAATTGTATGCACTATTTATTATACATGTGACTGGGCTTGGTGCAGAAATAACTTCCCAGCTTGTATATAAGTTTGGATAATTGCCTAGTACTTTGCAAGAGGCTATATAAACTATGTTGACCACATGCAATTTAGCAAATACTTTGTAGCATTTAATCGACAAATATGTGGAAATTTTTTAAAAGATTTTATTGAACATTGAAAATTTAATTTTTATTTAAGGGGTTAAACCTGTCTGTGTATTCCAGTGTTATCTGTCTCTCGAGCGAGCTCGCTTGATCGCAAACACCAAGCCCACAAATAAAACCATACTCAGGCAACCAAATCCGACCATGGACCCAAACAGCGTGGCGTTTAACTCGGAGCTACCTGAAAGATAAAAAAATATAAAAAGTAATACTTAAACCATGTTTTTTCCTTTAGTAAACGAAAATTCCCTGCCACAACCTATTTAAGAGATATGGACTCGAGAGATGTCTAGTGTATGACTGAAAAGGAGAAATACAATTTTATTCCAAGCAATCTGACAGGAATCAGAGCTGTGTGGACAAAGATGAACTTGGTCATATACTGATCAAGTTTCGAAAGAAACTGCTAGATATTGATAAAATTTAACTGGAATAAAAGCTGCTACCGAAGCACCGAAATAAATGAAAGTTGCATGGGATGAAAGATTGTTTGGTCTAAGGGGCTATTCACATGAGCCCGGTTACCGAGATTTAGCAAAGCCTAAAATGGACTTTGAGGTATTGAAATGAATAAACAACACAATTCTGGTAGTCGTTTGATCATCCTAACATGCAATGGCCTGTGATTATTTCTGTTTCAAAAAGACTTTTTTCAATACCTCAAAGTCCTTTTTACGCTTCGTTAAATTTCGGTAACCGCGGGCTCATGTTAACAACCCTTAAAGCCCGTTTTCCATTAGGCGAATTTATTTGCGCGAAGCGAAGCGATATCTGAAATCCAGTGATGTGATTGGCTTGCGAAAAAAATATCCGCGAAAAGTAGAATCGCTTCCTACTTTTTATCTGTTCGCGCGAACAAATTCGCCTAATGGAAAACGGGCTTAAGGCAGGTCGAACTATCAATTGAATTGTTATAATGTGGTACAACGTTGTTTGGAATAAATAGAATGTCGCACTTCAAATCAGGACTTTAAAACGCACCCTTTTCCCTCTTGTGTTGTAACTCTTTCTCTTTTACCAATGGACCAAACGACAGCGCATACATTCCTGATATATCATCTGATCGTTTATTATCAGCATCGCGACGATAACGTTGTGGACATGAAGTATTTCGAGAGCAGCTGGAGTTATAATCATACTTGTAGCAGACAACAAGATCACAATGAAGATAGACAATGCGGTTCTGAGACACGAAACGGAAAGCCTGAATACTGAAACGCTGGATGCGATCCATTCTGTTGGTGTAGTGGTGGATAGTTTTATCTTTGTCACAGCTAAATAGAAATTAATAAGAGTTTAAACATACTAAGATTTCCTTAGGAAAGAAATTCGATCAAAATTTCTACTTACCCGTCATCAATGAAAACATACTGTGGACTATCATAAGGTCTGTTCGTGGGTGTAGCTCTACATGTTTTTGCACGCACGACAAGATCTGAGTTGCTCGTGTTTACAGAATATTGAATATAAAGATTATCTGACAGTGATTTGAATATCGGGAAGTCTTGTGCAGTGTATGGCTGTCGGAAATCACTACTCTTGAAAACATCAAATGTCAGAGAAAAATTGCCTTTCCCGTCTTAAAAAAATGAAGAAATGTTAGTCAGTTAGTCCTCCTTGCCCTCGGATTTTCAGATTAATCCTTATTTAATAGAAACCGGTCACCATGCACCATTGTTATACACCTAGTGTCAAATTCATCCTTTATGCTTTCCTATTGGACAAGAGGTCCACGCGTGGAGAGCTTCAAATCTCCATGATTACGCGTGAACAACACGAGCGGCCATCAAATTTCATAATTTTTCTAAGTATGACATTTTGAAGCCCGTTGCTATGCTTTCCGGTAACGCGACCATGGAAATCACAGGAAAGTGGCGAACATGTATTTTTTTGAGAATAAATAATTTTTCTACCGTTTTTGAAGTTAACCTTATATTGTTTCACATTCGCAAAACGCACTGTTTTCCTAGGGCATCAATAAATATAAGTGTTATAATTGATCTGGGGGGTGCTCAAAAGCCCGGAGACCAGTATATGTCTTTATCATAGCTTTTATGGACCAGGAAATATCGAAATTTAACCAAAGACGATTTGCAAACCGATAAAAGGTCCATTGATTTCACTGATTTGCCAACGAAAATGTGAGTTTAGACCTATTGATCTTATGATATAAATAGCAGCACTCCAAAGGTAGTTAGTTTAGCTTAAAATTCTTTCCTCGTCAGTGAAGCAGCTTCCTGCAGTGTTTCCTGCATGATTTGGAGCAAGATTTAACTTCATCGACGAGAACAGCTGTATTGAAAATACGGCTTAGATTCCTAAAGCTCTTAAAATGTTATATATACGTACTCAAGCTCACGAACACTTTTTCTTTTGCTGGGGCAAAACTGAGAGATCCAACAGTTTGTTTCCGAGAATATTCACAAGTCATACTTGCGCTGAAGAGATTATCTCTCGCAATTACCCCAAATCCACCACGAGCACGTCTTTCTTCAGAAAGAGCATTGGTAAAGAAAAGTGTTTGTTCGTTTTTCGAAAACACTGTTCCACAACCAGTAAGCGAGGTTTTTACAATGACATGAGTTGAGTTATAGCTGGCTTTACAATATCGACTTCGGCTTCGAAGATACAGATTGTCGATGTTGACGTGTTTTGGAAGATCTCCTCGGTGGAATACAGCTGTCATGTAGTTATTGTCACAAAACACTTGGAAATGAGATGCTAAAATAAAAATACGTTATTGATTAATAAAAGAATCTATTCATAGAGTTTTTTATATCGTACAAACATCCTGATGTATTTAAACTCACCATTGCATGTTTTGGAAGACATTTCCTCGGCAAGACCTGCCAGTTGTGTGAAATTATTTAAAGTGATAACATGGTGATCAACTGGATCCGATGCCATCTCTTGTAGCTCGGGCAGGGATAAACCCGATCCTATTCCGACACTGAATATTACAACGCCAGAGTTCTTCAGTTTTCGAGCTGGTCCTCCAACCTGTCCCGAGCTACTGCGCCCGTCTGTTAAGATTATCAAAACTTTTTTGTACTCTAAAAAAAATGATCGAATTTATTGTCATGGTTGAATCTTGATCATGGTTGAAATGATCTTGATAGGGCGGAATTTTCTTTCTATGTTAACCGTTAAAAGTACTGGTGAAAGGGCCACGTGAACGTCACGATGTAGCTCACAACATAGTAACTTGAAATCATCTATCAAGTCACTGAATCAAGTCACTGAGTCACACAGAACTACCGACATGCGACTCCCCCATGCCTTTTACCTGGCTCTCTGGCTCCATTGCCTGACCTGAACATTTCATTATATGCCATATTTAAAGCCCTTGCTGTGGCGGTGCCACCATTGATATACTTAATTCTGTCCACAGCATTATCAAACTGACTTTTATCCGAAAAATATCTCGATAACGGAATGGGAATGCTTGGAATGTCTGAAAACGACATCACAGACACACGGGTATGGTCACGGCCAAGTTTGAAAAAGTCTGTAAGATGTTTGACAAATCCTTTCATTCGCTCAAAGTTATCATATCCAACACTACCAGAACTATCCAGCATAAAACCAAGATCCAACTTGTTTTGACATGTCTTTAAATTTGCTGAAAATCAGTATATACACGTTATTACATTTCACTCATTACAAAAGTCATTACACTTTCATTTCAGGAGATTCATCAGTTACACATGCATGACACAGATTGAGGTCGATGAAATCTAACTTCGATTATTTAACTGGTATTCATTTTTTTGTTTTATTACCTCGACAAATTACGAGGTGTTCATCACTTTCATCCCCGCAGTCATTGTATTGATCACAAACTTGTCTTCTACTAATGCATCTGCCATTCCCGCATTGAAACTCCCAGGGCAAACAGTAACTTGTCGTTGGTATTGTGGTTTTCAACGTTGGCGTTCCTGAAAACGAATCGCGTTAGTTGCTATATAACAAACTGTTGGCGGCTATTGCTTGATAAAATATATATGTATGTTTGACTATATATACAACCCAGATATAAAATTTACTGTTAGGCTTATTAATATGCTATAAGTATAAGCCTATAACAATAATGCTATAAACCCATTGTTATATCAAACTAAACGCTCAGGCGTTCACTCGGGCTACAGTTATCTCGCTTGAGCTTGTAACGCCTAATTTTTTGGTGCGAAAATAACAGTTATATGACGTAATCTAATGTTGCCTAAGCGGTCGGGAAAACCGAGCGAGAAACGATCCTAGGACGATTTCGATTCGTTCGAAACATCGTGCTGCCCACGCGCGATTTTCGTAAACTCGCGACCCAAAAGGAGAAACCGAGCCCGTTTTTTAACTCGCTCTACCAACGGTAACCCGAGTAATTATGAACTTTCAATCATTGCGCAGTATTTTGGTCACATGTATACATCTGTATTCTCCATAAAGGTCTTATGAATGTGTAATTCATATAATTATTAACTTTGATACAACTAATCTTAATTAGTATTCATAACTTTGTTACACACATGCACTAAAATGCATTAAGCTCATTTCACAAACCTCGTTACCGTACAGACCGGCAGCTCGTATTTTAACTAGTTATTATATATTCTCACCTCCATTGACACTACATCGAACACCAGCGTCTTCATAATGACCACATTCGTGAATCCCCCAACCTCGATGACTGCATGAAAATAGCGATGACTCAGAACCTCTACAATCAACATTATCAAGCCAAATCTGTCCAGTTCCATCGTTAACATCACGACCCTGATAAGCAGCTTCTGCGTCTTGAAAACCAAGCTGTCTGCAGGCAACACGAGCATCGTTCATGTCCCAATCATCATCACAAACTGTTCCCCATCTGCCGTTATAATAAACCTCCACTCGTCCTTCATTGTATGAACCATTAGCAATAATCCTAATGTCTATAAAATTGAAAAACAAAATTAAAACCCTTTAACAAGAAAAATTTAAACCTTGTTTCAATATCTAAATCTAAACAAAATTTAAACGCCTGTTTCAATACAGGGAATACTTTCCACTGTTAAGCTTTAGTTTTTACCTTTAAAGGAACCATATACACTCGTTTTAACTGAAATGAACAAAAAAGTTGCAAATATGAAAATTATTTTGGACGGCACACATGCATTTACACACATGTTAACTGTATGTTATATGAAATCAATCTGATCTTGTGCATGCTTTGCTGGACCAAGATTTCTTATTTTCTTTTAGTATTGAATGTACGCTAAATTCTTTAAATAAAATCGCAAAAACATGCCAGATACTTTACAAAAACATGGATACATCACCTTTCATACTTGAAGTTTGGCTTGGGTTTATAGAGCTCGAGGGTCCTGTACATGATAAAAGATAATCGTGTATAAATACCCATACGGATCGGTCTTTAGCATACTCGCGGCCGATCTGTATGGGATTTACAATGGCTTGTGCCACGCACTCTGTAAGTACCCATACCGCTGAACCGCTCGTATTTTAATAACTAGCAATTACATATTCTCACTTTCATTGACTCTACAACGAACACCAGCGTCTTCATTATGGGCACAGTTGTGAGTTCCCCATCCATTATGACTGCATGAAAATAGCGATGACTCAGAACCTCTACAATCAACATTATCCAGCCAAATCTGACCAGTTCCATCGCGAACATTACCACCCTGATAAGCAGCTTCTGCATCATGAAAACCAAGCTGTCTGCAGACAACACGCGCATCGTTCATGTCCCAGTCATCATCACAAACTGTTCCCCATCTGCCGTTATAATAAACCTCCACTCGTCCTTCATTGTATGAACCATTAGCAATAATTCTAATGTCTATAAAATTGAAAAACAAAATTTAAACTCCTGTTTCAATACAGGGAATACTTTTCACAGTTAAACTTTTGTTTTTACCTTTAAAGGAACCATATACACTCGTTTTAGCTGAAATGAACAAAAAAGTTGCAAATATGAAAATTATTTTAGAAGGCACATATGCATTTACACACATGTTAACTGTATGTTATATGAAATCAATCTGATCTTGTGCATGCTTTGCTGGACCAAGATTTCTTTTAGTATTGAATGTACGCTAAATTCTTTACATAAAATCGCAAAAACATGCCAGATACTTTAAAAAAACGTGGATACATCACCTTCTATATTTGAAGTTGGGGTTGGATCAATAGAGCTTGAGAGTCCTGTACACGATAAAAGATATTCGTATATCATATTTCGCTTCCAGTAATTTGGATATATAAGATTCCATGATGAAATTTGATTCAATTTAAATTCCATAAGCATTCGAAAAAGATTTCACTCTGTATATTCGTGATATCATGCAAAATATTTACAGGAATATTGTATATATAAATGTCTATATAATGTATATATAAATTTAAGGTATATGTAGGATATTGGAGTATACGATATGCATACCAAACAGCACACTAACGATACAGAGATAATTAAGAGAAGATTTTTTAACATGCAAAAAAATATATCAATTAATCCATTAACAGTGGAGGAAAGTAGCTTGACATAAGAGTCATTTTCTTCTCGACGTATCCCCACTGAGAAACCTAAAACCATTACTTTTCAACAGAATATTTGGTTATATAGCAAATATGGAGGCTATATGATATTTGCAAAACGTTTTTAATGATTAAAACTTTAGTACTCTACTGTTGTATAAGATTTTGAGCACATATATTATACGCGACAAAAATATCTTCTCTTAAACACTCGATAAACTGTGTAAGAATGTTGGTATAGTTCATAGTTGAAATATTAATAGGTAGAATGAAGTTCGTGTATGCAAAAAAGAAAATTTGAATCTTTTCATTCAATAACATAGCTAAAGTCATCACGGTTCTTTTAAACGTATTTTAATTTAACTGCATGTATACATAGACCTACCTGTTGATGATGGTTGCATTAATGAACTGGTTTGACCTGTAATAAAGTTTAAAAATAAACATGAATTTCCTGCAACACTGATATTGTTCGTACAAAACTGACACATATTGTAGGAAGAATATTAAATTTTGCTGCATAAATGTTGTGGATTTGCACATTCGTAACCATATTTTTCATTTGTACGCAAAATATTCAAGTTTTCCTCGCGTATTAATTGCTTGTAGCTTCGTATTACAAACCAACATACCACAGTTCCACGACCATTCATCACTTCCATCAGAGCAATCTCCCCAACCATTACAAAGACGTTGTCGATCAACACATTGGTAACCATTATCACATCTGAACTCCCAATATTGACATATAGTTTGTGATGCTGAACAATGGGAAAATAATAAAAATTATTTACGATTAATTTTCACTCTAAGACTGGTACAAAAAAATATCACAAATATATGTGAATTACCTTGTATACTTGACGTTGAAAAATGATTTATGGAGCTGGAGATTCCTGTATACAGCAATAAAAATATATTTTTGGTGATTATAGATTAAATTTTGTAATAAATATATATATGATCATCGTCATGATCTTAATCCATGCAAGTGCTATATAAATCCCTACCATCTTTATCATGCATATATACTATATAAAATTATTCTTATTTCTCACCTCCATTGACTTTACATCGAACACCAGCGTCTTCACTGTGTTGACAGTTGTGAATTCCCCATCCTCGATGAATGCATGAAAATAGCGATGACTCAGAACCTCTACACTCAACATTATCAAGCCAAATCTGTCCAGTTCCATCGTTAAAATGACGACCCTGATAAGCAGCTTCTGCATCATGAAAACCAAGCTGTCTGCAGACAACACGAGCATCGTCCATGTCCCAACTATCGTCACAAACAGTTCCCCATCTGCCGTTATAATAAACCTCCACTCGTCCTTCATTGTATGAACCATCAGCTATTCGAATGTCTATAAAAATGGTAACAAACCTTTAGATCCTGTTCAAAGATGCACACAAGAAATATTTTTCCACAATAAACGTGTACTTCTCATCTTATACCTTTAGAGGAAACATATACACTCGTTCTGGCTAAATGAAAAAAAAAGGCGAATATGAATATTTATAAAAGGCTCACACGAATCCCCCGTGTTAATAAATAAATCTTATCTAATTTGTGATCGACATTAAATTGCAACACAAGCATGCCTCTCAAATACTACAAAATAGAAACGTCAGTGTACGTTACCTTCTACACTTGAAGTTGGGTTAGCATTTATAGAGGTTAAGGATCCTATACACAAAACAAAAAAAATTTTTCTTAGTTTTTCCCAGAAACGTGTAAATCACTAACTGTGATGAAATTTTGATCACTGATTTGGTTTTGAAGCACTTTTCGAATCACTTCAGTTCTGCAAGTCCATGCATGTTTTTAATTTGCTTTCTTGTTGCCTCGCTTTTCGGTAAAATGTCTTCATACGGCAGTTAGAAGCCCATTCGTCGCTACTATTATAGAAAGCGGGAGTATTTGTTGCATAAATGAATGTGGATTTGCACATTCGTAACCATATTTTGGCAAAAGATTCAAGTTTTCCTCGCGTATTAATTGCTTGTAGCTTCTTATTACACACCAACATACCACAGTTCCACGACCATTCATCACTTCCATCAGAGCAATCTCCCCAACCATTACAAAGACGTTGTCGATCTACACATTGGTAACCATTATCACATCTGAACTCCCAATATTGACATATAGTTTGTGATGCTAAACAGTGTGAAAATAATAAAAATTATTTACGAATAATTTTCACTCTGAGACTGACACAAAAAACCAAAAATTTAAAAATATATGTGAATTACCTTGTATACTTCTTGACATTGAGAGAGGATTTATGGAGCTGGAGATTCCTGTATACAGCAAAGAGAAATATTATTTGTGATTATAGATTAAATTTTGCATAATATATAAATTTTCGTTTCTACGATGATCTTAACTTATGCAGGTACTATATAAACTTCTGCCATCTTTATCACAAATTATATATTCTCACCTCCATTGACTCTACATCGAACACCAGCGTCTTCACTGTGACCACAATTGTTAATCCCCCATCCTCGATGACTGCATGAAAATAGCGATGACTCAGAACCTCTACAATCAACATCATCAAGCCAAATCTGTCCAGTTCCATCGCGAACATTACCACCTTGATAAGCAGCTTCTGCATCATGAAAACCAAGCTGTCTGCAGACAACACGAGCATCGTTCATGTCCCAATCATCATCACAAACTGTTCCCCATCTGCCGTTATAATAAACCTCCACTCGTCCTTCATTGTATGAACCATCAGCAATTCGAATGTCTATAAAATTGGTAACAAACTTTTAGATCCTGTTCAAAGATTCACACACGAAATATTTTTATATACCTTTAGTTGAACCATATACACTCGTTTTGGCTAAATAGACAAAAAAGATGAATATGAATATTTATAAACGTTTCATACGAATCTCCCGTGTTAACTGACATAAATCTTATCGAATTTGTGATGTACTTCACTAAATCATCGACATCAAATTGCAACACAAGCATGCCTCTCAAATACTACAAAATAGAAACGTCAGTGTACATCACCTTCTACACTTGAAGTTGGGTTAGCTTTTATAGAGGAAAGGGATCCTATGCACAAAAGAAAAATATTTGCATTGCTTAGTTCTTTCCTATAGAAACGTCTATAACTGTGATGAAATTTTAAATCACTGATTTGGTTTTGAAGTAATTTTCGGATCACTTCAGTTCTGTATGTCCTGCATGCACGTTTTTAATTTGCTTTTTTGTCGCTTCGTTTTTCGTTAAAAAGTCTGGATTGTGTATATTTTCCCAGATCAAAACTCAATAACTCCTAACATTGACATATAGTTTGTGATGCTAAACAATGTGAAAATAATCAAAATTATTTACGATTAATTTTCACTCTAAGACTGGTACAAAAAATATCACAAATATATGTGAATTACCTTGTATACTTGACGTTGAGAAATGATTTATGGAGCTGGAGATTCCTGTATACAGCAATGAAAATATCTTTTTGTGATTATAGATTAAGTTTTATAATGAATATATATATGATCATCGTCATGATCTTAATCCATGCAAGTGCTATATAAATTCCTACCATCTTTATCATGCATATTTACTATATAAAATTATTCTTATTTCTCACCTCCATTGACTTTACATCGAACACCAGCGTCTTCTCTGTGACCACAGTTGTGAATTCCCCAACCTCGATTTCTGCATAAAAATAGCGACGACTCAGAACCTCCACAATCAACATTATCGAGCCAAATCTGTCCAGTTCCATCGCGAACATTACCACCCTGATAAGCAGCTTCTGCATCTTGAAAACCAAGCTGTCTGCAGACAACACGCGCATCGTCCATGTCCCAGTCATCATCACAAACTGTTCCCCAACTGCCGTTATAATAAACCTCCACTCGTCCTTCATTGTATGAACCATCAGCTATTCGAATGACTATAAAATTCGTAACAAACTTTTAGATCCTGTTCAAAGATTCACAAACTGAAGAAATATTTTTGCACAATAAACGTGTACTTCTCATCTTATATTAGTTATATATATACCTTTAGATGAAACATGTACACTCGTTTTGGCTAAATAGACAAAAAAAGGCGAATATGAATATTTTTAAAAGCACATCTATGTTCGTCGCTATATGCATAAATAATTATTCTAATATCATAGTTGTACAAAGGAAGCTATGAATAATTGTCTTTTTCTTTGTTCAGCCGTCCATATATGGCTATATGTAAAGCCATGCCTAGGTGCAAAAACATATACGATCTTTATCAAGATTTTATAGAATCGGCTCGAATTTTATGGTTCCGTTTTGGATATTGACGCTGCATGGAGACATTTAAATTGAGCGAATAAATGGAAACAATATTGCAGAAGACAAAAAATAGACTGTCGTAATTAATACCACCTGCACGGCATTCTCATCCTATTTTTGTGTGTTCGAAGAGATTGTTTAATTAAATTAATCAACAGTTTATTCAATGCCTAATAGAAATAACAGCGGTCCCTCAAAGAGGAATCTAGACTTCCTTTACGTAAAATTGGTTAAGAACAGTGCAATGTTTGCGTTAAACTGTGGCAAATACAACATACCCATGGCACCCAGGGGGACAGAGCTTAACAACTTAGCATCACGTGTAGTATAACAATTGCATGAACCAGGGGTACCCAGGGGCCAGAGTCTGACAACTTCGCATTAAGTGTAGTACAACAATTGCATGAACCAGGGGTACCCAGGGGGCAGAGTCTGACAACTTCGCATCAAGTGTAGTATAACATCATTAACATGAATCGCAAGGAGAGTAAATCTTAGCTGAATTTCCTGACAAAGGTCTTTAGGTGAAAACGTCGAATACCTTTTGGTCTATTTTAGGCAGTTTTTATTCTATTTTTGATGCAAATACCAAAAACAGTAATGACCTACAAACCTTTTTACCAAGCAAAGTCAAAGAGTATATACCATTTATTGTGGTTCTCGTTCAATTTGGAAAAGCTGGTTGGTTGGTATTTTTTTTAAGAGTTAAGATATACCCGGATTCGATCCTGGTACCACTCTGATAGTCTTCCAAAACACTCACTTTGGGACCGTTTTGTTTGAAATTGCTCTAAGACAAATACTATTATCTACATACATTTAGCGCCGAAAAAATTTATCAGATTATATCAGGTAGTATAAATTTATCATTAAGCTCTTGTTCTTTTTGTTTCTCTTCCCAGGTACAATAGAACATTAGTGATAAGCGAAAGCGATAGCGACTTCCTCAATATAATTTGATAAGAAACTTACCATTCCTAGACGCTTGAAAAGAAGGGGAGGGTTTAATGTGCCACCAACTTTCCACTGGGGAAGCACACAACATTAATGTGCAAAACGCAATTATACTGATTAGCATTTTTCAGGTTGTATCCAAAAATGGATTATCCGAAATTTTCATCGACTTAGCGTTCAACTACTCCAACAAATGCTAGTCGAGCTATGCCGCAGCTGCCTCCACAGAGAGGTCTTTTGTATACCAAATTCAACACTTCTCAAGTTGCAAAATTCCAAGTAAAGTTTGCTTTCTAATTAGTCGTAACCTATCACAAGTCAGGAAAACACAAACATTGGGTTGCAAAACAACAGTTGCCGCACGATCTTTCGCTTCTGAGTTTCCGTTTACAGGATGTTGAAATAGTTGAATTGAACTTGGCGAAGAAAGATCCGAAATTAGTCAATTTTACACTAAATTCCGCCTTAGGAGATTCTGTTTGAAACATAAACCTCTCAGTGCTCGTAAATACCCCTTATATTAATATTGGTATTATCATATTTTATTCTGGCAAACAATATTCTAACTAAAAATAAAGAAAATTAGATATACTTCATCCGGACATATTTTGTTGATGCTATATACTAAGGTCGGATTTCCATTTGCATAATAATTCCCGTGATTGTAGCAAATAAATTGGATTTTTGTATTTCCAGATACAAATTCAAAATCTCCGGATACAATTTCAAAAAATTACATTAGTTTTCTAATTATTGTAATTTGTATAGCTTGTCAGATGATTCAATATGAAATATGACTAATTAAAATTTCAAAGATTATGCTTTTGATCAGGTCATTCTGTATACATGGTATTCTGCATGTATACATTGTATTCTGTATATATAGTATTCTGTATTTCTGTTCAGAATTTCTCTTGTGTGTAATCAACTTTCAAACTGGAGTTTTCGGAGGCCTCCTATTAAAAATTATGCTAGAGTGACACGAGGTGCATTATGCACATTTGGGGGGGGGGTATTTCATATATTCACGTTCATTATTAGTCTCTCAGTTTGAAATTGATTGTTTTCACGGTCTGGTAAAATAAATATATGAATACCCCTCGCCACCCCCCTCCCCACTGAACACAGACGAATACAATATCGAGTCTTACACAAATACTAAGCGGAAATAAGAAAGTATAATTAAACTTTGTTCAGGAGGCGGTGAGTTTTAAAGGGGTTTCTAATTTAAAACTCGATTGTTTTAGATTTTTATGTTTCAAATTAGCTGTAACGTTGTGTGAAAATTTGGCGCACATTTAATTGCTAATTATTTTTTCACATTTTTCGCAAATATTGGAAATAAAAAACAGAATTAAACAATAAAAGGAATTTAAATGTAAAAAGGATATGAATTCCTTCCTAATGTGTTTACATATCCTTAAATTAGTGCTGGATCGTGCTAATTGAATATTTTCGATAATTTTCATGAAAACACGAAATTCTTATAAAATTTTGTTTTTGATCAAATCGCGAGTGGAGCTAGTGCTTAAAAAAGTCCCTTTTTTAGATCGTTTTGATAACACTTGGACTTCCTTGACCTTGTCCTTGTTCAGACGTGCACGAACTCTCAGCAAATTATTTACATTTCTTTTTATTAAAAACAATATTTAAACACGACGTCATTAACGCACTTATACACACTAACGAAACTATAATACGATTTCGTATGGACTGCACAGAAAACAGACTCTTGGAAACAGAGTGGTCTGTATGATAATAGTTCCGAGGTAGATATAAATACCTGAGAGTACTTTGAGAAATATCTACTATGACTATATATGACCATGCATGTCTCAACAATAGCTTTTTGAAATAATTTCCACGTTACAAATTTTGATATTTAGCTACCTTTCAAAAGTGACGATGAAATTCGCAGGTTGTGAAAGTTGCACGAAGTTTCATTTTTCACTTCTGTTTTGGTGATTTAGTGCATGGCAATGAACACAGCTGTGATATCCCCATCTTCATGTCTGAATGGAAATAGTGCATGACAACTGACGACTCAAAACCTCTACAATCAACATGATCAACCCAAATCTGCGTGACCACCCTGATATGCAGCTTCTGCGTCATGAAAATGAAGTCTGCAGACAACACGCGCTTCCTCTATGTCGCACTGTTCCCCGATGTCCGTGATAATGTAAACCTCCACTCGTCCTTCATTCTATAACCGAAAAACAGTCAAAATTCGAAATTATTACAACCTGACCGAATTCTGCAAAGACACTTAGACACAAATGCAGAAAATTACCTAATACAAAGCGTAAATGAAACGTGGGCATTCATGGCAGAGTGGGAAAGGACGCTTCTGTCTGTGGCTCTCGTCCGAACGAACTGAAGGATCACATGAACTCTCGTGCTATACTCCATCGGAAGGCGAGTAAAACAAATACCATGCATGCAAGACCGACCGACTGGATAGCCTATAAATAGCTGGAAAAACCGATGTAATAAGGCCGTAAAACAAGCCAAAGTATGAGTATCAGCAAAATCTTCAAGATGAAACCTGTAGGCTGTAATAATCCGGCCAAAACTGAATTACTAACTGTTTTGGAGGGTAATAAAGTTCAAAACAAATTAGTCTGGCCGAAGATAGCGCGATGGATCCGTAGCAAACAAACTTTGCGAATTTTTTCAACTTGGACTATGGCTCTTCTAAGCTAAAACAAAATTAACGTCAATGACACAAAGAGATTTTATCTGGGGAATACGACTGGCACAGTCGGAAATGCGAACAGTTTAAATTTATACGTATGCATGTCAGCAAATTTTTGTTGAGAAACAGTTTAATAAAGCACTTAAACGTGGAAAATCTTCTAGACATGATAATATTCCACCTGCATGCATGGTTTTCGATATGTTATTCCACAGTGTATTTTACTGATGAAACTCAAAAGTTACAGCATCGTGCATGGCCATGGGATTTTCAGACCATCAATGGTTTTCTGGCCAATGTAAGCAAGTATGTACTAGGTATAAGAACTCATTGTCGGATGAATTTGCTTTAATATGTGTAGTAGTGCCGCATGCAAGGATCGATTTTTCGCACTTAAAACACACGACAAACCAACGAGAAATAATGGGACCATGCTTTGTATTCCAGAAAGTAAAGCTGAAACTTGCCAAAGTCAGTGTTTTATTCCAAGGGCCGGTGTGAAATTTTTAATGCGTTGCCAAATGACATACGACGAGTAAATAAAACCTTTTTACTTGTAAAAAGTTAGTCATCCTAATGCATTCGTATAACTATGAATATAAAGAAATACGAGTAATTACATTTTAATTTCTATTTCTCTAATTGTATTATTGTAATTTTTAATCTGTCAGGATACACACAGTAATCGCAGTATTTTTTTACTGAAGTGTTTATCCTGCATGTAAATATTCATAATAATAATAATCTGTATGAACCATTAACAATTCGAATGTCTGTAAAATTGAAAAAAAATTTGAACCCTTGTTTCAATACCCTTACAAAAAATACTTTCCACAATCAAGCTTTAGTTTTCGTCTTAAATGGAACCATACGCACTCGTTTTAGCTAAAATGAACAAAAATGTTGCCAATATGAAAATTATTTCCAAGGCACGAGTGCATATCTAATTGACTACACATGTTAACTGCATGTATGTTATATGAAATCAATCTGATCTTGTGCATGGCATGCTTTGCTGGACCAAGATTTCTCTTAATATTGAATGTACGCTAATTCCTTTACATCAAACTGCAAAAACATGTCAAATGCTTCAAAAAAAAACAAACGTGCATACATTACCTTTCACACTTGAAGTTGGGCTATAGAGCTTGAGTTTCCTGTACACGATAAAATATATTCGTATATCATATTTCGTTTCCAGTATTTTTTTTATAAATGGGTGTAAGATTAAATTTGATTTAATTTAAATTCTATAAAGCATTCGAAAAAGATTTCACTCTGTATCAATTTAATTTTTTAGCTTCGAGTTTTTTTCTTTTCTTGCGAAACATTTTCAAGAATAATGACTAATGTTTGTTTTAAACAGAAAGCAGGTATATTTAGGAGATTTCAGAATACGGTAAGGATACAAAACAGCAAAATATAAAAAACAAGCAGAAATATATCATGGTAAGCAAAAAAGCCACTAACGGCAGAGACGTTAAGGAGAGATTCTTTTATATGTCCGAGCGTATTTTACTTGGCAGAAACACAATTAAACTGCCGTATCATTCATCTAATTAAGGTTCATTTCTTTGAGCTTTATTCTTTAGATTATGTGGTAAATTAATGATAATTTGTTCAATTTGATATGAATAAAATTTGTTGCTAATCCTTAATGCAGGTGCAGCATAAAATCCTGCCATCTTTATCATAAATTATATATTCTCACCTCCATTGACTTTACATCGAACACCAGCGTCTTCACTGTGGCTACAGTCGTGAATCCCCAAACCTGGATGATTGCATGAAAATAACGATGACTCAGAACCTCTACAATCAACTTCATCAAGCCAAATCTGTCCAGTTCCATCCTGAAAGTGACCACCCTGATAAGCAGCTTCTACATCTTGAAAACCAAGCTGTCTGCAGACAACACGAGCTTCAGCCATGCCCCAACAATCATCACAAACTGTTCCCCATCTGCCGTTATAATAAACCTCCACTCGTCCTTCATTGTATGAACCATCAGCTATTCGAATATCTATAAAATTGAAAAACAAAATTTAAACCCCTATTTCCATACCCATACAAGGAATACTTTCAACAATTAAGCATTAGTTTTTACCTTTTAAGGGACCATATGCACTCGATTTAGCTGAAATGAACAAAAATGTTGCAAATATGAAAATTATTTTTGAAGGCACGAATGAATTACGTGTCTAACTGACTACACATGTTATACTTATATGAAATCAATCTGATCTTGTGCATGCATTGCTAGATCAGGTTTTCTCTTAATATTGATTGCAGGCTAAATTCTTTACATCGACTTGCAAAAACATGTCACATACATGTATTCAAGAAAAATAAACGTGCATACATCACCTTTCATACTTGAAGTCGGAGTTGGGTCTATAGAGCTTGAGGGTCCTGTTCACGATAAAAGATATTCGTATATTTCGTTTCCAGTTATTAGTTCATAAATGGGGGTAATAGGTTAAAAAATTATTATCGAACATGAAAAGCATTTTTTTTAAAACCAACAGACCATTTGAAGAACAACTCCAGCCTAAAATTAAAGACTGTGGCCGTTATGATGTCTCACGCTTGCGGTTTTGAAAAAGAGTACCCCAAAAATGGCGGCATAATTCGTCATCTTGAGAAAGGCTAACTCCTCGACAATTTGAAAAGTTCCAAAAAAAGTTCCTCACTTCTTATTTCATTGACCAATCCAATTTTATATTTCTTTTTCGAGCAATCTGATTGGTTAATGAAACAGGAAGTTAGGAACTTTTTAAGGAACTCTTCAAGGAACTTTCAAATTGTTGAGGAATTCTTCAGATTTGTTTCTTCAAGTTAGGAAATGAACTGGTCAACATTTTTCGGAACGCTTCTATTAGCACGACTGTAAGGAGAGATTCTTTTATATGTCCGCGCTTATTTTGCCGGAGCAACATTAAAATCATGAAATCTTTTCGGGGTACCACTCATTTACTGAAAGCTCATAACCATTTATGTTAGCTTTATTATTTAGATTATATAGACTATAGTGGGCTAAATTTTGAGCATTATTTCATGTTCTTTAATGCACGTGCTTTAAAAAGCAACATGAATTCCTAAAAACTTTATAATGTTTGTTTGTCCGCGATATTCTTTCAAACAAATATTTAATGAGAAGAACGTTTTTCCTGCCGGACTAATAATCAGTTCTTATAGAAAAAATGGAGCCGGTTGTTCGAAAGGCGTTTAGCTTAAAAAGCATGCATGATAAGCCAAAGTTTACAAATACTCTCATAGATCTTGTAAAATGACTGAACCTGCCTTTTATGCCTTTAATATGTACTTCATGCAATTGACAATTAAACTATTCACATCGAAATATTTCAGCTCAGTTATTCAATAAATAGATCACTTTGTTTTCCAATTTGAATTTATCCACCGTTTTTCGAACAACCGACAGTTGCATCTTTATCATAAACTATATATTTATTCTCACCTCCATTGACTCTACATCGAACACCAGCGTCTTCACTGTGGCTGCAGTCGTGAATCCCCCATCCTCGATTTCTGCATGAAAATAGCGATGACTCAGAACCTCTACAATCAACTTCATCAAGCCAAATCCGTCCAGTTCCAGCCTGAAAGTGACCACCCTGATAAGCAGCTTCTGCATCATGAAAACCAAGCTGTCTGCAGACAACACGAGCATCGTCCATGCCCCAACCATCATCACAAACTGTTCCCCATCTGCCGTTATAATAAACCTCCACTCGTCCTTCATTGTATGAACCATCAGCTATTCGAATGTCTATAAAATTGAAAAACAAAATTTAAACCTCTGTTTCAATACAATGAGTACTTTCCACGTCCAGTTAAGCTTTAGTTTTTACCTTTAAAGGAACCATATGCACTCGATTTAGCTGAAATGAACAAAAAGTTACTAATATGAAAATTACTTTTCGAAGGCAGGAATGAATTACATGTCTAACTGACTACACATGTTAAGGTGTATACATGTTATACTTATATGAAATCAATATGATCTTGCATGTGCATGCTTTGGCGCGTGTTATTAATTGCAGGCTAAATTCTTCATATCAAATTTCCAAAGCATGCCAGATGCTTTCAAAGAAAAGCAAACGTGCATACATCACCTTTCATGCTTGAAGTCGGAGTTGGGTCTATGGAGCTTGACGGTCCTGTACACGATAAAGATATGCGTATATCACATTTTGTTTCCAGTTATTAGTTCATAAATGGGTGTAAGATTAAAATTTGATTTTATTTAAATTCTACAAATCATTTGGAAAGTATGTCACTCTGTACAAGTTTATTTTTTTCCATCTATAAGTTTCTCTTTTTTTGATATTATGCGAAACATTTTCAAGAATAATGTTTGATTTGAACCAAAACATATTTAGGAGATTGGAGAATACGGTATTTATACAAAACAGAAAAATATAAAAAAAGCCAGAAATATATTATAGTGAGAAAAAAGCTACTAACGGCTGGGAGATAATTAATTACGGAGAGATTATCTTTAATCTTTTCGGCGTACTACTCATTTAAAGTTCATTTATGTTAGCTTAATTTTTTAGATTGTACACTGGACAACGTTTTGAACAGATTTAATTTTAATGGTTTTAAAAATTTAATTCTTGCACACAAATACTTAGCAAGAAAGATTTTCGTGCCGCACTATATAATGTTGTTCGTACAAAATAGCTACATACCACAGTTCCACGACCATTCATCGCTTCCATCAGAGCAATCTCTCCAACCATTACAAAGATAATATCGATCAACACATTGGTAACCATTATTACATCTGAACTGCCAATATTGACATATAGTTTGTGACGCTGGATATTAGAAGAATCATACAATTTATTTACGAACGATTCATTTCCATTCTGTCTCTAAGACCGGTATCGAAAACGAAATATTACGAATATATTTGATATGTATTACCTTGTATACTTGAAGTCGAGATATGATTTATCGAGCTGGAGGTTCCTGCACACAGCAATGAAAGAACACTTTTAGACGTAGTTCACTGATGAAATACATTATCTATAATTATTACCACATGAATAATATAAAATTCATGTAGTAATAATTTATTGAATTTGATAGGAATAAAACATTTGTTGCTCCAGAGTTGACTCTTCTGAACAATGCCTCTCCGTCTTTCCCAGCGTGTGAATTTTTCGTTTCTAGGTTAATCTCAATTCATAAAGGTGAAATATAAAGTCCTGGGACCGGTTGTTCGAAAGCCGTTTGACTTAAACGGTGGATAAGCTAAAGTTTAAAATTACTCTGATAGATCGTGTGAATGGCTGAACCTGCATTCTTATGCATTTAATAAGTTTTTCCATTAAGAAATAAAACTATTTACATCGAAATATTTCAGCTCGGTTGTTTAATGAATAGATAACTTTGTTTTCCATTTTGAACTTATCCTGCACCCTTTAAGCTATATAGACGCCTCTCGTACAACCGGCCCCTGCCATCTTTATCATACTGAATTATATATTCTCACCTCCGTTGACTTTGCATCGAACACCAGCGTCTTCACTGTGGCTACAGTCGTGAACCCCCCATCCTGGATGTCTGCATGAAAATAGCGATGACTCAGAACCTCTACAATCAACTTCATCAAGCCAAATCCGTCCAGTTCCAGCCTGAAAGTGACCACCCTGATAAGCAGCTTCTGCATCATGAAAACCAAGCTGTCTGCAGACAACACGAGCATCGTTCATGCCCCAACCATCATCACAAACTGTGCCCCATTGTCCCATATAATAAACCTCTACTCGTCCTTCATTGTATGAACCAACAATTCGAATGTCTGTAAAATTGAAAAACAAAATTTAAACCCCTGTTTCAATACAATGAATACTTTCCAGGTGCAGTTAAACAGCTTTAGTTTTTACCTTTAAAGGAACCATATGCACTCGATTTAGCTGAAATGAACAAAAAGTTGCAAATATTAAAATTATTTTTGAAAGCACGAATGAATTACATGTTTAACTGACTACACATGTTAAGGTGTATACATGTTATAGTTATACTTATATGAAATCAATATGATCTTGTCCATGCTTTGGCACATGCTATTAATTGCAGGCTAAATTCTTTGCATCAGATTGCAAAAACATACCAGATGCTTTCAAAGAAAAACAAACGTGCATACATCACCTTTCATGCTTGAAGTCGGAGTTGGGTCTATGGAGCTTGATGGTCCTGTACACGATAAAAGATATTCGTATATATCATATTTCGTTTCCAGTTATTAGTTCATAAATGGGTGTAAGATTAAAATTTGATTTAATTTAAATTCTACAAATCATTTGGAAAATATGTCACTCTGTATAAGTTTATTCTTTTTTTTCCATCTATAAGTTTCTCTTTTTTGATATTATGCGAAACATTTTCAAGAATACCGTTTGATTTGAACCAAAACATATTTAGGAGATTGGAGAATACGGTATGCATACAAAACAGAAAAATATAAAAAAAGCCAGAAATATATCATAGTGAGAAGAAAAGCTACTAACATGCAGCTGGAAGATAATTCAATACGGAGAGATTATTTTTTCGGCGTACTACTCATTTAAAGGTCATTTATGTTAGCTTTATTCCTTAGATTGTACAGTGGACTACGTTTTGAACAGTATTCATTTTAATGGGTTTTTAATGTGCTTTAAAAAGAAAAACAAATTCCTCTCTGCAAATTCTTTCACACAAATATTTAGCTAGAAAGATTTTCGTGCCGCACTATATAATATTGTTCGTACAAAATAGCTACATACCACAGTTCCACGGCCATTCATCACTTCCATCAGAGCAATCTCTCCAACCATTACAAAGATAATATCGATCAACGCATTGGTAACCATTATTACATCTGAACTCCCAATACCGACAAACAGTTTGTGATGCTGGATATTATGAGAACAATAAAATTTATTTAGGAACAATTAATTTCCATTCTGTCTCTGAGACAGGTATCGAAAACAACATATTACAAATATATTTGATATGAATTACCTTGTATACTTGAAGTCGAGAAATGATTTATGGAGCTGGATGTTCCTGCACACAGCAATGAAAGAACACTTTTAGACGTATAGTTCACTGATGAAATACATTAGCCATAATTATTACCACATGAATGATATATAATTCCTGCGATAATTTGTTCAATTTGATAGGAATAAAAATTTGTTGCTCCAGTGTTGACTCTTCTGAACAATGCCTCTCCGTCTTTCCCAGCGTGTGAATTTTTCGTTTTTAGGTTAATCTCAATTCATAAAGGTGAAATATAAAGTCCTGGGACCAGTTGTTTGAAAGGCGTTTGACTTAAACGGCAGATAAGCCAAAGTTTAAAATTACTCAAATACATCGTGTGAATAGCTGGACCTGCATTCTTATGCATTTAATAAGTTTTTCCACTGAAAAATAAAACTATTTACATCGAAATATTTCAGCTCAGTTCTTTAATGAATAGATAATTTAATTTTTCATTTTGAACTTATCCTGCACCCTTTAAGCTAAACGCCTTTCGAACAACCGACCCTTGTTGCCATCTTTATGATAAATTACATAGTCTCACCTCCATTGACTCTACATCGAACACCAGCGTCTTCATGATGACCACAGTCGTGACGACCCCAACCTCGATGTCTGCATGAAAATAGCGACGACTCAGAACCTCTACAATCAACATTATCAAGCCAAATCTTTCCTGTTCCATCGTCAACATCACGACCCTGATAAGCAGCTTCTGCATCAAGAAAACCAAGCTGTCTGCAGACAACACGAGCTTCGTCCATTCCCCAACTATCGTCACAAACTGTGCCCCAGCTGCCGTTATAATAAACCTCCACTCGTCCTTCATTGTATGAACCATTAGCAATAATTCGAATATCTATAAAATTAAAAAACAAAATTTAAACCCCTGTTTCAATACAAAGAATACTTTTCACAATTAAGCACCAGTTATTACCTTTAAATGAACCATATGCACTCGTTTTAGCTAAATGAACAAAAAAGTTGATAACATGAAAATTTATTTTTGAAGGCACGAATTAATTGCTGTATGTTATATGAAATCAATCTGATCTTGTGCACGCTTTGCTGGACCAAGATTTCTCTTAATCTTGACTGCAGGCTAAATTCTTCGCGTCGAATTGTAAAAACATGTCAGATTTTTTCAAAGAAAAATAAACGTGCATACATCACCTTTCATGGTTGAAGTTGGAGTTGGGTCTATGGAGTTTGACGGTCCTGTACACGATAAAAGACATGCGTATATCATATTTCGTTTCCAGTTATTTGATCATAAATGGGTGTAAGATTAAAATTTTGATTTAATTTTAATTCTACAAATCATTCGGAAAATATGTCACTCTGTATAACTTTATTTTTTTCCGTCTATAAGTTTCTCTTTTCTTGACATTATGCGAAACATTTTCAAGAAGAATGTTTGATTTGAACTGAAAGATATATAGAGGAGGTTGTAGAATACGGTATGGATACAAAGCAGAAAAATATAAAAAAAGCCAGAAATATATTATAGTGAGCAGAAAAGCTACTAACGGCTGGGAGATAATTAATTAAGAGAAGATTGTTTTTTATGTCCGCGCGTATTTTGGCGGAAAAACAATAAAATCATGAAATCTTTTCGGCGTACTACTCATTTAAAGTTCATTTATGTTAGCTTTATTCCTTAGATTGTACAGTGGACTACGTTTTGAACAGTATTCATTTTAATGGTTTTTAATGTGCTTTAAAAAGAAAAATAAATTCCTCTCTGCAAATTCTTTCACAAAAATACTTAGCTAGAAAAATTTTCGTGCCGCACTATATAACATTGTTCGTACAAAATAGCTACATACCACAGTTCGACGGCCATTCATCACTTCCATCAGAGCAATCTCTCCAACCATTACAAAGATAATATCGATCTACACATTGGTAACCATTATTACATCTGAACTGCCAATATTGGCATATAGTTTGTGATGCTGCATGGATATAATGAGAATTATAAAATTTATTAGAAACAATTAATTTCCATTCCGTCTCTGAGACAGGTATCGAAAACAAAATATTGCAAATATATTTGATATGTATTACCTTGTATACTTGAAGTCGAGAAATGATTTATCGAGCTGGAGGTTCCTGCACAAAGCAATGAAAGATCACTTTTAGACGTAGTTCACTGATGAAATACATTAGCTATAATTATTACCACATGAATGATATATAACTCATGTGATAATTTGTTCAATTTGTTAGGAATAAAGATTTTTTGCTCCAGTGTTGATTCTTCTCAACAATGCCTCTCCGTCTTTCCCAGCGTGTAAACGTTTTCGTTTCTAGGTTAATATTAATTCATACAAGTGAAATATAAAGTCCTGGGACCGGTTGTTCGAAAGCCGTTTGACTTAAACGGTGGATAAGCCAAAGTTTAAAACTACTCTGATAGATCGTGTGAATGGTTGAACCTGCATTCTTATGCATTTAATATGTTTTTCCATTGAAAAATAAAACTTTTTACATCGAAATATATCAGCACAGTTGTTTAATTAATAAGTAATTTTGTTTTTCATTTTGAACTTATCCTGCACTCTTTAAGCTAAACACCTCTCGAACAACCGCGACCCTTGTTGCCATCTTTATCATAAATTATATATTCTCACCTCCATTGACTCTACATCGAACACCAGCGTCTTCATGATGACCACAGTCGTGATTCCCCCATCCTTGATGTCTGCATGAAAATAGTGACGACTCAGAACCTCTACAATCAACATCATCAAGCCAAATCTGTCCAGTTCCATCGCGAACATTACCACCCTGATAAGCAGCTTCTGCGTCTTGAAAACCAAGCTGTCTGCAGACAACACGAGCATCGTTCATGTCCCAATAATCATCACAAACTGTTCCCCATCTGCCGTTATAATAAACCTCCACTCGTCCTTCATTGTATGAACCATTAGCAATAATTCGAATGTCTGTAAAATTGAAAAACCAAAATTTAAACATCTCTTTCAATAGAAGGAATACTTTCCACCATTACGCTCCAGTTTTTACCTTTAAATGAACCATATGCACTCGTTTTAGCTAAATGGACAAAAAAGTTGAAAATATGAAAATTTATTTTTGAAGGCCCGAATGAATTACTGTATGTTATATGAAATCAATCTGATGTTGTGCATGTTTTGCTGGACCAAGATTTCTCTTAATCTTAATTGCAGGCTAAATTCTTCGCATCAAATTGCAAAAACATGGCAGATTTTTTCAAAGAAAAACAAACGTGCATACATCACCTTTCATGCTTGAAGTCGGAGTTGGGTCTATGGAGCTTGACGGTCCTATACACGATAAAAAAACATTCGTATATCATATTTCGTTCCCAGATATTCGATCATAAATGGGTGTAAGATTATAATTTTGATTTAATTTAAATTCTACAATTAAATCATTCGGAAAATAAATCACTCTGTATAAGTTTATTTTTTTCCGTCTATAGGCTCTCTTTTCTTGATATTATGCGAAACATTTTCAAGAATAATGTTCAAAAATAATTATATTTTAGCTATATAGTTTGTGACGCTGAACAGTGTGAAAAAAATTATTTTTCATTAGCGATTTATTTTCTCGCTCTGTGTGGAGGTTCCTTTAATAATAATAATATATTTACACAGTTTAGCATGTTCCAGCAATATAAATTGCTGGTATCAACCAAGTACCTGTAAATATACAGGACTTGTAAATATACATTTTTTTCATATATTAATATTCTCAATTCTTAACTCTGGCAATAAAAGACTTATCACATGCAGACTTGTCCAAAAATTGTCCAAATTTTGATAGAATTTGCTGCACCCCCCCCCCTTCTCCTGCACCTCTTAATTCTCCCCCTCCCGCACGTTTAAAAACGTTCAAAACCCGGTTTATTGGGGTAAATGTGCTATAAATATACATACTGCAATTCCATTCATCACTACCATCGGCGCAATAGGCCCATCCATCACATAGATGAAATTGGTGAATACATTGGTAACCATTGTTACATCTGAACTTCCAGAATGGACAAGTGACTTGTGATGCTGGATTTAACATAAATCGTAATTCTAATTTGTCTTATTAAAACCATGCAGGAGTGTTCAGCAGTGCTGAAACGTTGAGATTGTGGAGATGGTTTTGCATATAAACCTCACGAATAGAATCAAAATAAGAAAAATTGAAACTGAAGTTGACCTTTGAACAATGAAAGCATAAGTAAACACCAAAATTAATGTATTGGTTCGAATTTAAGTGCCACATTTGGATAAACATCAAGTGTATGTAACAAGATAGCGTATAAATTCTAGGTATTAAACTTTTTCACGCTGCAATGATATGCTTCTGCTATTTTGAAGGGTAAATTAAAATGCCGTTAGTTAAGAGGATACAAACATAGAATGGAACCTAGATTTCGTATACTGTTCATTTTCGCAATTTACATTTGCGATTTCTGCTGCGACTTTTTGTGCGATTTTCTTCTTTTGATAGATGTGAACGAGTGAATTATAGTTACAGATATTGAATATAAGAGCTCTTGTGCATCAATCATTTGTAATTAATTACTCGTTCACATTCATCAAAAGACGAAAGTTGCAAGTGTAAACCGTTTTTACTGCAATTTTTATGTGCGAATGAGTGATTAGTTACGAATGCTTTGCCTTTAATGGGTACAAGCTCCAATTTGAACATCCGTAACTAATTCACTCGTTACTGAAGGCCATGTTACACGGTGCATAGGTATGATGAGTGCTAAAAACGTAAGCATTAGTGTAAATCGTGGATTAATCTTGCAGCAAATAAACACAAACACGGTTAATTATGCAATTTCAGAGAAAAGAAACATCACCTTGTACACTTGCCGTGGAAGAAAATTTCATAGACGAAATTCCTGAAAAAAAGATAATAGCTAGGTTTTGCACTTATAAACCTACGCTAACCATCTTACTTCTGACACGCTAACCATCGAGTGTCAATAATTTAAGCACTAGCCTCTTTTATACTAATGAACAAGTTGCAACAGCAGTAACAAAACTCGAACATCCAATTGCTCATATTAATGCTCGCCATATAGGGCGGTTATACAGGGTGAGTAAAAAAAAACTGACAATTACCATAACAGACTCAGGTGTACAATCAAAAGAACGTGGTTAATTAATGCGAAAGTGTTTAATTAAACCAATTCAACATGGCGCGTCTGCTAGAAAAACTATTTGATAAAACTGTTCTTTTTTATTTACAGAGCTTAGAATGCATTTTAACTCCTAAAGGGAACAAACTTTATGTTTTAGGTTAACTAATGATTCACTTATTTGATATGCTTCGTATACCCATGTGATATTTTAGGCAGGTTTTGTCACATTACAGCCGTTATGCGGCTAATTTGAACTTCAAAGGTGTCAGGTTTTTTTACTCACACTGCATGTATATGCCAATCCTTCAAGCAGATTCAGGGCCGGATTAAGTCTGGAACTTGGGGAGATGTATATGAGCCTGAATACTCCCTGTTTATCCCAAATACACATACAAAATTTTGAATCTGTCCTGTCGGTATATATATGGGCCTATCTTATTTCAGGGCTTGCAGGCAGTTGCCATCCCACCCACTTAATAATCCATATTAATAAATACCACAGTTCCACGACCATTCGTCACTACCATCAGAGCAATCGTTATACCCATCACACAACCAACTGGACGGAACACATCTGTAGCCATTATTGCATCTGAATTCTCCTTGTTGGCAAACTGAGACTTGGGATGATGAAACTGGTGTGCATTGAAAAGAAACTTCAGTCTATATCTGGTAGCTATATATACTTTTTATTTTATAGATATAAATAACAATCAATTTACCTTGAGAGGATGTCGATGAAACACGGCTTGGAGACGGAAGATCTGGATGTATATAGAATCAGTTTGAATATACCGATTGAATAAAATAAAACAATTGACTTGAATAAGATAATCAAGCATTTGGCATTTTAACCGAATAAAGATATTTTCTGTACGTATATAAGGCTATATATTCAGATATTCACGCATACAGGAAGTATTGTTAAAATAAATCCGAATGCCTACGAAGCTTATAGGGAGATGGTGCATGGCCTAAATACTCCCTGTTTATCCTAAATATACATGTATTTGAATCTTATATCCTGTCGGTATACGGTTGTGAGCTTACAGGGCCTTTCTTAAATCAGGGCTTGCAGGCAGTTGCCATCCCACCCACTTGGCCACTTCTACGTTGATAATCCATATTAATACATACTACAGTTCCACGACCATTCGTCACTACCATCAGAGCAATCTTTCATGCCATCACACAACCAACTGGACGGAAAACATCCGTAGCCATTGTTGCATCTGAAGTTTCCGTTTGGGCAAACTGAGACTTGGGATGATAAAACTGGTGTGTATTGAAAAGAAACTTCAGTCTATATCTGTTAGCTATACATATATTCGTTTTATTTTATGGATATAAATAACAATCAATTTACCTTGAGAGGATGTTGATGAAACACGGCTTGGAGACGGAAGATCTGGATGTGTATAGAATCAGTTTGAATATACCGATTGAATATAATAAAACAATTGAATTGAATAAGATAATCAAGCATTTGGCATTTTAACCGAATAAAGATATTTTCTGTACGTAAGACTATATACAGATAACCAAGCATACAGGAAGTATTGTTAAAATAAATGCGAACATGCCTACGAAGCTTATAGAGAGATGGTGCATGGCCTAAATACTTCATCTTTATCCTAAATACACATATATTTGAATCTCATATCCTGTCGGTATATATGGTTGTGAGCTTACAGTTTGGCTGTTTCTAAAGAAAGGGCCTAGCTTTCTTAAATCAGGGCTTGCAGGCAGTTGCCATCCCACCCACTTGGCCACTTCTAAGTTAATAATCCATATTAATACATACTACAGTTCCACGACCATTCGTCACTACCATCAGAGCAATCGTCATCCCCATCACACAACCAACTGGACGAAATACATCGGTAGCTATTATTGCATCTGAATTCTCCGTGTTGGCAAATTACTGAGACTTGGGATGAAAACAATTGAATTCAATAAAAAATTAAGTATTCCGGGGTTTTACCGAATAAAGATACTCCCTGTTTATCCTAAATACACATATATTTGAATCTTATATCCTGTCGGTATATATGGTTGTGAGCTTACAGTTTGGCTGTTTCTAAAGAAAGGGCCTTTCTTAAATCAGGGCTTGCAGGCAGTTGCCATCCCACCCACTTCCACTAGCGTAGCCAGCCTGACGATTTATCCCGCTATGCTAATATTTTGATGTTCATTGACTATAAAAACAATAAATTTCTAAAGAAATGAGTAATTATAATAACTCGAAATTTACATAGCGGGACAAAATCGTCAGGCTGGCGACGCCACTGCCCACTTCTACGTTAATAATCCATATTAATATACATACTACAGTTCCACGACCATTCGTCACTACCATCAGAACAATCGTTATACCCATCACACAACCAACTGGACGGAACACATCCGTAGCCATTATTGCATCTGAATTCTCCGTGTTGGCAAACTGAGACTTGGGATGATGAAACTGTTGTGCATTGAAAAGAAACTTCAGTCTATATCTGGTAGCTATATATTCGTTTTATTTTATAGATATAAATAACAATCAATTTACCTTGAGAGGATGTCGATGAAACACGGCTTAGATACGGAATCTCTGGATGTATACATAAAATCAGTTTGAATTAATGCACCGATTGAAAAAATAAAACAATTGAATTGGATAAAATGATTAGGTATAATCGTCAAAATAAGAATGTGAATAATGGTGGTGTATATACACCAGGATTTTTGGCAAGGCGAGGGGCAGTAAAAACCTTAATCACGCCTTCCTGGTCTCAGCCTAACTATACGTATAGAAACAGGAAATCGTCTTAAAATTTATATTCTGAATCCTTAATGCGCTCCCTAGCTGCATCTTAATTAAGTGTTGTTGCTCCATTCACTTGATCCGGGCGACGCTTAGCTTTGCTCTATATACAAATTAATTAGTTCAGGGATAGTTCATTGGCTCTGTAATGTAATAAGAAAATATCTTCATGTTCAGTGCACTTACTTTGTGAGGATTTCCTACAGTTGGTTTCGTCGCTCCAATCTGGACAGTCTGGCAATCCATCACAAACCCAAAACACCGGTATACACTTTGTGCTTCTGAGACATGAAAATAGTCCGTTACCGCATTTCCTTCCTGACAAACTTGATTGAATTGATGGCGTTGACTGGACACCTAATAATCGAACGAAAGACCTGCAGTTCTTTATGGTATTGACCATGCATTTTTGAGCATTCAATAAACTAAATAAATTGGTAATATCCCTCGATACAGCCGGTCACTAAAGTAACTGAACATCTAACAACGCATCGATTTTATTTGAGATTCAATGAAGACTTGAAATTCAGCCTTTTGACCCACGTTCGTCGCTATATGCATAAATGATTATTCTAATATCCTAGTTGTACAAAGGAAGCTATGATTCAATGTTTTTTTCTTTGTTCAGACGTCCATATATGGCTATATATGTATATAGCCATGCCTAGGTGCAAAAACATTTCATATTATCGACTCGAATTTGTATGGCTCTGTTTTGGATTTTGACGCTGCATGGAGACACTTAAGTTGAACAAATTGAATGGAAACAATATTGCAGAAGACAAAAAATAGACTGTCGTAATTAATACCCCCTGCACGGCATTCTCATCCTGTTTTTGTGTGTTTGAAGAGATTGTTTAATTAAATTAATCAACAGTTTATTCATAGAATAACATTGCATTAAGCGGTCCTTCAAAGAGGAATCTAGAGTTATTAATCCAGTGTTAGGGTCAAATACGTAAACTTGGTTAACAACAATGCAATGTTTGCGTTAAACTGTGGCAAAAACAATATATACCCAGGGTACCCAGCGGGGGGGGGACAAAGTCTTAACAACGTCGCATCAAGTGTAGTATGACGTGATCGCAAGGAGAGTAAATCTTAGCTGAATCTCCTGACAAAGGTCCTTTGGTCAAAACGTCGAAAGCTTTTTGGTCTACTTTTAGTCATCAAAAAACGTCTTGGATTCATACATATCGAAAAAATTTCACGAGCAAAATAAGATATTGCAATATCGCAATCGCAAGGGGGATGGAAATAGCGGTAATTTCGGTAATTTCCAAAGCACAAAGCCGTGTTTTTGTCTGTCTAGAATTCATATTGGACGAAAAATTTGCAGCACGATTTATTCGACCAGACGGTTTGTTCGTCTTCTAATGTGAAAACGGCTAAAAACAGCTGATTGGTTGGTTAATTTTTTGAAGACCAGAGATATACCACTGGTACCACTCTGATAGTTTTCTATAAAAAAACTCACTTTGGGACTATTTTTTTAATTGCCCTAGGACAAATACTATTACCTCCATACATTTAGCACCAAAAAAATTTATCAGATTATAATAAATTTATCATTAAGCACTTGTTCCTTTTGTTTCTCTTCCCAGGTACATAGATAGGTGATAAGCGAAAGCGATAGCGACTTCCTCAACACAATTTGATAAGAAACTTACCATTCCTAGACGCTTGAAAAGAAGGGGAGGGTTTAATGTGCCAACTCTCCACTGGGGAAGCACACCACATTAATGTGCAAAACGCAATTATACGGCTGATTAGCATTTTTCAGGCTGTATCCAAATATGGATTATCCGAAATTTTCATCGACTTAGCGGTCAACTACTCCAACAAATGCTAGTCGAGCTATGCCGCAGCTGCCTCCACAGAGAAGTCTTTTGTATACCAAGTTCACCACTTCTCAAGTTGCAAAATTCCAAGTAAAGTTTGCTTTCTAATTAGTCGTAACCTATCACAAGTCAGGAAAACACAAACATTGGGTTGCAAAACAACAGTTGCCGCACCACACGATCTTTCGTTTTTGAGTTTCTTTACAGGATGTTGAAATGTAAATTTTGAATCATTCGTCTGTTTGAACTTAGCAAAGAAAGATCTAAAATTATTAAATTTAATTCCGCCGGACTCTGTTTGAAACATAAACCTCTGCAAAGTGCCTGTAAAAATCTCGGCTTTATCATCTTTTGCATCATCATATTATTTTATTTCATGGCAAACAACATTCTAACTATGCCGGTACTAAGGTTGGATTTCTACTTGCACAATAATTCCCGTGCATGATTGTGACAAATAAATTGGATTTTTGTGTCTCCAGAGAGAACTCATAACAGCTAAATCATTTGCATTAAAAGAAGTGTGATTTTCAAAAATATAAAGTAGTTTTCCGGCTAATTATTGTGATTAGTATATAGGTCAGATGATTCACAGACGAATACAATACCATCCCTATACAAATACTAAGCAGAAATAAGAAAATAAAAACTTAATTCTGGAGGCGGTGAGTTTTAAAGGAGTTTCTAAATAATTTAAAACTCAATTGTTTTAATGTTTCAAATTAACTGTAACGTAGTGTGAAAATTTGCCACAATTTAATTGCTAATTATTTTGTTGCATCAGCAAATTAGTAATCACAGTTTTTTATACCCCGATCGAAGTATACTGCAGCACTGGCCCGGAATCTATGATCTTCAAATCTACATAAGCTAGAATTATATATTTGAAATAAAAAATAGAATTAACCAATAAATGGAATTTAAATGTAAAAAGGATATGAATTCCTTCCTAATGTGTTTACATATCCTCAAATTAGTGCTGGATCGTGCTAATTCAATATTTTTATTAATTTTCATGAAAACACGTTCATTCTTATTGAATGATCATATTTTACCACGAGTGGAGTCTAAGAATGGTCGATTAATTGTGACATGTTTACAAAAAGTCCCTTGCTCTCAGACGTTTGCCAATTTTTAGATCGTTTTCAGGTAACACTTGCGCTTCCTTGTCCTTGTTCGGACGTGCACGAACCCTCAGCAATTTATTTACATTTTTTTTACTAAAAACAATACTTGAATACGACGTCATTAACGCCCTTTTATCATACCAGAATCTAGAATGCGATTTTGTACAAAAAACAGCCGGACGCTTGGAACTGACAGAGGGGTCTGCAGGTTGATATAAGTACCTGAGAGTACTTTGAGAAATATCTATGACTATGAACAAGTCTGAACAAGATTTCTTCTTCAAATAATTTTCACGTTGCAAAATTTCAATTTACCTTTCAAAAGTGATGATGGGATGCGCTTCGTTGGTTGTAAAAAGTTACACAAAGTTCATTTTTGATATCGCTGTTGCCGTGTTGGTGATTGGTTTAAAACATTTAAAACTATAAATCTCAAGCAAAACTGTCTGTAGCTCTGGAAACATATTTTGGCGCTACTTAATGCGACTATTCTTTTTCATAATCATTGTCAAACCAGGCTTACATAATTATTACAAGCATGTTAAGATTTCGTGTTTTCATGTTATTTCCTGAAATTGTCTGCAGGTAAAGTGATAGCAAGTTGCTAGACGCTAGTAACTGTCATCACTACACCACAGTCGGCGTTTAGTTGCATGTTACACAACTATCCCACACTAAGTGTCATTAGATGCAAAAGAAGGACTGATGCAAAAATTATTCTATTTGGATGCATGAGATGGTGAGAACAAGAGGTTCTGTTAAACGACAGAGCAGTGAGACTGTGAGAGCACCCACTTTTAAGGCTTTTCAGATCGATTTTTAATCCAATTCATGCCTGCCTGCATGGCGAGACGATCAAATTGAGACACTCGACATGGTCTGACTATGCTAGCCAATCAAATGCCAGGTTTACAAATCTGTTTGACAAGTAAATATGAAGTTCACAAGCTTGCAACGAATTTGCAAAATTGAATATTTTTAAAGAATATCTTTAGCAAAAATCATGTAAAATCGACTATAATTACGTACAAATCCATTCTGGTAATGATTTAGCTAAACCCATGGACGAGACACGTCACAGTGGATCACGTACATAATGCCTGAACACCTGCAGTTTGTTTACCGCCTTGAAATATTCGGGCGAAGAAAAAAATCAAAAAATAAAAACAGTGAAGACGGAATATGGCGACGTGTTCAAACACAGGTTCAACGATAAGTTGGGATAAATTGTTCATTCGAGCACTTCATATCTCTCTAACAACTTTCGTTATAACTGTTCTTATTCTTAAAGACACTGGTAAGTCACCAAAATTAAACATTAAACTTTAGATTCTTCTTATATCCAGCCTGACGGCGATGACAAATTTGAAAATATTTATATCTGCATTCTACATTTGATAATGAAACAACAAATTTTCTCACTCGCATTGGACAATTTAGTATTAGTTTAGTGAAGGTCTCCTCCAAAAGGTATTTGGATGAATAACAGTTAGGATGGGACAATAATAATAGTGCTTTGCATGTGTATTGCTATGAACTGATTGGGTCATGATAGGGCTGTGAGTCTGTGACCAGAATTGACTACTTTTTATTTTTTTATTATAGAACTTCGAAAGTCTTTGATGCTTCTTCAATGGTATTACCTGCTGCCGTATTTTTTCATCCTAACCTGTTCAACTTTGTTTTATTTTATTGCTGGTTCTGTTGATCCCGGTTTCGTTGCCTGTGAAACTGATCATGCTATCATGGTTGCATATGAGGTACAAATTGTTGTATAAAGTTTTAGCAGTTGAATAACCAAGATAAGACTATGGCAGTGTGCCCCAGTGTTTATCCATCCATTACTTTTAGTTGAAACTATTTGAAACTATCTTAACAGAAGACGAAAGAAGACTCACATGAAGAAGGTGAACCATTGATTTCTGAAAGTTGTGAAGTGCTTGCAGCCCCACCATTTCATAGCATGCCAAAACTGCGCCGCTGTGGATACTGCAATATTATCCAGCCATTACGGGCAAAACATTGTGAAGATTGTAATCATTGTGTACATCGATATGACCATCATTGCCCATGGTTAGGAAACTGTGTTGGTGAAAGAAATCACAGATTCTTTTGGGCATTCTTATTGTTCGAAACCATCCTAATTGCTTGGTCTATTGAAATTGGATGGTGAGTTTGTCACATGAAATTTGTAGTGTATGGGCTGTCCAATAATATTGTCATGTTGCAATGACCCAAACTGTAACTAGATAGAAGAGGATTTTCAATGACCAAATGCTCTCGTCAATAGACTTGTGACATTTTGTAAATTAGCACTATTGAAAAGCAAGCTATAAGTGACAACCTTAATCCTGTATCTCACTTACCTTAATTTTTACAAATTTAATTATTTTTTTAAGGTATGGATTTCAGAGTAAAAAGGTGTGGTCAGACTGGGCATATACCAATGGCATACTCCTTCTTGTTATGTTGATATTAATCATCTCAATCATCGTAGTCAGCTTGTTGTTTGGTTGTCATTCATACTTGATTGTGATTGGTCGAACAACTTGGGAGCACATGGCTCATTCAAGAATCTCGTATCTTAAGATATTTAAGGAAGGGGTCAATCCTTTCCATGAGGGATATTTCAAAAATGTTTGCAAGTTCCTATGTCATTGTCGAGTACGCAAATGGGAGAATGTTTTTCAAAGAAGTAGTATTAATTTAGGAGTTTGAACTATTGTTTTCAAACAGTTTATTGTAAACAATGCAATATGTAAAATTACATCTTATTAAATGCAGACCTTTGATTAACAAGAAGTGTTAATACAAAATTCTTTGGCAGCAACATCAGTATTTCTAAGAGATCATAATTTGTGATACATTTTAATAGAACCTTTATTTTTGAAAAATAATGCGTAAGGAAAACTGAAACTTAAAGTGTAGCCTGTCGGTATTTTATAGTCTGTTATGTTGTGTGTGGACTGTATGTATCACTAAAGATGCCAACAAAATCCACAGCCCCTGGTTATATTGAGCAAGTATTTATTTATCATATATATATATATATATATATATATATATATATATATATATATATATATATATATATATATATATAACCTAATATTTTTGTGTCATTGTAAGAATTGCTGAATCACAGAATAGTTTTAAACGTTTTTGTTGCCTCATACCGTCATATATTTTTACTGGTCTACTTTACAAAATTTCTGATTCTGATCTCGTCCTCGAATTGATGATTATCGATGTGTTTTTAAAAATGGCAGGCCATTTTTTAGACAATTGCCACGAAAATGTGCGACCTTTTTAGCCTGTTGCGAGCTCCAAGTAATGCGACCTGAATGCGACTCTCTCGCAGTTTTTAAAAAAAACTACTTGCGTTGTTTTTCTTTCCCAAGTTACAAACGACATCTTATCGACCTTTCGCTCGAATATTTCATAACATTCTGGTTCTTCCGTGAAAACACCAGCAAGGAAGGAAGCGATGTAAATGACGATCACAAAGGTGGAAGAAATTATTTTAGAGTTCTCATCTAATACAGATTCGAAGAATATATCCCAATGTTCCCCTTGTGTCGGTTGAACAATATGCTCAGGCCAGATCATCTGGTTGATTGTTTTTTCAACTTTCTTTATGATATCTCGTTTGTCCTCGTCATTTCAAGTAACCTCCCCCTCAACAATTCTATCATCTCTGATACCATAGTAGATGTGACCTCCCTGGTGGTTGGAAAATGCTGAAACATAACAGCTGAGTTATTAACTAACGTGTCATTTTACCTGCAGGTTTACTAGAGCAATCAAAAGCCCGGCAATAGTTGAAATCAGAGAGAATCCTTCCCTTTTTGAGTGCCTCTTTTGACAAACAAGAGTTTCGTACGCACTAGTTCTTCTGTAAACAATGCTTTGTTGGCCCTACTCCAATCAACCATTTCTGGAAAATTGTTTTCTTTTGCAAGACATTCAGCTTTTTTGGCGCAGTTAAAAGCAATCGTCAAAAGACGAGTTCTTTTTTCTGGATTGACTTGTGAATGTCGATAATGATAAATCGACTGGACCAAATTAAATTGAATTTTATGATATTTGCTGAGTGGGTTTCCTTCAAGAATGGTTTCATGCACACTCATGATAATGCTCCTCGTTTTATCTAAACATGAACGGTCAACATTCTTTTCAATGCGCTGTCCATTAATACTACACCCAAGATGAGATGCCGCCAGAATGAAACATGCCTTCTTCCTTAGATTACTCACCATCTCAGGAGAATCCGACACATGCTGTAAATGTTCCAAAGCTCTTGCAGAAAGAACATCTGCAAGTGAATAGTCTAAATTCTTCGGGTCATTTAGAACTGTTCCAGCGACAAAAACGTATACAGTAGCTGTTACTACGCCTGGTTCAATAAGTTCAGTCTTTGACAAAGCATCATCTAATATTTTTCTGAGCCCACCAGTCTTATCTCCACGAGCACGTTTTAGTGCTGCTTCTAAATACAATCCGATCACTTCGAATATGAACGAATCTTCATTTCTTTTAGATAAAATTTCTTTGTATTTTTGCAGTAGTTTTCCAGCTCTATACAAACGTCCTTTGCGGATACACGCAGTAATTCTTTTTGAAAGAATTGATAATTTTATACTGTATAACCCGGATTTTCCCTGAAGACTTGAACTCTTTCCTAAAATAGCTTCCCAATCTCCGTTGTTAATTAAAGGCATTAGTACCTTATGAGTCTCAGTAAATGCTTTGCGAGCCTTCACTGAGCTCCATGTGATGCCGGAAGCTGAATGGGGATTTTTGGCATAAAATTGTATCCCAACTGGTTTCGAAATTCGTTTTTTCCAAGAAAGAAAAGACATTTTTTCAGCATTTCCCTTCACCATTTCATAACATTCTGGTTCCTCCGTAAACACACCACCCAAACAGGGAGCAATGTAAATAACGATCACAAAGGTGGAAGGGATTATTTTGGAGTTTTCATCTAACACTGATTCGAAGAATATATCCCAGTGTTCTCCTCGTTTTGGTTGACCATATTGCTCAGGCCAGATCATATTGTTAATGGATTTTTCAACTTTCTTTATGATATCTTGTTTGTCCTCGTCATTTGAAATAACCTCTCCCTCAACATATCCATTATCTCTGATACCATAGTAGATGTGACCTCCCTGGTGGTTGGCATATGCCGAAACATAACAGCTGAGTTTATTGCTTTTACCAGTCATACGATCTGCTAACGTCGTGCATTTGGATTCATCTGCTTTAAGTTGCTTAAATTGACACATTTTGCTTTCATCCAAATCACAATTTTTATCTTTATAAAACGTTTTTTGATGCGAGCAAGGTTTGACAGATTCTGGAACGTCTTTTCTGTTCATGACTTTCTTGACATTTTCTAGTGATTCGCGGGGATCTAACAGAAGGACTTGTTTTTCAGTTGGTAAATAAAGATTATAGTTGGTTGTTACTAAATAACCAGCTTTCTTAACGAGAATGACCAGGCTTTCTTTGTTCTTTTCAATACTTATTCTCGAGTAAGTCAGGTATTGTCCAATTATTGATATCATAAACTGTTCCAGCATTCGACTGACGGACGATGATAAACATACAGGTGAGTTGCCCTCATGATCGCAGGACAACCTGATGGTGACCTTTCCTCCATTGCTATTGAGCATAGCACAGACATCAGCTATTATTTTCTTTGATATTTTTGCTTTATACTTCTTGCTAGTTTTGAGTTTACATGGATTTACATCATGAAGTGTCTCGTCGATATTGTTCATCATATTGACTTTATTGTAGATATGTTCCTGTGTGATATGTGATATGTTCCTTCCACAGTAAAAGGCTTAGCAGTTGTCTAAAGTATACAAAAAAGACCTTTCTAAAGTTTGAGCTAAAGAATGCTTTCCACTAGACGGAATTTACGTCTAATTTACTTTCGTCTTATTAGAATTATGTTTTCCGGCTGCGAGGTCGGGATAGAAAAAATATTTTCTGAGCCTGAGGTAAAAAAAAGAACCCGAGGCCGGAGGCCGAGGGACGTTTTTTAGACCGAGGGGAAATATTTTTTCTATCTGGGCCGAGGAAAACAATAAGTAACGTATTTATTTTTTTACAAAAAGCGGCCTTCAGTCGTATTATCAATTTATCATTGTGTAGTCAGCCTCAGCAATGGCCACAAAAACATGATAAACAATCAAAACCTGAACTGGTTAATTTACTAAATTTCATTTCAATTTATCGTGCCTCATTCTGGTCCATATATTTTAAAGTACGAAAAGTCAAAAGTTTGCGAATAAATCTTTAGAAAAACAAAACAAATACGCTTTCGCTCGAGCATAAAATATAGGATTCCGATATCGTAAAATTCCGCCCAATCAGATTGCAGGAAAGTCTATAGGATTCCGCCCGCTGCTGATTTGTAAAAAAATATTATTGTATAAAGATAAAAATTCTAAAATATCGAATCTAATACTAGTAATTTAATTTAAAAAATATATCTTCTAAGGATTTTATTTGATGCATGTGAGTGGTGAATATTTGTTTTACTTAGTCTAAGAGATTATTTACTGTCTATATATAGACAGATCGATTAGAAAGTGATACTTTTTTTAAAAACAGCTTCCCACAGTCGTTGCTACTTCATCGTTCACAGCTAACCTAAATATTATTTATTAAATACTAATAATAATGACAAAACTGTGTTAGATTTTCCTTTCGTATCCTCTAACCCGAATTAATTAATGCAGAAGAAACCCAGAGAAGCAGAGAAGTGAGGTTATTCTTACTGCAGTAATACTGCATATGTAACTGATGCAATGGGCCGTGTCATATTGGTACTAAAAGCATGCAGAGCCCTTGAGTTGGTTTCACTTCAATGAAAGTTATGTGCATGCATGGTAATGAGGTCCCTGATGTACGCACGGGTTTCATGTTGGAAAGGTTAAGCCCAACAAATATGTGAGATTTGCAGACCAGAAACACATTCCTTCATTATCATATAAGCCTGGATCCTAAAGTTCAAGCTTCATGTAGCCCGTGCCCGTGAGTGCCTTTAGAGTTGATTGACAAATTAAATTTCAAACCAGCCGAGATGAACAAGGAGGGGTGAATAGTAAAAGTAACAAAGCCAACTGATTGGGTTAACTCTTTAGTTATTAGAGAGAAGCCTAATGGAAGACTTCGTTTATGTCTCGATCCGAAAGATTTAAATGAAGCAATAATAGGTGCCCATCACCAACACCAACTTTGGAGGAAATAACACCAAGGTTGGTACGCGGGTACATGCATGCAGATGATAGTAATACAGTTTTACCTATAGTATCAGTGAAAGTGTAAAAATGCAATGAAATAGCCAAGAATACATCGAAACGTATGCTCTCTTAGACAGCAGTCCCATTTCTACGTTTTGTATACCGAGTCCCTGAGAAAGAAATTGACACAAAAGATTCGATAAACCACCCTTGGTACGAACGATGAGGTCACAACCCTGTTGATTAGTGGTCTGGAAGTATCAGACTTGCATGAAAACGATCTTCCGTGTTACGAGACGTTTTATGTCACCCGAATTATACCTGTTTCAAAGAACCAAGTACCAACACAAGAAGACGCCGAAAACTGGCCGTATTTGGATGGAAAGTTATAATCTTACCTCGTCCCCACCACGATTCCTGCGTAGACGTGCTTATTGGTTCTAACGCGCCCGAAATTATAGAGCCTAAAGAAATCGTGCATCCCTAAGACGGCGCTCCATATGCGAGTAGAACGGTGTTTGCCTGAGGCCCAACAGGAAGAAATCGGCTACAATTGAAAAGACAAATTTCTTCGTGAAAACCGAAACAAAGTACCGGCTTCATCGAAAACTTGGATACCACTAAAGAAATGTCCTAAGACGATGTTCGATTCATGCAGATTGTTGAACGTTCAGTAAAGAAGACATCAGATGAACATTATGAAGTTTCTCTTCGGGTTACAGATGCGGCGTTGAAGATGCTCAACAATCGCGCTCAAGCTTTGAAAAGGATGAGTTATTCGGAAAAAAGTTTGAGAAGAATCCTAAGTTCCACAAGGACTACAGCAAGTTCATAGCAGATATACTCAAGTAAGGATATTCCAAAAGAATTCCAGTTGAGAAGCTTTACCGTGGAGATGGAAGAGTATGGTACCTTTCTCACGACAGAGAATACTGAATACCAACCTAAGGAACCAGAAAAGATTCGCGTGGTGCTGATTGCTCCGCCGAGCAACGTAAACATCTTTAAATAACGAACTATAAATACCAGGGCCCCGATCTAACGAACACGTTCCTAGGTGTGCATTCACGATTCCAAGAGAAGAGAGTTGCATTGTGTGGAAGGGATGTTTCATCAATTAAGAGTTGCAAAATGCAATCAAGACCTACTTCGATTTCTGTGGTGGCCAAATGGTGATACTACTCAAAGCATGCAAGAGTGAAAGATGACCTTTTTGGGGCAACTTCGTCGCCAAGCTACGCAAATTATGCACTACGTAAAACAGCTGATGACAAGCGTGCCTCTTATCCGGCTGAAGTAATGACCACCGTGAGGAAAAATTTTTATGTGGACGACTGCGTGAAGTCTGTGGCTACGGTAGAAACGTCATTCCAAATGAAAGGGCACTTGGAATTCAATGGTTCATCAGTACAGACACACTCGGTTATAACATTAGGAGAGACCGTTGACTAGAAGAGGATTAATGTCAGTCGTGAGTTCAGTCTGTAACCCGCTTCTTGGGTTTGGGATTACAGGATCCTCGACAGGATCTATGCAGACAAGGTCTAGCCGTCTAGGATGTGACGATGCTAGGAAATTGGCTATATCTTATCTCATTCCACTCCACAACAATAGAAATACATCTCGTGGCTCATCTGTCGACAAATTCCTTCAAAATGAAAGATGACGAAATGGCCAAATATAGATGTATTCATACCAGCAGGGGTTCCCTTTTAACAATCCCGAAGTAAAAGGCGAGATTGAGATGCCTTATTTCGAGCAGGGGAAGAGCAGGATCATTTAATGAAGATATTTCCAAAATTTTCATCTTGGCTACATCAACAATTATTCGTCGCAAGATGCATTTGTCTGGCAGTTAAAATTTCGCAATCGAAATCACAATGGTACACAAAATCATCAAGAAGGCAGTATTAAGCCCGTTTATTCGAAAGGATAAAAAGTGAACAGATAAAAAGTTGGAAGCGATTAGTATTCCAGTATATTATACTAATTAGTACCTAGTATTCAAGTATATTAGTAAGGGGGACGCTATAATGAAGTTCAATAACTGAATCTATAGATAACTTGTAACGCGTGTAACGCGTCGGTGGCCGTTGAAATCGTGCGTCGCTAAGGAAAGATGCAAAGAATCCTATTATTTTACCAAAAAAGAATTACGTAGTTGAAGTGATTATCATGCACTTTCATTATGAATCAAGGCATTCGGGACGAGAATATGTTTTGGCTGCCTTATGACAGCGATTTTGGATCATAAATACGAACTCTATGGTGAGACGACTCAGACAAGCATTATCATGCAAAGTGTCGAATGTAAACGGAGACAAGCAACTAATGGCAAACAAAATATGGCAGATTTACCCCTTACAAAAGTAAACCCCGATAAGCCTCCCTTTACTCACGTTCGAGTAGATTATTTTGGCCCATTCCTTGCTCGACAAAGACGAACAATGGTATAAAAGAGATATAGAGTTGTTCACGTAGAAATTAGAGCTATTCACGTAGAAATTAGCAATTTGTTGAACACTTCCTCGTTCATTATGGCCTTCCGTATAGATTTATTGCTCGAAGAGGTCAAGTTACTATCCGATATTAGTATACACCCGACTATTGTCTATTACAAATCCTACATTCTGATTGGCTACTCAACCATTGTCTATTCGTGATGGTGCACGCTTGGGAAAATTTCGCTCGCGCGACCGTATAAAATTGAATTATTTTTCGGTGTAATTGCGGTGTATAGATTATTTTCTCGAAATTAATATATCTAGGTACAGGGTTTATACTAAAACAATTAGACAACTCGCCTTTGTTGTCTATGGGCGAATAGACAACTCCGACTCGTTGTCTAATTGTTAAATGGTACAACCCTAGTCCGTGGAATTAAAGAATGATTTATTAAAGAATAGAATCAGAGGCAGATACACGAGTTTCTTATTCAGAAGGAGATTGAATGGCATTTTAACCCACCATCAGGATCCCACCACGAGTCCGTACTGTAAGAAAAGTATTGGATGCCTTAGTCAAAGGACAATTAAACCCTTAGTCAAAGCACACCCTGATATGCGAAGTAGAAACAATTGTCAACAGTCACCCTACTATACTAAAGTGTCTAGCGACCCAATTGACTTGGAACCTTTAACCTCAAACCACCTCCTACTTCTTCGTCAAGAGCCTTCATTGCCCCCTGGTATATATCCGACTTGTTTTTGAAACGTTGGACAAGGGAGTATTTGCCACAGCTACAAGGAAGACACAAATGGAACAAGGAGCAAAGAAATTTTAAAGTTGGAGTTATAGTTGTAGTTGTTGATCAATTGACAGCTTGAAATATGAGAATACCTGAATAACAGGAGTATTTAAAAATTTGAATGGACTAGTTCGTAGAGTAAAGTAAATTTTGGACCAACCTATTGTAAAGCTGTGCTTATATTAAAAACAATCGAAAAACTGGAACGATGTTCCCAATGAACAGATTCACATGAAAAAGAATGATGTTATTTGCAAATATATTGATATTTTGTAAACATGTTGGAAATACATTTCGTATTTAAGGGCCTGGTGTGTGGATTGCATTTGCATCCGTTGTGCAACGCAAGCGTGGGCGTTTAGCCGAATATATATAAGATCTCGTATTGTTAGGTGCCGTGTTGTTTTGTTAACGTATACTTTGGTTTAATACCTGCACGGCTGCAAGAATGTGGACCTAATAAATAAATAAATACATTGTCGCGTATTTTTATACACTTTGCAAGAATCTAAATGCTATCTAACTAATCTAAGTTCGGAACATTACAATCGTCTTATGTGTCATTAACCGGATAGTGCCAAATATCGTATACCCTGTAGGGAAATTCCCCAAAACGTTTTTGCATTAACAATATTACTATAATATATACCTTCAAAATCGCGAACAAGAATCAAGGATTCATAAAGAATAGTAAGCAACTTTTTTGCTTCTGAACTAATTTGATTTAATAACGACCTCCACTTGACTATAACATACTTCTATGACATACTTCGACTGAGGCAACTCACCTACCACTTGACTGCAATATTTGCGATTTAAGATCAATATATAAGTTTTCTGGCAAGGTGAATTCTTTCAGAACTGATATAAGAGACGCAAAATACGTACGTACCATCCGACACTAATTGGAAGGCGGAAAAGTATTAAAACAAACGCATAGAAATCTGTACTTCCGTGTATTAAATCATGAGCTTTTGTGAACTGCCGGGTTTAATTAATCAAGAAAGTTTTTATTTGTATCCAGGGGTAATCTTCCGGTATATAGATAAATCTCGCATAGGGGATTCCCCAGATATGCATTTTCATATGTTCAGGCAAAATACAAGTACAAAAGGTTGGTATATACCCATGTTTTTATTTTCAACATTCTATCTCATTCATTCTTGAATCATTCATCAATCATCAACTCTTATCACGGTTGTGTGCTCTTATGAAATGTTACGTTCGCGATGTGCTTTATATCAGCATTGTTTGCTGAATAAATGCATCTGATCGAGACATGTTTATAGACATCAAATGAGAGCAATTTTTATGCATGTATATAGTCATAAAAGGTGTCTCTTGACAGTCTATCGCAACCGGCGGAGAGAGTAGCTACAAAGGAGTATACTTCACTCTGTAGGTTCATGTCTATAATACGAGTAGAACTAATAGCCTTCTCTGTTCTACAAGACACCTAAAAAGCTATTTTTATTTTAGTTTGTAATGTTATGACCTGCTGGACGGTAATTAACTACGACTGAAAAGCCTATTGTGTGGTAAATATCGAGTATATTTATTGCCAGTATTCCTACTGGGTCAAGAAATTGTTGATTCATAAATGGTGTACACTGATTTATAGTATGCTGTAATGATGCTTTCTTTACTAAAATTGTTATAATGTAGACAAATTTTATATTATGATGAACAATAGAGACGAAACTGTACACATCATATGTTCTTGTAAACTCAAAACTGACAAAAAGTATAAGGAACAAATATTGAAGGAAGTGGCAGCTGCTGTATGTGCTATGCTCAACAGCAATGGCGGGAAAGTCAAGTTATATTACGATTCCAAGTGCAACCCAACCAAATTATTATCATCGTTGACTAGTCGAATGCTTGAGCAATATATGATATCAATTATTGGACCTCGCCTGACAGTTTCGAAAATAGATATCGAAGAGGTGAAAGAAAGCCTCGTTATTGTTGTTGAAAAAGCCGATTCTTTAATAACAACCAGTTATAACCTTTACTCACCCGGTCAAACACAAGTTGTCCAGTTAGATCCCCGGGAACCAGAAAATGTCGTAAAGGATATCATGGACAGAAGAGTCGTTCCAGAACCTGTGGAACTTGGCTCACATCAGAAAATTTTTCGTCGAGGTCAAGATTCCTATCTCAGGGAAAGCAAAATGTGTCAGTTTAAGCAACTTAAAGCAGATCAATCCAAACGCACGACGTTAGCAGATCGTATGACTGGTAAAAGCAATAAATTCAGCTGTTATGTTTCGGCATATGCCAACTACAGGGGAGGACACATCTACTTTGGTATCACAGTGGATAAATTTGTTGAAGGAGAAGTTATTGTGAATGAAGAAGATAAACAAGAAATTATAAAGAAAGTTGAAAAAACCATCAACAAGATGATCTGGCCTGAGCATATTGGTCAGCCAAAACGAGGAGAACACTGGGATATATTTTTCGAATCAGTGTTAGATGAGAACTCTACAACAATCCCTTCCACCTTTGTGATCGTCATTTACATTGCTTCCTGTTTGGGTGGTGTTTTTACGGAAGAACCAGAATGTTATGAAATGGTGGATGGGAAAGTTAAGAGGATGACGTTCATTGCTTGGAAGAAAAGAAAATATGACGAATTACTTCCTTCAAGAGGCATCATTTCTTATGTTAAACGTATCACGTGGAGCTCAAATAGAATTCGGGAAATTTACACTTCTGCAGATCAACTATTAACACAAAAGCTTAATAACGGAGAATCCATTCAGGAAATCTGCAAGTCTCTTAAATCAACATATCCTGATCTGAATGAAGTGAGGTTATTGATTTTGTCGAAGAAAGTGATGGCGTCATATCGATCATTTTGCTTCAGAAAAGCGGAAGGGTCAATACAGGAGTACAAAGCTGTTCTCGTGAGAACAAAAGATTCCGCAATTTTTGACGCGATACTTGCTTACATAAGTGTTGCTTTATATCGCGCCAGAGGAGTGAGGGAATTTCCAATAGAAATATTAATCTCTGACGCTTTATCCAAAGCAGAGATGATCGAACCAGGTCTTATCTCTGCTGCAATATATTTACTTGTTGCTACAATAAGAGGTGTTTTGTTATCAAAAGATGAGCAAGTCAGTAAAATAGCAGGTTACATCGTAACAATTCTTGCAACACGAGCTTTAGAACATTTACAGTACGTCCATGATTCTCCTATGGCTCGAGCAAACATGGAACAAAAAGCTCACATTACCTTAGCATTACATCACCTGGGTTATAATGCATATGGAATGCAAACTAGAAAGACAATCGATAGCAAGGACGTAGACAAAGCAAAATCCAGCCTTGTGAAAGTAGATAAATTAATCTTCGAGGGAAAATCTGTTAATAATTATCGCAATATACATTTTAATCTGGCGAAGGCACATCTTCTATATCGACAATTTGAAGTCAATCCTGATAAATCGTTGCTGCAAAATGCTTTTCAATTTTCAAAACAAGCAGAAAACCTTGCAACTGAATGTAATTTCCAGGAAATGCTTCAATATGCTAGAGCCTGCACGGCGTTTTGCACTGAGAGCTTGATCCGTTTTGAACTAAAGTCAAGGGGACAAACTAGAGACAATGGCACTAAGGAAACGTAAGAGAAGCAACCGTAAAATTAAACCTTGTCCTTGTTGCCATCTCTTGAGTTCCCCCAACAACAGTGCCCAAACATGCATGAAGACACACTCGTAACTGGTTAGATGGGCATAAAAGGCTTCCTGTTTTGGAGCGTCACTGCCTACACAGAAGAACATGCAGTATCTGCATGTTGTAGATATTGTTTCTCACAGACACAAGCTGATCAGGACGAGCCTTCTCATTGCATGAATTTCCATTGTTTTTTAGGTAAACATGATAGATTAAGACAACATTAGGCGCAAGGTGCATGCACTTTTCACACAGTGTTTTCTCAGCTATAACTTTTGACCCTGGTACTGAAAAGTTAGCTTTTTAGTTATTAAGAATTGTTTAACACATTGCATTGCGTAAGATTTGAAATGTGTGGTATATGTAGTTCGGTGGTTGCTCAGAAAAACATCGATAGAATAACCTTCTAAAATGTCTGTTAAAGGATCATCATAGGATTTTGGACATTAGCCGCTTGACATTTTTGAGAATCGGAATCACCGAGCATCGCATTTTTTTGAAGACGAGCTATTTAAAGACGTTGACTATGCCGCAATTGCAAACTGTAAAAATGTTTTGTATATTTCTCTTTACATCAGAAATATTATAGTTGTTACCATAAGGCCTAGTTTCCATTCAGTCGTTAGCTGTCGTTACATGTCTTTCCGTGTCTTTGGAATAATCGTGAAAGACCGATAACAAATTATGGGAAGAATCATGTCGTTTCCTGTCTTTTTATGTCGTTGAGATAGGATTTGTTCTATCCGAGCGACACTGTCTGTTTCTCTCAGTCGTTATCGGTCTTAGTCACGATTATTCCGAAGACACGGAACGACATGTAACGAAAGCTAACGACTGAATGGAAACTAGGCATTATTAACTATTCTTTGCAACATTCATACTTAGAGACTGAGAGAGAGGCAGAAGCAGAGAGGCAGTACAACAGACATGACTGTAAAGTCATTCTGAATAACAAACACTTCACTCTCAAATTGTAAACTCTATATTTCTCAACTATATTGACTCAACCATATATCAAATCCTTTTTATTGTTCGTTCTAACAACGACTACAGTAACTATATGACAACTATGCAAGTTCAACTCCAGGGGCTGTTGGTACCCAGCGCGCGCATCGTTACAATGCACATTATTCTCCTTCCTACTGTTTACACACGGATGTGTTGCCAAAGTATAAATACTCGATAAGTAATGAAAGTCTGCACCGAAAACAACTGACGCGGTTACCAGAAATTAGTGACATGTGATTTTCATACTAAACTAATTTGCATATAACTTTCAACAATAATGGCCTTTAACGTTTACTGTAAAATACATATAACAAAAGTACAACACCTAAAATTGCCGTTACCCTGGATGTTGCCCACTGTTTTCTATACGATATAAGACAAGTTTCCCACTTTACTATATAGTATGCGGTGTTTTACATTGCCATAAAAGCGATAATAAAACACATTCCATATTTTAATTCGTGCATCCCTGTATTACTCACTATGAACCCCGTTTACACTACAGTCCATTTTTTGGCATGGCACTGTTAAAATTGGTTTACAACGAAGGAATTATTTTAACATTAATACGAGTTTAGCCACCCAAAATAACCATTATTAGGGCTAATCTAATTAGGTGGCTATTATACAAGCATTATTCAGTACTTAGTATAATTATTACATTGCAGTCAATAGACATGCACTTCCAAAATTTATTCTCGGGAAATGAAAGCCATCCCACAAACAATAGATTACATTGCCCGCCTCATTTCCAAACTATTGTTTTGTGTGAAGTGTCTATGTTGACAAATTTTCGAACAAAGTCAAAAGATTATACTTTGGATATTTTGAGGTAGACTAGAACGATAACTGCGAATTACCAACCGGCAAAAAAACCGGAAAATTTTCAAATATTTTTTAGATGTTTCCCTTTAAGCTAAAGTCTCCAAATTTTTACACGAAATATAACTTGACATTTGGCAGCACTGACTTCAATTTTCCCTCTTGAGTTATCGTTCCAGTTCAATGAATTTGAGTACATAACGCCGTGCAAGCTTTGGCATATAAACATATATAACATCCTGATACATTGTCTTTACAAAATAATTTTGCATGATTCCGTAAGAGCAACAATGATGGATCTGTGAACAACAAGCAGTTCTCCTGCAGCCAAACCGACGAAATTATTTAAAGATCAAAATACCCAGCTACAAACGTTTTGAGGTCAATTCTGGACTTTCAATATTTTGAAGTGGGTTGGTTTGGGTTCGTTTCTTTGCCTTTGGCTTTGGATTGAGTGCAAAGCGTATCAAGTTCTCAATGCATAACGCTGTGCAAGCTTTAGCCCTCTGAAGCATTTCTTGGAAATTACCTTCTGTCGCAAGGTTTTCAGCTTGTTTTGAGAATTGAAAAGCTTCTTTTAGCAACGATTCATCAGGATGGATTTCGGATTGCCGATTTCGATGATATGCCTTCGCCAGATTTAAACGTGTGTTGCGATAATTATTAACCGAATTTCCTTCTGAGATTAATTTATCTACTTTCGCAAGACTGGATTTTGCTTTGTCTAAATCCTTGCTATCGATTGTCTTCTCAGTTTGCATCCGATATGCGTTATAACCCAGGTGGTGTAGTGCTAAACTAATGTGAATCTCTTGTTCCAAGTCTGCTCGTGCTATGGGAGAATCATGGACGTACTGTAAATGTTCTAAGGCTGTTGTTCCAAGAATTGTTGCCATGTAACCTGGTATTTCACTAACGGAACTTGTCATTGTAGCAACAAGTAGATATATCGCAGCAGTAGTAAGACCTGGTTCGATCATCTCTGCTTTAGATAAAGCGTTAGAGATTAGTGTTTCGATTGGAATGTCGCTTTTTCCTTTGACACGGTATAAAGCAAGCTTTATGTAAGCAAGTATCGCGTCAAAAAATGCAAAATCTGTAGTGTCAATTTGAAGAGCTTCGTATTGCTCAAGTAACTTTTCTACATTCCTGAAATCATTCGTTCGGTACGAAAACTTAATTTTCTTCGACCCAACAAATAATCTTACTTCCTTAATTTGACGGGGGTATTTTGATTCAAGAGATTTAGAGATTTTCTGAATGGATTTGCCCGTTGTATTAAGTTTTTGTGATAACACGTGGTCTAAAAAAGTATAAATGCTCCGAATTTTATTTGAGCTCCACGTGATACGTTTAATGCTGCGTGAACGCAATACCTTGTCATAATGTATTCTTTCCATCCATGCAATAAACGTCATTTTCCTTATTTTTCCATCCACCATTTCATAACATTCTGGTTCCTCCGTAAACACACCACCAAAACAGTAAGCAATGTAAATAACGATCACAAAGATGGAAGGGATTATTGTGGAGTTTTCATCTAACACTGATTCGAAGAATATATCCCAGTGTTCTCCTCGTTTTGGTTGACCAATATACTCAGGCCAGATCATCTTGTTGATGGATTTTTGAACTTTCTTTATAATTTCTTGTCTGTCATTCTGATACGAAATAACCTCTCCCTCAACTTTACTTTCATCTGTGATACCATAGTAGATGTGACCTCCCCTGTAGTTGGCAAATGCTGAAACATAACAGCTGAATTTATTGCTTTTACCCGTCATACGATCTGCTAACGTCGTGCGTTTGGATTGATCTGATTTTAGATCCTTTAATTGACACATTTTGCTTTCACTGAGACCAGAATCTTGACCTCGACGAAAAATGTTCTGATGTGAGCCAAGTTTCACAGGTTCTGAAACGACTCTTCTGTCCATGATATCCTTTAAGACATTTTTTAGTGGTTCTCGGGGATTTAACTGAACAACTTGTGTTTGACTGGGTAAATAAAGGTTATAACTGGTCGTTATTAAATAATCGGCTTTTTTAACATGAATGACCAGGCCTTCTTCGTCATCTTTCATACATATTTTAGAAGTAGCCATGCGAGGTCCAACTATTGATATAATTAATTGTTCCAGCATTCGACTCACCGATGATTTTAAACTTTCACATAAGTCACTCTTGGATTTGCAAGACAGTCTGACTTTTCCACCATTGCTATTGAGCATAGCACAGATAGCAACTGTTATTTCTTTTGATTTTTGTTCCTTATACTTTTTCTCGGTTTTGAGTTTAGTTGGGCATACGACGTGAACCGTCTCATCAACAAAACCATCGTTTTGTATCCCGGCTAAACTCGTGCACATAACTTTCCATACAACAGTTTCTTGAGAATAAATACACTCTATATATTTACCCGCAATATAGGTTTCTCAGCCGTAGTTACCATCTGAATAATTATAGACTGGCCATAATCTGCAAATATTGAGGTGAGCTTGCGTTAAATACGTATAAAATGGCTGTTATGTACATTTTTTATGGGCTTTCCAACTAAACATTTAAGTCGTTAAGGTAACTCTGGATTCCTTTGGTTACACTTATATTACTTTATTTAAATATATAATAAAGACAGCAAATGTCGTTTAAACTACCGAGCCGGTTGTATGAAAGTCGGATAGCGCTATCCACCGGATGGTCGTTTTTCAATCGCTTCAACGCTCGTTGTTTGATATAACTTTGATTAAATCTTAGTATTCCTAAATCAAGGATCCTCTTTAATAATTGTTGGTTGAAAAAATGACCTTTTACCTTGATTCTGGGTTGGGGGAACCTCGTTCCCAGAGACTTTTACCTTGATTCTGGGTTGGGGGAACCTCGTTCCCAGAGACTTTTACCTTGATTCTGCATGGGTTGGGGTAAAAGGTCTTTGGATCGGCCAGCCGCTTCTGACGTCTGATTGGTTAAATGATTTTCCCTAATTTATTTGTAATTAGCGGAAATAGTAATTATTCCGAAATAGTACAATCCCAATATGCTTTAATGCGACAATATTATCCGTTCTACGTGACGCCGCCATTTTGAAAATATTAGGCAAAATTTTATGATAAATTAGGCTTATTCCAAATATACACGAATTGTGGGTATTTTGAACGGCCGATCCCAGGGCCTTTCCTCTCCGTTTCATGCTTCTTTTCTCAACCCCCCAATATAAAGTCCTAAAAGACTCTGGGAACGAGGTTAGAAAATGTGTATAGGGACGGTTTGATTGCGAAAGCTGCGAGACACCACTAGTGAGGTTTATATTTATGCTCTACAAAAAAGATTTGAGCGTGTGTAAGTGGGCATACGTAGGAAACAAATATACGCGGATCAAACAATGCAAATTTAAACTGACGTTAGACTTTAGGGTTTTTGCCTACTTTTGTCTTTGAAATAAGCAAGTTTCCAAAGCGTTCGATTGCACTACAACCTAATTTTTATTTGCAGTTAAAATGACATAAGTTCAATAAATCTCTATGTGCTAAAATGAAAATTTTCGTACGATTTTAGTCGGAAAATATCAAACTGTTTTGAAATATTCCATATTGCAGTCGACCGACTAAAATCGTACGAAAAAATCACGTCGTGTGCGTCCATACCCTTCCCCGAAAAGAGGACTAGGTCCGAGAATGAAACATTTTGCCAAGTTTTACCAAGCATACCAAATTGGTAAACATATATTTTGCCGTTCTAAAAGCGCATGTTTGGTAATATGCGCCAGTGCCGCTTTGCACACACACGAGCATTCCGCGTAGCATAAAAACCCGGCGCAATTAAAAAATAACTCGGTAGAATTCAATTAAAAATTGCAAGACGATAACTTGTCTTAAAAGCAATAGAATATTGAAGCTAAAAAGCCTTTAGACTGAAAACCTTTTTTGCTCTAATATTATACTTAAGGTGTTTATACCGTTAAACTGTATGCAGTAAAAAAGTTTTAGCGCGTGCAGAAAACTCGACAGAAAAGCCACAAATGTTTCTATTTAGGGCACAATATTTTGTAATTTAGGCTGTTATATATAACAGAAGGCTCTGTACAGGGGTGAAAACATCATACAGTTTTATACTTTTAAGTCTTTTATATAAATAGTGTCATCAATCAAGTTATTAATTTTTTTAAAATTGTTAATTATTTTATTTGTTGTTCGGAGTATTTTTAGTCTTTTTTATATAGATTTGGCAAATATGAAAGCGATACGAAATTTATCAAAGAACGATGTTTGGAAGTGATCATAATAACTATTTATTTTTATCGAATCACGCCGTGGTTCTGTGTGGGCTTTTGTGGGCAGGCAGGCATGACCCGCATTAATTGCCATTGGACTTCTAAAATCCGACCCGAAATAATTTGAACTAGTATTTAAAACTTATCATACGGTTACGAATAAAAGTTTAAAGGCTTTCACCTTCAGTTACATTGTGAGGAACTTCTTGAAAACTATAATTAATAGGATCAAGAGGCAGGGTGAATTAAAATGTCGTATATTCATGGGATTTTCCCTAAAACGTTCATTGAAATACTCAACTCAAAAATAGCGAAATAGTAAACTGAATCTCTATAAGACTATATATGATCATCTTTACGTCTTACATGTAGGATGTATTCATGTTATTGCAATATTGGTTGAATACACATGCATGCACGAAATTTATATTTGTCGAATATGAAATTTATATTCGAGGTAGATTCTGGCCGTACTGCATGTAATCTCTACGGGAACAACTACAGACTGAACAATGTATGTAAAAGAAAGAGAACAGTTATAATTCTACTCCCCTTATTATTTATACTTTTATAGTAATTCGTTTCTCACCTTTGTCAATTGCAAATATTTTACCTAGACTCCCATCGAGCAGGATATCAGTATGGCGTAGTCAGCACAAATCCCACAATATATTCCAGAAGGCAACTCAAATTGCGAAGCATTATTATTCAGCTATTCTTTAGAAATTGATTGTTTTTACATTCAATGAAGATGGATATCAACGACGAAATTTGCATTTCAGCTAGACTTCAAACCTGGCGTGAGTCTGGGTAGATAATTTTTAATTACTTTCTCTTTTGTAAACAAAGGCCTAGATTATGCAGAAATGTTTCTTTTTTTCTCAACACTAAATTATCAATGTAATATCTATCATTTGTCAAATCACATGGGAATTCTGTGCGCAGACTGGCAAAATGCACACAATTACAATTTTCGCATCACACGCAATTAAAGCAGGTCATTTTTGTACAAATTGTGAGCGTGTGGGGTCGTCCTCGAATATTTTGACGCTTATGATATGCTACTGATGTAGAAGTGTAATAATAAAGCCGTATTATATAGGTATTAAAGAGCTATTCAAGTGGACCGCAAGGAATGCGATAATAAATAAAACCCGAGGAATGCTATATACGATAATCGGTATATGGGGAAATAACCGTATAGGGGAAAATAACCGTATAGGGGTTTTCCCCCAATTCGTCCGTGCAAGTAAACAGTAAACGGCATCAAATCAAGCTCTGCACGGTGAGATTTGTTCCTTCATCATAATTATTTCTATTTTATTTAGTCAAATAACAATACCTTGAATTATAACATTATATACGACTATGAAATGTTTCATAATATTATTATTTTACTAATATTAGTTTACATCCGGTAAGATCGCCAAAATGTTGAAGCATATTTTTTAAACCTAAAGACTAAAGACAAAGGCGGGTAATTTTTGCAAATATACGATCGAGTATGCAACGCGACCGGCACATGGAGTGTCATGTTCCTAGTTTATTTCATGGTTTAGCAAAATATTTTACTATACACCGAGTCTCTGGCGACTGGGCCCCTCTTCCTCCTACGAGATTGGCTACTAATATTACAACATCGCGTAAATGCCATAAACACGTCAGAATAGCGATAGATTATGCTTAGTCATCAGTTCTGAAATACGTAAGAGTATATATCATCTGTATACATACTGCTTACTATGTCAAATTTTATAAAGTGCTTGAATCTTCTCAGTGTATTGGCAATAACTTCGTCTGGTTTAAGAAATTAAATTTATTTTAGAAGTCATGCTTTGTTATGGCCAGTCTATATTCAGACGGTAAACTACAGCGGGTAAATATACAGAGTCTATTCACTCCTTTTGGTCAAGAAACTGTTGTATGGAAACTTTTGTCAATGAGACGGTTCACGTTGTATGTCCAACAAAACTCAAAACAGAGAAAAAGTACAAGGAACAAAAATCAAAAGAAATAACAGTTGCTATCTGTGCTATGCTCAATAGCAATGGCGGAAAGGTCAGACTGTCTTACGAATCCAAGAGTGACTCATGTGAAAGTTTAAAATCATCGATGAGTCGAATGCTGGAACAATTAATTATATCAATAGTTGGACCTCGCATGGCTACTTCTAAAATATGTATGAAAGATGACGAAGAAGGCCTGGTCATTCTCGTTAAAAAAGCCGATTATTTAATAACGACCAGTTATAACCTTTATTTACCCAGTCAAACACAAGTTGTCCAGTTAGATCCCCGAGAACCAATAAAAAATGTCGTAAAGGATATTATCGACAGAAGAGTCGTTCCCGAACCTGTGGAACTTGGCTCACATCAGAAGATTTTTCGTCGAGGTCAAGATTCCCATCTCAGGGAAAGCAAAATGTGTCAGTTTAAGCAACTTAAAGCAGATCAATCCAAACGCACGACGTTAGCAGATCGTATGACGGGTAAAAGCAATAAATTCAGCTGTTATGTTTCGGCATATGCCAACTACAGGGGAGGACACATCTACTATGGTATCACAACATGTGATATATTTATTGAGGGAGAGGTTATTTCAAATGACGAGGACAAGCGAGATATTATAAAAAAAGTTGAAAAAACCATCAATAAGATGATTTGGCCTGAGCATATTGGTCAACCAAAACGAGGAGAACACTGGGATATATTCTTCGAATCAGTGTTAGATGAGAACTCTACAACAATCCCTTCCACCTTTGTGATCGTCATTTACATTGCTCCCTGTTTTGGTGGTGTGTTTACGGAAGAACCAGATTGTTATGAAATGGTGGATGGGAAAATAAGGAAAATGACGTTTATTGCATGGATGGAAAGGATACATTATGACGAGGTGGTATTGCGTTCACGGCCCGTTACTTCTCACATTAAACGCATCACATGGAGTTCAACTAGACTTCAGAGGATTTGCACTCATGCAGACCACGATTTAACACAAAAGCTTAATAACGGACAATCTATTCAGGAAACCTGTAAGTCTCTTGAATCAAAATACCCTCGGGAACTTAGGGAAGTAAGATTATTGGTTTTGTCGAAGGAACTGATGTTTTCGTACCGAACGAATGATTTCAGAAACGTAGACAGGTTACTTGAGCAATACGAAGCTCTTCAAATTGACACTTCAGATTTTGCAATTTTTGACGCGATACTTACTTACATAAAGGTTGCTTTACGCCGTGCCAAAGGAGAAATTCAAATGGAAGAAATAATCTCTGACGCTTTATCTAAAGCAGAGATGATCGAACCAAGTCTTATTACTGCTGCGATATATCTACTTGTTGCTTCAATAGCAAGTTCCTCTAGTGAAATACCAGGTTACATTGCAACAATTCTTTCAACAACAGCTTTAGAACATTTACAATACGTCCATGATTCTCCCATAGTTCGAGCAGACTTGGAACAAAAGGCTCACATTACCTTAGCACAACATCACCTGGGTTATAATGCATATGGGATGCAAACTAGGGAGACATTCGATAGCAAGGACTTAGACAAAGCAAAATCCAGTCTTGCGAAAGTCGATAAATTAATCTTCGAGGGAAAATCGGTATATAATTATCGCAATATACATTTAAATCTGGCGAAGGCATATCTTCGAAATCGACAATCCGAAATCCATCCTGATGAATCGTTGCTGAAAGAAGCTTTTCAATATTCAAAACAAGCTGAAAACCTTGCGACAAAAGGTAATTTCCAAGAAATGCTTCAGAGTGCTAGAACTTGCACGGCGTTATGCATTGAGAACTTGATACGCCTTGCACTCAATCCAAAGGCAAAGAAACGAACCAAAACCAACCCACTTCAAAATATTGAAAGTCCAGAATGGACCTCAAAACGTTTGTAGCTGGCTATCTTGATCTTTAAATTATTTCGTCGGTTTGGCTGCAGGAGAACTGTTTTTGTTGTTCATAGATCCATCATTGTTGCTCTTACGGAATCATGCAAGATTATTTTGTAAAGACATTGTATCAGGTTGTTATGTTTATATCCTAAAATACCACATCATTGCAAGCAGATAGCTCACCACATTCTACAGTCGGAGAAATCGTAATACTGTACGAAATTACACGCCCGGCAGCCAGACAACAGGTTAGCTAAGTGGCCAGATAATTATTTGCGCCATAAATCCTGTAGTGATTTTAAACCTGTTAACATTGCATGTTCTTACATCAGAATTACTCTTCAGTACTCTTAGATTAAACTGAAGGTATTTAACTTTGCAAGAATTTCTTTAGAAAACCCCGAGGATGTATAAAAGTTTCCTTCCAAATATTAAATTTTTGATTATTTATTTAAGACAGTTGAGTTTCCTGTGCTAAATGAAAGACATTTATAAGCGCATGTTAATTTTTATAATAAATGTTATAACAGTTTCTGTCCGTTCTATACTGTATAGGAATGAACTTTGAAGACACAAATCTACGACCACAATGACATCCGTAAGCATTCGTGTTGACGAGACTGGCCATTTCATGGATTTTTGTAAATTGGAAACCAACAAAAAGTACAAGAAACAAAAACGTAAAGAAATAATATCTGCTATTTGTGCTCTGCTCAATACTAATGGTGGAAAAGTTTTGTTGCATAACGAATGCAAGTGTGGATCAGGCAAACATTCTTCCCTTGTGGTGCGAATACTGGAACAATCTATGATATCGATCATTGGAGTGATTTAGACTGTCTCGAATATAATATTCTGGAGGGAAGCCAATATTTAGTAATTTCCGTCGAGAAAGTGACTATTTAATAACCACTAATTACAATCTTTATCTTCCAACTGACAGTCAAGTTGCACAAATATCTCCCCTGGAATCACTATCATCAATAAATTTCAAATTTGTGGTGTTCGTGAGAGCAAAATGTGTCAATTTAACTTTAAATGCAGATCAATCTAAACGCACAACGTTATAGCAGATCGTATGACTGGTAAAAGCAACAAATTCAGCTGTTATGTTCGGCATATACCAACTACAAGGGAGGACATATCTACTTTGGTATCACAGGGGAGAAACTTGTTGAAGGAGAAGTTGTTGTGAATGAAGAAGATAAACAAGAAATTATAAAGAAAGTTGAAAAAACCATCAACAAGATGATTTGGTCTGAGTATATTGGTCAACCAAAACGAGGAGAACACTGGGATATATTCTTCGAATCAGTGTTAGATGAGAACTCCACAATAATCCCTTCCACCTTTGTGATCGTTATTTACATTGCTCCCTGTTTGGGTGGTGTGTTTACGGAGGAACCAGAATGTTATGAAATGGTGGGGTGAAGAGTTGAAAAGATGTCTTTTATTCGGTGGAAAAAACGAATTTGGGAGCGAGTTTGGACACATTTTTTTGCCAAAATTTACCATTCAGTTTCCAGCATCACATGGAGCTCAGTGAAGGCTCGCAAAGACTTTACTGAGACTCATAAGGTGCTAATGCCTTTAATTAAAGCGTGTCCAGTCAGGTCCAAAAAAACCCTAAACTGTTTTGAAAACACCTTGAATGCCCCAGCACTTTGCAAAAAGTTGCAAAAATGCAGGTCGTCCCAAAAAACCCAAAACCATTGAATTCACTCATAACAGTGCAATAGTTATTAGTAAGCCTAATTCTGATATGTCGTAATTCATCGGTGATAAATTTTTTTTTTCCAGGGCCACAAAGCATTTTATGCTTTGTCCACCACAGCCGATGAATGGCGATATACGAGAACCAGGCCTTAGAGTTTGAATGTCTAAGCACCCTGTTGGGACCCACAGCCACAAGTGTATTAATGTTTTATACACAAGCATATAAACGTATATACAGTATACATACATAAGCATTTTTATGCATGATGACAGAAAACCAGGTTTTGTTTGTGCCCAAAATTCTCACATATGATTTTTATTACCAATATTTACACTTCACAAATATGGAAAGCAATGCACCGTAACCCTCGATATGTCCCTCTTTTCTAGCAAATTTTGTTGTTGATAAATTCAAAATATCAACACTATGATTTTAATTTTGATTGTTGATTTTAATTTTTTAATCTATTTGCTTACGGATTGTCTTAACAGCGCATGCGCTGTATACGGAAATAAACAAGCAATATGGCCTCAGCCATCAATTCATTTTGCACCGCCATCTTAGATGTTTACTTTCGTATACTACGCATGCGCTCTTTAAACAATCCGTAAACTAAACTAAACTAAACTATACCAAGGTGCAATGACTTACAAACCATTTTCTCGCCGGTGTAATGACTGACGTTTAGTCAAAGGAAATAGAGGTCAGTCGCCCTAATCATTAAAGATACAGAATAAACCCTAAATGCTACATGCGTGCACCCCAACCTCATTCCCAGGGTCTTTTCTAAAAGGCCGCAAATAACTAGTATAAATGACAAAATCCCTGGTCAACTACAGCAATAAAACAAGCCTACTAAGAACTTAGATTAGACGGAATCGTTCTCTTCCTGCATGAGTGCCACTTTTTCAAACAAGAGTTTCGTATTACGCACTAGTTCTTCTGGAAACAATGCTTTGTTGTCTCTACTCTATTCAATCATTTCTGGAAACTTGTTTTTTTTTGCAAGACATTCAGCTTCTTTGGCGCAGTTAAAAGCAATCGTCAAAAGGCGAGTTCTTTCTTCTGGATTGACTTGTGAATGTCGATAATGATAAATCGATTGGACCAAATTAAATTGAATTTCATGATATTTGCTGAGTGGGTTGCCTTCAAGAACGGTTTCATGCACACTCATGATAATGCTCTTTGTTTTATCTAAACTTGAACGGTCAACATTCTCTTTAATGCGCTGTCCATTAATACTACACCCAAGATGAGATGCCGCCAGAATGAAACATGCCTTCTTCCTTAGATTACTCACCAATTCAGGAGAATCTGACACATGCTGTAAATGTTTCAAAGCTCTTGCAGAAAGAACATCTGGTGAATAGTCTAAATTCGCCGGGTCATTTAGAACTGTTCCAGCGGCAAAAACGTATACAGTGGCAGTTACTACGCCTGGTTCAATATGTTCAGTTTTTGACAAAGCATCAGCTAATAATTCTCTGACCCCACCGGTCTTATCTCCACAAGCACGTTTTAGTGCTGCTTCTAAATACAATCCGATCACCTCGAATATGAACGAATCTTCATTTATTTTAGATACAATTTCTTTGTATTTTTGCAGTAGTTTTCCAGCTTTATACAAACATCCTCCACGGATACACGCAGTAATTTCTCGGATAAATTGAAATTCTTATACTGTATAACCCGGATGTTTCCTGAGATCCCAAATGTCCGTTGTTAACTTCATTTAAGCTAAGGCCGAAAGATAATGTATTATATTACGTAATGCGTTCTTAGCATGCTCAATAATTTGCCTCGTGTTTTTTAGGCTTTGCTTGGTCATGCTATTTTGTGATTTGTGCAACATTTTCTATTATTAAATGACTGTATCAAACACTTTCTCTTTGTGCACCGTTGGCGTATCTACCGCAGTGGCGCCGGCAAGGGGGGGGGGGTGATTTCTAGAATCGGCTTTCAGATATGTCCAAATTCAATGAAGAGGATGGAGGGTTACCAATCTTGAAATTTACTAAAGCTAGAGAGTAAAAATTCACTTCATTCTGGACCTTTCCCAGAATTTTCCCCCTCAATCACTAATCTACAGGGTGTATAAAAAAACTGCACTGAAATACCATAATTTGTATGCACAAGATTGAAGATCGTACGTTAGAACTTCAATAGCTTTGCAACTAATTACGCTTCTGGGATTTGAAAATACGTTTACTTTTAGCACACCAATTAAGTTCATCAAAATTAGCCTTTCTCACGATGACGAAAATCCGCCATTATTAGGGTACTTTCAATTTCTTAAATGCGTTTAAACAATAATAGCAATGTAAGAAGTATTTTTAAGAGTTAATAGACCATTTGAACAAAAAATAAAGACAGCCGTCCTCACAAGGTCTTGCGCTCACAATTTAAAAAAAAGTACCCCAAAAATGGCGCACATTCGTCATCGCAAGAAAGGCTAATTAGTTCCATTACGAATGGCCGAGCTAATGAACAGATTTAAACAACGATTTTAGACGGAGGTTGAAAGCGCTGTTACACTATGCAACTTTCCTTGCGAGTTGCGATCTGCTAACGCTTTTTTACCATTTGGAAAGCTCCTTACAAATTTTATATGCAGGGGCCAGTTGTTCAAAGCTATAGGTTAAATATTAATCCAGTGTTTTAGTTTATCAGAACCACTGTTCGTTTTAGAACTTTAGAAAATATTACTTTCATCGGTCCAAAAACTATTTATGAAAAAAGATAATCAACTTTGTAAACAAGCGATTAAAAAAATTAATGTAAAGATTTGCTTTAACCCAGGGTTAAGCTAACCGGCTTTTGAACAACCGGCCCCAGAAGCGTAATTAGTTGCACAACTACTCAAATTCTAATGTATGATTTCGTGCATTCAAATTATGGTATTTGCAGTTTTTATATACCCTGTAGACACCCTGAACACTTGTGGGTCCGAACAGAGAGCTTAGGCATTCAAACTCTAGCTATTGCATTATTATGGGTGATTTCAACAGTATGGGGTTTTTTGGGACACCCTGCACAAAACTTCGTATCTTTTATTCGCCAAACGTTTGATAGAAGGAAGTCCCGAGAGAGATGAAATAAATCCACGTGACAGCTTTTAGCTGGCTTTAAAACTCGTTTGAACAAAGTAACCTTTGACACTTGAAAATTAATTTAAGTCATAATTCATTTTTGCTGCGTAAGCAAATAAAACAATACTTCAGCCCTGTTTACACTACACTCAATTTATTGGCACGCCGTACCCATTTCATCCGTGTTCGGCCCTTGTATTGGTGACCTGCATGAACACTATACTAAAAACTGTCTAAAATTGAGAAGATATGCAAACACGGAAATTTAGCTAATTCGCTTATGGAAGTCAAACCGGAAATTTAATTAATTCCTCTCGCTCTGTTTCCTCGTGATTTTAGGGGAATCCCTCACTCAAAACGATTTTATCACAAGATCGCCGAGTGTCTACTGGATGCAGTAAAAGTCCACTAAGCTACCCGATGTAGGGACAAAGACAAGGCTAAATGACGGCTTAGAGCATCACGTATTATATCTCTAAACAGAAAGAAACTGGGTAATTCAACAATATTTTATGTGGTACGGCGAAATAGGACAGAGCGAGTTGCTGATAACCATTATGGTAATTCATGACGTGTGTGAAGGTAAGGAATAAGGTATAATTCGGTACTTCGCCTACCTATCCACTTCCATTTTCAGTCCCAAAACCGTGCTCGCGACTACCAGTATTACTGATCACATTTTGGCCGATTGTTACGTCTGAGCATGCATGCCACTGAATAACCTCCCTACTGGCCTATTGCTTTCTTACATTATTGCTTAACATCACAACTAGTTTTATGTAGAACGTTTGTAATTTAGCGCGAAATTGCCGCACACTTAAAGATAGTGGAGTTAAAACACAAACTTTGTTAGCGGTTTGCCGTTTGCCGTAAACGTCAAACTATATAAAGGTCTCTAATATTTTGCTGTTCACGTGAGCCCGGTTACCCGAGATTCAACAAAGCGTGAGACAACTTTGGGGTATTGAAATGAGTATACAACATGCTCCTGGCAGTCGTGTAATCACACAGTTGCAAGGAAAATTGCACAGTGTAACAGCACTTTGACAAGAACATGTAGCATGTGCTTGTTTCGTGTCACGAAGACATATTTCGATACCTCAAAGTCATCTAGCGCTTCGTTGAATCTCGGGTAACCGGGCTCATGTAAACAGCAAAATACTTACGTAATGACATAATACTAAGTTAATCTCGGTTCTTCTTTCGTTTCATACTTCAGGGAATTAAACATTGGCCATGCAGAGGAATTAGTGTTGCTTGGTCAAATTGTCATAAGGGGAACCGTTCTATACGAACGAATTAGTACGGACGATGAACGTTGAAGAGAATGGCCATGTCCTAGACCTAGATTTATGTAAATTGGAAAAGAGCAAAAAGTATAAGGAACAAAAACTTAAAGAAATAATATCTGCTATTTGTGCTATGCTCAATACTTATGGTGGGAAAGTTGTGTTGTATAACGAACTCAAGTGTGCATTAGCTGAACACTCCCCCCTTGTGGTACGAATACTGGAACAATCTATGATATCGATTATTGGAGTGAATCAGACTGTTTCGAATATTAGCTTTCAAAAGAAAAACTCGTGTTTAGTAATTTCCGTCAAAAAAGTAGATTATTTAATAACCACAAATTATCATCTTTATTTGCCAAGTGAAACACAAGTTGCACAAGTATCTCCCCTGGAGTCACTAAAATATGTCAAAGATATTATCAACAATAAAGGCGTTTCGGAACGACTTGAACATGAGAAACAGTTTAAAAAATCTCAGAATTGCGATTTCCAACAAAATAAATCGCGTGCTTTTAAGTATCTAAAAGCAGATCAATCCAAGTGCACGACGTTAGCAGATCGTATGACGGGTAAAAGCAATAAATTCAGCTGTTATGTTTCAGCATTTGCCAACTACAGGGGAGGTCACATCTACTATGGTATCAGAGATGACGGAATTGTTGAGGGAGAGGTTGTTCCAAATGAAGAGGACAAACACGATATTACAATGAAAGTTCAGAAAACCATCAACAAGATGATTTGGCCAGAAAAGATTGGTCAACCAAAACGAGGTGAACACTGGGAAATATTTTTTGAACCGGTCATTGATAAAGCCACAAGTGATGCTATCCCCTCCACTTTTGTTATAGTTATTTACATCGCTCACTGTCCGGGTGGCGTGTTCACAAAGGAACCAGAATGTT